GCGACCCCAACAATGGTCCTAAAGCTGCTCAGCTGCAGCAGCTTGTCTTGGAGGACTTGCGTGTCTCTGCCTCATACCAGAAATGCCACAGGGCAAAAGAACACGCCGTTGACATCACTGTTGGTAATGCAGAGGATTCCTATCTCAACCTTGCTGAATACTTTGAGAGGCTTAAACACACGAACCCCGACACCGTTACTGCCATAGAAACAGAAGTTGATGTTTTTGGGGCGTCTAGGTTCCTCTACGGGTTCCTCTCTTTTGGTGCTTCAATTATGGGATTTCGTAGACTCCGCCCTGTTCTCATAATTGATGGCACCCATCTGTCAGGGAAATACAAAGGCTGCCTCCTCACTGGTAGTGGTCAAGACGCAAATTTTCAAGTCTTCCCACTCGCTTTTGCTGTTGTTGATGCAGAGAATGACAGCTCTTGGCTATGGTTTCTTACCAAGCTTGAACGGATTATCGCAGATTCTAACAGTCTCACTATTATTTCAGATCGTCACATTTCCCTTCTCAAAGCAAAGGCAATAATCTTCCCCAAGTCCCACCATGGTGCATGTATTGTTCATATAATGAGAAATGTAGTTTCCCGGTTCAAGAACAAGGGTCTCGCCAAACTGGTATGTGCTGCTGCATTTTCGTTTAAGCGCAAAGATTTTGACAACAACTTTGGGAAAATCAAGCAAGCCAATCCAGCATGTGCAAAATACCTCACAGACATTGGCACTGCTAAATGGTCACGCACATACTTCCCTGGCAACCGATACAACCTCCTGACCAGCAACGTTGCGGAGCAGCTTAACAATGCCTTGTCCAAATCTCGGGCATCCCCCATTGTCGAACTTTTCATGTTCATCCAACGAATGCTAACACGCTGGTTCTCAGCAAGGAGAACAAAGGCCGCAAAACACCGGGGGGCAGTCACCCCTGAAGTTGCCGCTGTAATGGAGACACACATGAAGCTCACCAAAGGTAGTTCAATTGCAAACATCACTGACTGGAGCTACCAAGTCAAGGGGGTTTTTGGCTATTCTTACACTGTTTCCTTGGACAACAAAATTTGTTCCTGTCAAGTTTTCCAGAAACTAAAAATCCCATGCGGCCATGCACTACTTGTTGCTGATTATGTCGGCCTCCCTCATGTGCAACTAGTTGGTGATTGCTACAAAACTCAGACATGGAAAGATATATATGCTGGTGTCATCTTCCCAGAGGCGCCTTTTGGTGAGCTCTCAATCCCTTCTGCGATTTCTACTCTCAACCTACAACCTCCTAATACCCGTCGCCCTTCTGGTCGTCCCAAAGATAAGCGGATTGCTTCAACAGGAGAAATCCAGGTTACAAAAAAAACACTAAACAATTTTTTAACTCTTACTGCTACAAGAATATACAGGATCTTGACAATATACCATTTTTCAGGTCCCAAAAAAAACAAAACTCAATAGATGTGGTCGCTGTGGAATTTCTGGCCACAACAGGACCAACTGCGTTGTTCCTATCTGAGTTGTGGTGAATTCAATATCCACAGGAATGGTCTTTTGGATAGCGCTTTCACCTCATTAACAACTTCTTTTGTTTTTTTTTTGGATTATGTGCATGCTATAACTCTTGAACATGTATTGGCTGTTTGTTAGACGTTAAATTTATTAACCACTCCTACCTTCTTATATGCATGTTATCAGTTTCCATGGGTTATATCCATATTATGTGTACACAGGTACACTATCATTGCCACGTCCACATGTACATCATCAGTTGAACAACCCTCACTCAGTTGCAGAACAAATTACCATCACCTTCCAAGTGTCCTCATGTACGTCATCCTACATGACCCAGTTGATAGTGCAGAACATTCTACACAAAAGGAATCACAAACAATACAAGTGCATAACATTCTACACTAAAGCTTTTACAATCAATACATATGTACACCATATTTGGTTGTACACATGGACACTCTTTCAAACACATATTTAATTGTACACATGGACACTATCTTTGCCACGTCCACATGTACTTCATCAGGTGAACAACCCTCACTCAGTTGCAGAAGAAATGCCCATCACCTTCCAAGTGTCCACATGTACGTCATCCAACATGCCCCAGCTGATAGTGCGATTACAAACAATACATAAGCACACCATATAGGATTGTACTCATGGACACTATTTTAAACACGTAGAAACCATACACAGGTACACTATCATTGCCACGTCCACATGTACTTCATCATGTGAACAACCCTCTCTCAGTTGCAGACCAAATGACCATTACCTTCCTAGTGTCGACATGTACGTCATAAACACACCATATTCGACTGTACACATGTCGACAGGTGAACAACCATCACCACCCAAGTGTCCACATGTACGTCATCCTACATGACCCAGTTGATAGTGCGCTTAAAAACAATACATAAGCACACCATATTGGATTGTACACATGGACACTTCCCAATATGATTCATAGGCGGAGATCGTCGTCTCTAACTTGATTTAGCAAGTTCTTGAGCGTCAAATGGAGATTCCAGTGCTGCCTGGAGATGAGGATCTGATAAGAGAGCCTGTGCGTATCTGGGGACCATTCTCGGACAACTCTAGGACACATACGTTTACACATCTAAGTTTACACTATCCTACCCATGTACATAATCCCACACCCTCACGTAGTTCCAGAACAGATGACCATCCCCTTCCTAGTGTCCACATGTACGTCATCCTACCTGACCCACTAAAGCGGTTACAAACAATACATATGCACACCATATTTAATTGTACACATGGACACTACTTTAAACACGTACAAACCATTCAAAAATCATGTACACCTTTATACGACTACAAACACCACAAACATTTTCCACTATCGTATGCACAACATATTTAATTATGCACATGGACACTACTTTAAACACGTACCAACCATTCAAAAATCATGTACACCTTTATATGACTACAAACACCACAAACATTTTTCACTATCCTATGCACAACATATTTAATTTTACACATGGACACTTCTTTAAACACGTACAAACCATTCAAAAATCATGTACACCTTTATACGACTACAAACACCACAAACATTTTCCACTATCGTATGCACAACATATTTAATTATGCACATGGACACTACTTTAAACACGTACCAACCATTCAAAAAACATGTACACCTTTATATGACTACAAACACCACAAACATTTTGACTCTATCGTATGCACAACATATTTAATTGTACACATGGACACTATTTTAAACACGTACAAACCATTCCAAAATCACCCGCTTTTTGATGATGTGTCCACCTGTACCCAGTACATCATGTACACCTTTATATGACTACAACCACCACAAACAGTTTTCACTATCGTATACATGACAATCCGTAAACAACCCTCTTCGTTTGTGAAAAGATAACTACATCCACAACAACAATCTAATTTTGGGACGTCCACACATGGACACTTTCAAAAGTGAAGGATGACAAAAACAACAAACCTTTTCTCTGCTTTGTCGACATGGACACTTAAACCAACACTACAGCTGCAACCAAATCTGTACCGCGCAATTATACACCACGAAGGCGTCCACATGTACAAAAGATGTGGATGTTACACATTAGATTGTTGATAACATGTCTACAAAATAGATTAGGTGAACACACAAAACATAGCCGATTACACGTCCACATACGTTTACACATCTAAGTTTACCACAGCAAAATACATAGCCGATTATAGGTCCACATGCCTTTCAAAATACATTCTACCACACCAAAAGCTTACTACGTCCGTTTGCAAAACATAAACAGTAAGTCTCACACATCACATTAACGTAAGTATAGAGGTACCACCAAACTGACGTAAAGATCCATTGCATACTGTTTGCGGAATACGTCAACCAAATCATCCGTCAGGCCTGCCATAGTTGGATCTTCATTACCCGTAGCTAACATTTCCATGAATTTCACCGCCACCGGTCCGCAATCACCGCTACGTGCATTGACATACAAACCACCCAACCTCTCCACTGTAAATGGCGTCTTCTGATTCTCTCCAACAGCTGCAGCAGGGCATACTTTCTTAGCAATGTAAGGCAGCATAGTTGTCAAAGGCTCCATCAGCTCATTAACTTCTTCCATAGTTGTCAGTCTTGGGTTCGGATCCAACACCACGATCTTCCAATCATTCAAGCTAATACGCAAGCCGACCCAGTGTTCCCCTCTCCAAATCATGGGTGCGTACAGCGTCTCCACATCCAGACCCCACGTCTGTCCTGGATTTGTTAGGTACATAGTGATTTTGTCATCTCCTGCCACACGTCCCTTTTCCCTAGCCGCCTTAAAAGGTCGTTCCTTCCTTTGCACCTGTGATGTGAACCACGGTGTTAAAAACAACCCTCCATTCAGGTGAACTGTTGGACCATGGCACCGCTCAATGAATTCCATCAACACAGCTATATGCTGTCCATAATAAAAAACAAACATTAAATATGAATATGATACGTCGAATAAAACAGCTATGGTACAATGTCACCATACCGTGCTTGACACCCATTTCTGTGGTGTTGCTAACTCCAAAAAGAACTGATTGTCGAGATTCTCCCCTCCGGCATTGAGGTGAATCCTAACAAAAAAAAACACCCATTTTTATGTTTAGAAGCCATCATCACCAAAATAACTCATATTATTTGACAACTCACGCTTTCTTATTAGCCTGCAACACTTTCTTAAAGAAAGGATAATCCGGATCCTCAATCATCGGCACAGTATCAGAAACATTGTACTGGTTCCTAGCCAACAACAACGCCGCCAACTCCTCCTCTTCTGGCACAGGCTGATGTTTCGCCGACTTCAATATAGGTGAATCACTAAGCTCCATTACAGGTGCCTTTACGTTGTCCACCTCTTCTTCCTCAGTAAGTTCGTCACCACTACCACTCTCCTCATCCTCAGCCACATTAGCCTGCAGTTGTCAATTAACCAAACATTAACAAGTCAACACGTACATGTGTCAACGCTATTGCTGTTAACACTTAACCAACCAATTCAATTACCTCCAACCGTTTGTCCGATACACCACACTCATCACCTCCTACCACTTCCCCGATCTCTAACTGCAGGATCATAAAAGAAAATTATTAAGTTACTTACCACTTCCCCGTTGCTATAATATAAGTTCACTCATATAAGAAAATTATTAAGTTACTTACCACAGCTTTCTTTTCCTCCGACGATGTAACCTTCTCCACATTATCCTTGCATACATCATCGGATGCACCTCCCCCAACCTGAATGTTACATCCTAATATGTTAGTCACCCACTATCCTACAATTTTACTCCCATTCCTTTGCTTTAAACACATCACTCACCAGTTCATTGATGTTTACCAAAGTACCCTCTACTTTCTGTTTCGCCTCCTCCACTTTGTTTTCTGTCTTGCCTGGTCCACTTTTTCCCCCACCCTCGGCCTGCAATACCCATAATTGAACAAATTATAAATCTGCTTCAACCCATCCAATTGACTGTACACGTGTACTCGTGGAAAACATTATAAATTAACCCAAAACCAATACGCTATATTCCGCGTACATGTGTACACAGACCATAGTGTAGAAAAACAACACCAAAAATTAACACTCACCACATCTTTCTCAGTCTCTTCACATTGGGGTAAACTTGTCTGTTGTTGCAAACCGTTTACGTCTCCATCACTCTCGTTCTGTGTATCATCAGTAACAACCCTATTGATTGCTTCTATCCCAACATCCACCTCAACAACCTGAAGAATTAAACACCCAAAAAAAATTCTCAACGCACAGGAGTGCTGGATTCAAAACACCATTAATCTATGATCGAATTTTACCTCAATCCTGTTTCCTTCTCCCACGTCGCCAATTTCAGCTATCAACCCTCCAACCAGCTTCACCAGGCTCGTGGATTCCTGAAACCAACAGCAAAAGACCACAAAAAAACATGAATTACGCCAAAGGCGAAATACAAAATCCATTCAAATATACAAAGAAAAAAACAAAACCTCTCGCCCTAGTCCCTCATCTGAATCCTTTGTACCAGTCATTGACACATCATTCAAAACATCATCACCCTGATTCTGAATTCCACCTTCTCCTTCACCCACACTTGGAAACAAAACAGCTGTCCCATCCCCATCTGCATGAACAACAGTGTCATTTGCTTTCCTGACGTTCCTTTTTTTTAGCTTCCGTCTTTTCATTCCGCTTCTCGATGCCACAATCTGTTTCAGCTTATCTATCTTCTTCGCTTGTTTCTCAGTCACAACTTTAAGCTTTACAACCTCTTCGCATACTTCCTCCAAACGTCTCTCGATTACTGCTTGTTTCTCCCTATCTCCAATAACCAGACGTTCATAGTACTCGCTCATCCTACGCTGTTTAAGCACAGGTTCACCATCACTTTCATCTTCATCCTTCAATTGCCTTTTGTTTTTTTTTCCAGCAGCCTCGTACAGGAACAGCGGTGCACCAGCATCACCGCCCCCCAATCAGCCTTCGTGAAACAATAACCTTCTTCCAACAAACGTTTCATGTTCTCCACTTTCTTGTCATATTTCTCGTCAAAAACTCCCCATCTCTCCACCCGTTCCCCAGTGATTTCCATCATTGGCTGTACCACAAGCTGCATCACCATAAAACCAAAAAAATGTATCATATAACCGTTGTTCAAAGAGTGTCCACGTGAACATACAATAAAAAATGTCCACATGGTCAACGAACGCATACTGTCCACATGGACAAACAAACAACATACTAAAGAACTTCGCCTGAACTTCCGTAATTGAAGTAAGTTAAATTTCAGTGTCCACACAAACACATACATTCAAGCAGAACCGTTTTAACTTGCAGTCTAAAAAACATTGTACACATCGAACTCAATATCGAATTCACTATAATACTGTCCACATCTACAATTACATATCCAAGATGTCCACGCGATTTCACATAATGACAACCAAAACCTCTAAATCATGACTGTCAATTATATAGCTTAAACATGTACAAAGAACAGCTTACCCCAGGGTTGTTTTCTGCTTTGTAGACATCCATCACAGTAAGCCCTGCATGTTGTGGCAGCCCTTTACCCGGGTATTCCAACAACGTTGTCTTCTGATCACCACCAACCAGTTCAAGCAACTGTGGTATTGCTTGGAATGCCACTAATTGCAGTGCCAATGGAAAACCAAAAAGCTTAACTGATTTCTGCCTCAACTTCTTGCATAACTCTCCATTTGGATCTTCACATTTGCCCATCTCCTTCGGCCCTGGTTTCAACGTGCTTAATGTCCACAGAAATGACTCTCTCCCCTAAGGAAAATTCAGGAAATCGCCCAAATCTTCCAATATCCTCACGTGTTTAATCCAAGGTCTTGGTTTCTGAGTTGACGCCACTAGTACCCCGTCTACTATAACAAGCAAACACAACCTAAACTTTAGCCAACCAGGCATATCTTCTTCAGTCTCCACCCTCACAAGCAGTTCCTCAATGGTAACATCCCTGTTCTCACCAATAATCTCTCCCCAGTACTTGTAGTTCTCAGCCTTCGGTGGGAGCTCGAAATAAATGCTATATCCCTCTTCAAATTCCCCACATGGCAAACCAGTCACCTCTCCAAACTCAACCAAGGAGAAGCGAAAGGGTTTTCCACCGAACACAGGCCACATCTCAAACAACTTCTTCGTTACCACTTGTCTAGTCATTAGACTATGGACCACTTTCCCAGCAAACAACTGTCGTGCCGGCATCTTGAAAAGCGCTCCAAAACAAGAAGCCATCAACTCATCAAACTCTGGACTTCCAAGTAACGCGTCTCTTACTCTAAGCAGGAAATTCACCGACGAGTACACGTTAACCCTCTCACTAGGGTAACGGTCCGTAGCAAATAACCGTTCCGGCAACAACTCCGACTTGTCCTCTGTAATCGCATCCGTCAACCCTGATACCAATGAAAAAAACATTCTTAAAAATACCCAAAAAAACACTGAGGACATTAAAACAAGGAGAAAGCTTCTTACCATCGACGGGATCTTTCCCACGAGTGCTCCTCCTTCTAGCCATCGCTTTGACTCTCTCTCCACCGCACAATGAATCGGAAATCAACACTACAAACAAACCCCCACTGTAATCGTTACTCTCGAACTTCGGTAAACGTGCACGAGAAAAAGAGAGAAATGGAGAAGAAGATGGAAAGTCTTCTTTTTTCCTTCTAGTAACCGGTGTCTTCAATTAAAGGGGGGCCCAATTAAAATTTCGAAATTTGAAACCCAAACGAAAAACCAAAAAACCAACTAAAATGGGAATCGCTTTTTAGGTTTAGTTGAGGGCAAGTTAAGTCTTTTGACTCAAAACCTATCCTACCCGTGGGAACTGTCTTTTCTTGATAAAAAAACACAATAACTGCCCTATAGTGACAAAAACTCTTTTGTTTTAAGTGGGAGTTGGTTTGGTCGGAAAAGTCATCAGCGAGTCTTTATCCGACGCGTTTTAACAACGTCACCTAAGTCTGTGTGTTTCAATCTTGTTCATTCGTTATGTTGTTTAACAACAAATGTTTTCTACTTTCTAGGCTTCACGACGTGACGTGAAGTTCACGTCACACCTTTTGCAAGGTTTGATTCACTTTTTATACTATGTTTCCATTAATATTTTAACATTGTTTTACCAAAACTTGACGATTAGAGAAAACATGGCTACAGAAAAAGTTCTTTAAAAAAAAAGATCAATGGTTGTAGGCGGTTATAACTTATGAACCATGTCTTTGCAAGCGGTTTGTAGTCGTCTCTTTTCAACTTTTAAGATCTAACCGCATGGTTACAAACAAAGACGTTCGAAGACAGAGGAGTCCATGGTGGTTATAGGCCATCACAGCCAGAACCAAGAACAAAACTTGAAAAAACACTACTTCAGAGTCTTTCTCGAAACGAAACAAAACCAAAGAACACTCTGTTGCATGCAAGAAAAAGCTTATAAGAAAGATAATAGTGGAAAACATTTAGTAAAAAACTACCTTTGGTCTTTTTTAAAAAAAAAAAATTGGAATGGGGACGAGGAATCCAAAGGGTTATCGTAGTTCTCAAGGAGGTTCGTTGATTAGACCAAAAAAAAGGAGGTTCATTGAACATGCAGATGCGGATATGCATTCACTGATCACATGAACTACTTTGCGATTTGTATTCCAAATTCAAAAGCTTTTCCCGAGGTTCATTTACTGTTTGACAAGAAACCTCTTGAGATTCTTAACCTCTGGTTCTTGAATATATAGAGGCATATCTTCTTGTCTACGTGAAAGCGTCTTACCTTTAAAAGTAGAGTCTAAGTCTCTTCTCTTACACATTCGGGTTTCTACTCATTTTCCTTTGATATCCAATGGCTAATGGTGTGAAGTTCAGCTTGAAACTTCTCATTGATGAGAAGAGAAACAAAGTTGTTTTAGCTGAGGCTGAGCAGGGCTTTGTTGATGTCCTCTTCAGTCTTTTGACTCTCCCTATGGGTAAAATCGCTGGCTTACTCAAGGATAACGTGACAGTCCTAGGCTGTTAACAAAAACCTTAACAAAAGTGTTGCAGATATGGACATCGGTCATTTTGAGACTGGTGGTTTCAAGAGTATGTTGGTGGATCCAAAGAGTAGTAAGGACATCCATCACAAAAGGCTCAAGCTGAACATGGTTTATACTTCTCCCACAGAGTTCTTTGTTTGCCCAAGGTCTTTCAGGGGTTATTCTTCATGCAGAAGCAGGGCATACAGCAATTTCAAGACAATATGTAGCTGTGGAATTTTGATGGATGCTCAGATTCATGTCCCAGAAGAAGAGCAAGTTGAAAAAGTGTTAGGAGGAGATATTGCAGATGGAGGTTTTATCAATTGCCGATCATCTTTCATTATCACTGATGATTTGAAAGTGACACCGAACTCTGTTTGTGCTCTCGCGAACGTTCTTAAAGATCTAGGGTACACTAGTTATAGTGACCTGAAGGAAACCCTAATTGATGTAGGGTTTGAACAGGTACTTTATTGCTATTTTTTTAATCTTGTCTCCCACGTTATTGCTCCTAATTCCAATAATCATTCATGGATATAGGTGGTGACTCTACTAGGATGTTTATTTACTTCAGAAGCTCCCTTGACAAACGTGTTCCTCAGAAAAACTTGCATGACAAGTAAGAGAATGCATGAAATGTTGTCTCCACCTGCACTGAAAAGTAAAAACGCAAATGCAGGCAGAGCGTGTTCTGTGAAAGTTTTTGTTAGAAAGCTTGATAGAGAGATTCTATTCGTAGAGTGCGATGAATACTTCATTGACCCTCTTCTCACATTTCTGGTTCACCCTCTTGAGATGGCCTGCTCATTGTCTAACGACAATACCATTCTTGGATGTGTTGGTAATTTGTGTAGAAGTCAGTGTAGAGGAGCAGCTTCCACACCTTGTTACCTTCCTGATTTTTATATATGTAGTACCAACAACCTGCTTGATTATGTTCACCGAACAACGACATATGAATGTTTCAGTCCTGACAAAGCATACCTCAGTGGCAAAGTTGCCAGGTATTTTGATCGGTCTCTCTACAAAAGTGGCAACATTGTGAGTTTGTATCCAAATAATACAGAAGCCAGGCCTGGGACTTCATTAGGTTGTGGGAGTGGGTTTATGAAGAAAAAAACAAAGTTCATCGTGTTTGATGATCTTACTATAACTCCAATGAATTCATGTTCAACTATTGGCTTGTTAAAGAAGATGAAGGTAGACATCAATGGTTTCGAGGAGTATCAGATCAGAATTTCCAAAGCAGAGGTATACTTTTAGTACCGATCTTTTTACAACTTTTAGTTCTTTGGTATATCCATCTTGCCTCGGTTATAATTCATTTCCTCATACCTGCAGCTCATTAGCATTCTTAGAGCTTCCTTGATTTCCACATCTGCATTGAGCAATGGTCTCTCAAACTTGCTCATCAAGGAACCAAAGAAAGAGACTTGAACTCCACTCTAGAACTTTTCCAGATAAAGTTTCTTATGGTTTCTAGTTTTAACTATCAACTCCTCTGTTTTGGTTAGGTTGAAGGTTTTCATTTCGGCTTGTTGCTCTCTTCTCAATGCAGTTGTTGTAGATTCTTTAATGGATTATTATCTTTGATTACCACTCCTTGTTTCCAAATTATGTTCATCAAACAAGAGCAAACACAGAGGAAACGGAACCCCACTCGAAACCAAATATTATACTGAGGTAGATCAGACGCATAATTAGTTAAGCACAACACTAAATTTGATAAATTATCATCACATATTCACATCAATGATTCTCCGACATGTTCTGTTTCCCCCCTAAAAGGGTAAAGCTTAACAATTAATAAATAAAACATAAAGTAGACAAACACACAACATGTTGATTAGTTTTGTTCCTAACACTTAGAAGGCCTCTCATAATTAGGAGGCAAAGAAGGGCAATTCTCGTTCATGTTTGGATAAGGGTCAATGGTGTTATAACCAGGTAACTCCATTCTGTATTCACCCAGTATCTGACAGAACTCAAGCTTCCCTTTCTCTGTGTTACACCAACTCGGTAGCCTCGTCTGATTATCTTCAAACATCCTCAGAGTGTACGCATCTCGGATCTGAAAACAAACAAAAAAAGCGCTTAAGAGTGATGTTAAATGGAAAAGAAAAGGCACGTGAAGGCTTACAGTGAATTCAGTGACTTGGATGTGATCAGCTAGAGGGCCAAACAGACCAGCGGCTTTGTACATTGCAAGGATGAAAGCAACGCATGTCGTTGATTTCCCGTCGCTGTATACCCATTCATCCTGTTCAGGGATGGTGAGTAACTCATCAAATGACATTCCACGCCTCGCTGTTTCTTCAAGAATCCCATACAAATCAAGATCCTGTGAAACACAAACTTATCAGCTACCATGTATATTTTATTCAGGAGGGGATAAATGTATATATACCTCAGTACCGAGCCGTTTATTAAGTGCCTCGTTCCACATATTAGCAGCATATGCAGGTTGTACACGAGTCCACATAGACATGACAGAAATAACCTGAAAGTTCCAATCTGTTTACTACCATGATAAGGATGATGAATCTTCAAGAAAATAAAAAAAGTACCAAGTGAGCATCAAGGGGAGGAGGGTAGTTATCGGCAAGAGTATCGATCCAGCTGAAAATCATGTTGTGATATCCATATGGTTTTCCCAACATGCTGCGTGCATATTCCCACGCAGCAGTATTATTGAACTTTGCTCGGACATCAGGATGTAAAGGAAGCAAAGCTACTTGTGGATTTGAACTATCCTTCAATGTTAGATCCCACCATTCATCCCAAGGAATCACAACAATAATCTCTTCACCCTGTAGTGAAAACATACAAAGAGCTCAATTAGTATAAACATCTCTCTCTCTACATACTAAAACAACATATTGCTAGAAATGTTCTTTTTAAACCTTGTCGTTCTCATGACCAGATTCACCAACCCAAAGTCTCCCAAAATCATCCTTCAAACAAACAGCAGTATGACCAGCAAAAGCACCAGTCACCCATTTCTCCAACGTCTCAAACCCACCCCACCTTCCTCGTATCTTCGACACCGCCAAGAAATCTCCAGAATGCACATCTTCCGGATTAATCACAGACCGCCAAGGCTGAGGCCGTTTCTCAAACTTAGCACCCATATGTTTACTCAAGAAAGCCAAATTCGCATTCTGCCCCCAACCCGTGTTAGAGAAAAGAGGCAACACATCAATCAAAGAAAGCAACGTCCCTAACATCCCTGATGGCATTAGAAACACTGAAACTCCATGCTCCTTCACCTAAACACACTCATAAGTTAACCATCAACACAGCCTCTTAACAGAAAGACAATACAATTAATAAAAAAAACTTCTTACATATTCCAACTCAGCTGTCTCCTCCCATGAACCAAAGCTCAAAGTATGTTCTCTAGCAGAGAAATAATAATCCCAAGTAATCCTATACGGTGTTGCAAAGACATAAAGGTCCATACAAGTCAAGCTATGTGCCTCAGATGTCTGCACAAAAAAAATAAAAAAAAATCCCCCAAACTATTAAAATTCCGACAAACTAGTTAAAATTCCGACCAAAGATTGAAACTTTAACAGAAACAAAAAAATCCCCCAAACTAGTTAAAATTCCGACAAACTAGTTAAAATTCCGACCAAAGATTGAAACTTTAACAGAAATAAAAAACAAACCTTGAGATGGAGAAGACCACCTCCAAGACCAGGTTCATCTCGATCGCTACGTGTGATGTCGAGACGAGCCTGGTTGCCTTTAAAGCAAGCGCCTTTCCACTCAAGAGACGCGTTGTTGTTGTTGTCCGGAGTAACGGAGCCGATGAAGACAGGCAACAGATCCACGGCGCTGTGGAAGCTGTTGAGAACGGGCCAGGAGACTTGACGAGGGAGCATAGGGAGAACATCGTTGACGCTGAAGGGGACTTTTAGGGTTTGACTCAGGTCAACGGAAAAAGCTAACCCTAGAATAAGGTATATTAGGAGGTTTCGAGTTAGAGACATTCAAATTCAATTTTAGTGGTTTTTGACAAGAAAAAAGGTTTTGGTTGTGTTATGGTTGAAGAAGATGATGATCCATTTTGGGTTTCACCTTCTCTCTCTGTTTTTCTCTGAGAATTGGACTTTGGGGAGGTTGAGAGATGAAAGCTTGAGATGGGATGATGATGAAATAGTCTTTTCTTAGTAACTCTTAAAAAAAAGAAAAAAAGATTCTTTGCTTTGCTTTTCTTCCACGTCAGCATTACGTTTTCGCTGCTCCGAGTTTAGTTCAACTGGTTTTATGATCAGGTCCGGTTTAGTTCGGTACTTATGTTCAATTGCTTTTGTTCTAAAGTGTGTGACGAATATTCCATGTAGCATAAAGATGCTTCTTTCACTAATTTGACATATATATCTTACTATAAAACATAATGATTGTTTTTCTTTTCAGTAGAAACATTACATGATGGGGGAGGAGACAAAAGTTCACCTAAGAATTAAATGATGGTATGCAGATGCTGCTGGTCCCTTTATTCACATAAATAACTACAACCACCAAACAAGTTCGTAATCATTTGTGTAGATAACAACTGATGAGACGATCCATGCTTTTAGGAGAGTTTAGATTCCGAATATGAAGCAGTTTGAGTAGCAAGGGATAAACAAAGAGCTCTCCTCTACCGTCATTGGCTGTCTGAATGGATTTAAACCAATCTGCATTTCAAGTAGATACATTATTATTATTATTATTATTATTATTATTATTATTATTATTATTATTATTATATACCATATGGTTTCTAAACATATAATAAAAAATATTATTATAGTTTTTCTATGCAAAAAAGAAACATCAATTATCCAACAGAGGTTGATTGGGGAACTGGACATTAGTGTGTACTTGAATCCAAATTGATTTGTAAGATCTGAAAAAGAAAGAAGATGTCTTGTCCTCTTTCAACTTCATTATATGTGTCGACTCTCTGTTCTCTTTATACAGTATTTTGATGAGACATATGCCTGCCCGTATGGCAGGAATCATATCTTATCCTCCCTTTCTAATAGTTTGTGACATCATCAACCCACATAACAAAATAAAAACAGAAAATGTAGACTTACAGGTAATGAAAGTGGTTGTCCTGTGATGGTTCTAATGCAACTAGCCGCTAGATGACAAGCTTCTTCACAATAATCAGAAAACACAGCTGGGACTTCTATCTCTTTTATTAGTTCCTGAAAGGTTGTTTTTTTTGTTCACACGTGACATAGTTGGTAAAAGACGTTCTTGAGAGATACTAAACTGGAGAAAAGAAAACGTACAATAGTTGGTAACCAGCTTGGATATGCTGCGATGCCTGCGTTTGGAGCAATCACTATGTGAGGAGGAGGTGAATCCTGCAATCAGAAATCAAAAGACTTTAAATGAATCAAACCATTCAATGGTCAAGAAACTGGAAGTGGATATTGTGAAGTACCTTCGCTATGTCACTGTAACGTTCATGATACAACCCTCGATAAAGCTGTAAGGACACAGCTGAACACCCAGCTGATTTGTTACTGTGTCCGGGAATTTCATTAGAACTTTTACAATCACAGTCTTCTTCCATGCAAGGGGCATAACCCGAGAGGGAGATTATCTCTCCATCCCTATTAAACAAGAAAACATATAGAGATAAAGGTCAGTTGCATTGCTGAAGAGTATTAAATAGCACATAAGCAAAGATAATATGGAGCTTTTGAAATGCTCCTGACTCACATAAGTTGTGGAACGTCAGGTCCAACCAGTTGGACACGAATGTGCAGACCAGGGAAGAGCACTTGCAGCTCAGCAAAGACTCCAAGTTGGCCAAGCTCTTTCTGAGGACCTTCAAAAGCTCAAACTCTCAGTAAATCAGAGTTTTACCCGATAGTGGCTATGATGCATCCTTTACAACATTTATATAACTTTTAAGGGACTACACTACAAACTGCTTCACACAAGAAGGAGAAAGAAGATAGCAACCTCAAAGAAAGTTGCAGTTCCTTAAAAGCAAGAGAGTTACATACCAAGATAGTGTATACGAAGTTCATTACTAATCCGAGGAGACAAGCTTCCTATCCCAGTGGCTTGGATAGCATGATATATTGTAAGCGGCTGAAATAAGAGAAAGCTCTAAGAGTCAATAAATAGAAACACTTTCTTTAGACTAGCAAAACCGCATTAAATCACTGTCAAAAAGATAAGTTACCCAGTGGAGAAGGAGAGCAACAGGAGAATCAAGAGGTATCTTTCTCCACTCGTAATAATCCGTCCAACTACACAGCTGGCTTGGTACTGGAGATAAAGGGCCTGCAATTGTGATGAACCCGAATCAGAATTCTATAATAATCATCTCTTTCAAATAAAACCACAAGCAGAGAAGTAAAATGAAACGTACCAAGACATGGACAAGAAGAGCTTGGCAGATACCAACCTTTATTTCTAAAAGTAAAGGAAAAAGTGATAGTCATTATTAGCTCAATTTGACAAAATGGGATTCAAAATCAAGACCGTGAATATTATTAATAGATAAACCTATCATAAGCCGAGAAACGAGGAGAGGAGGCTCCACATTTGCACTCATAGATCCACATTCCAGTATGATGTAAGTCCCTTTTGGTGAGGAAGGAGCACCTACTCTCTTGCTTTTCACTAATCTAACAAGGAAAACATAAAAAAATGTTTCATGAGTTGAAGAAAAGCATCAGGTTGCAAAATTTTGCAATCAAGAAAACCAAACCTGGACTGTAGCTTCTTCTGTGAATGTAAATGGAAACTCGTTGAGCAGATCAACACCACGCATTTGCTCTTCAAGTCTCTCACACTCTTCCTTGTGATACCTCCAATGCCAACTCTGCAAAACCAAAATCAAGACTCACACACATATTAACAAGGAGTCTTATCTATAGCTTTGAGGGATCGGATCACTAGTTTTCAAGCAAAAACCTGATGAGAGACGGAGCAATACGCCACGGAGCCACAGTTGCCACACCTCCGCGTCGGTGGGCCAACGCACCGCGTCCCCAAGCCCCGCGCAGCACACTCCATCGCCCGCCGGCGAACCAAGACAACCACTCAAAAGTATCAAATGAACATCAACTCAAGGCCCATTTGTTTTTTTTTATATCTGTAGGCCCATTTGTGCTCTAATCCAAAGGCCTATTTGTGTTATTGACTAAGCTAAACAAACGTAAACATTTTTATCGTGAGGTTTTGAATGGAGGTAGGAAATCTTTCTCATTACTTCTTTCACCTCTCCTCCCAATTTCTATTATACAACCCAAAAATACTAATTGAGGTATTATTGTTCATACCATATACAAATTTATCTGATCTTTTTGCCTAAAAATCCACTTAAATCAAACACAATCAGTAGTCTAGTAGCATGATACAAAATCAAGATGAAAATAAATACATCAAATTAAAACATAACGAAAAGCAAGAGCTGCTGCTGATAACTTAGTTAAAAGTTCACCACTCTAGGTTTGAGATTAACGTCCAAAATCCGTCCGCATATAGCTTTCTTCATATGTTTGCTCTTTCCATTATTTTTACCTACAATTTTTGAACAATTTCTATAATATTATTTGAGAAATCACTACCTATGTGTTCACATTGACTCTTATACCGGTTGATTACTATGATACCCTTAATGAATATATTTAAATAATATTATTAGTTTTATGTTTAGTTTCCTTTTTAGAACCTTCCAAATAATTTTTATAATAAAAAAAGAAAAAAATTATTAAATTTAAAGGAAAAATTAAAAACGAAAATATATGTTTATATAATATGATTTCATTAAAAAAGAAAGTTCACAAAATAGCAATATACTATCAATAAAACATTATATAGATTAATGAGACAAAATCTTATATTAAAATAGTATTATTAATTTTGTATTTAGTTTCCTTTTTAAAAATTTCCAACTAACATTTATAATATAAAAACATTTATAAATTTAAAAGGAAAAACTAAAAACAAAAATATCTGTTTATATAATATGATTTCATTAAAATGGAAAATTAAAAAAATAGTAACATCCATTAAAAAATATTTTAAATAACATAATATATAGTTCTGAATTAAGAAAATACTTTCTTTATATCTATATTTTCTTATATGAAAATATATATTTTTATATAATGTGATTTCATAACAAAAAATTCACACATATAATTTTGATATTTGAAAAAAAATTATTTCTTTTAAACAAAATTTTAAGTAACATAAACAAGTATATGTTTTTTATTGACTAAAATAGTTTTAATTAAAATTGTTGAATCTTTTATTCATTTTCATATATTTATTTGACTATAGTATCTTTCAACAAAAGGAAAAAAAATACCTATAAATTAAATTTTGCTTATATAATATCATACCACATCTGAAACTTGAAGAGGTTGCGAAGCAGGTTGTAGCGACTCGTAATGGTTTCCAATGGGATCATATAACCTTATAAACACATAAATTTATCAACATTGGCAACGTTAAATTCTTTCTATATATCAAGAAAACTCACAATTTTATTGTTCGGGTTCCATAGTTTGAATTTGGAGGGTTAAATTCGTGAGTCACTCCAGTGGGTTCCTGCAAGGAGAGCAATTATCTTATGAACATGTATAAAGTGTAAATATTGTGATCAATAAATTGGGTTAAATTCGTGAGTCACTCCAGTGGGTTCCTGCAAGGAGAGCAATTATCTTATGAACATGTATAAAGTGTAAATACTGTGATCAATAAATTATCTTTACGTGAACAACAATTCTACATCCAAACACATTAGTCGCTGCTCCCCAATGCCTATCTCCGCTCATGTATTCACAATAGGCCTGAAAGCGATCACCCACTATGCCTTCATACTGATCATGGAGAAATCCCTCAAAGTCTTCACGGTTGTTCTGTGTTAAACCAAAGAACATAAGTTATTCCGAAAAGCCTAGTTTTATAATATGTAAAAAAATATGTTTTTTACCCGAATATGTTCACCAATCATGCGACGGTAGTCCGAGTGATGACCCGTATCGCCATGAGGTTATAAGAGAGTGCTCAAAACATACAGTTCCCATCTTTTGCTATTGGAACGCGATCAAGTCCTAACTGATCATAGGTTTGACGAATCTCTTGTGTCAATGAAGATACATATGAGAGCATACACTTCATAGATCGAAGTTCTGTGAGGGATGTGTAGGAGAGTATACCTGATGGTCCTGGAGACTCTTATCCTTGTCCAACCGTTTTTTACACTACAAGAAATATGTACATTATTAGCACGGAAAATATGTTATAGTACGTCATGTCTTTAGTCTTCGTATTTTCTTTTTACGAGTAGGTTGCGCGTTTTACATTTAAAGGTGAAACAACCGGCCATATTGTTATATGATATATTATCTTCCTGTTTTAATAACTTTAAACGAATGTTTTATTTCAGCTAAAAATATAATGGCTTTGATGTGAACCATAACATAGTTTGCATTGCGTGTATTACCATTTTTTTATTTCAGTTTAACGATCATTTTTTAACACGTTTTCATACGCGTCATATTTATATGATCAACATTACTATCATTTAGAAAAATGTTTTAATAATGGTGATCACCCACTATCGGATTGATTTCATTCCCTATTCGTTTGACCGATTGAGATCGCATATATTAAGAGAAATATACAATATTTATAGTTTAGGTATCACACTCGTCCTTGTGATACCTCCTCCAATGCGAACTCTGCAAAACCAAAAGCAAGACTCGAACACATATTAACAAGGAGAGTCTTGAGGGATCAGATCACTAGTTTTCAAGAGTTGAGCCAGAAGCAAAAACCTGATGAGAGACGGAGCAATACGCCACGGCGCCACAATTGCCACACCTCCTCATCGGTGGGCCAACGCACCGCGTCCCAAAGCCCCGCGCAGCACATTCCATCAGCCGCCAGCGAACCAAGACAACCCCGCCTTGGGAAGAAAGAGTATTATACATACTTAAAGCCCATTTTGTTTAATCCAAAGACCCATTTGTGCTCTAAGCCCAAGGCCCATTTGTTTTATGACAAAGCGAATCAAAACATTCAAACCTAAACGCCTGCAATGCAGTGGCAAGTGTTTACTTTTACAATTCTCATTTATTCCTTTTTTTCATTGCCTGTTTAGTATTGGACCACCCGATAGAGAGCTTATAATTTGAACTGAAGTCAAGCTTGAAGTTGCAACATCACCATAATTAATTTAAGCCCTTTTTCAAAAAAAAAACAAAAAAAAATCACCATAATTACAAAAGGTCACGAGTTTCTCTTATCTTAACATTTTTTATTGTAAGGTTTTGGATGCAAGTTGGAAACTTTCGAGAAAATCTTTCTCATCACTTTTTTTTAACTCCATTGCCAACTGCTATTCTACATAAACAAATTTATATGATTTGTAACCTAATAATACTTATCATTAACATTTTTCATACCATATGAAGATTCATAACTTTATTCAGAAACAATTACAAACGATAAATAAGCAATATTTACCAAACATTTTAAAATATAGTTTATGATATTTATTAGTAGCAATTAGAGAGGGGGAGAAAACGAACAAAAAAGACTCGCTTTAAAGCAGGCACATAAGCATTAACGAACAAAAAAAACGGTTTAGTTGAGAAATTCAGAATGGTAAAGTTGACCGGTTGACTTGACCGAAAATATGATTAATTACGTCATTTCATTAGTCTTCGTACTTTCCTTTTACGAGTAGGTTGCGCGTTTTACATTTAAGGTGAAACGACCGGCCATATTGTTATGATATATTATCTTCCTCCTGTTTTAATAACACTTTAAAGTAATGTTTTATTTCAGAATTACCTTTTGTTTTGGTGTGAACCATACCTTTATCTTAATCTTACTTGTATTACATTCTTTTTTTGTTTTTGAAGATACCTTTTTTCTTTTTGTTTAACACGTTTCTTTTTTTCTCTTATACGCGTTATATTTATATGATCAAACATTAAATACCATTTTATCTGAATTTTGTTTTATCAATGGTGATCACCCACTACCGGATTGATTTCATTCCCTTACTAGTTTGACCGATTGAGATTTGCATATATCAAGAGAAATATACAATAATTATAGTTTAGGCAACGCCAATATTCAGTTGACCAAAAAAAAACAAGACCATTGTTTACTGCGCCAGGTAAGTACTCTCTTTGCTTTTCCATTCAATAATGTTAAATTGTCAATTACCTCAAGTAATAAATGTATTACTCCTTTAAGTACACAAAAAGAAGAGTAAATGCTTGGCAAAATGTGAATTCATTTAATTGCCATAGAAAACAGAGAGTTTCACCTTTTTGTCAATAATTGAAAAAAATCGTATCTAAAACTCAGATTTTTGGCATGTAGTTAAGACTTCTTTGGCATGGAAAATATTTCTAGAAGCACAAAAAATTAAATTACACGAATTCAACACATAGCACTCCTTTTAGACAAAGTCAACGATACACATCCAACCGCACCAGCTCCACAAGACCATCACACGGAAAGGAACCCTAATTTACCAAACCACCCTCATCATCAACTCCACCACAAAGGGTCTTTCCGTCACTTGTACATATCTTAGATCAAACCCCGGGAAAAAGAGGTTCGAAGAAGAACAGATCAACTGCTCTCTACTTCTAACTCCCCTCATTTACACCAAAACCCTCCAAAATTAAATTTAATAAACCTATCAAAAATCGAATATTAACACTAGTTCCTAGAGATAAAATTAAACAAAGACGTTACCTTATTCATTTGATTCGATCTCTGTTCATGAGCTAATCGTTCATGGCTGCCATGTTACACCAGCCATGGCCGTTTCCTCTACAAGTAACCATACTTTTCTTCTTATACGTCGTCGTTTTACCGTTTCATTCCTTTTCACAATCAGACTCGCCTCAAAACATCGAGACTTTCTTCCCAACCAACGAACTCTCCCCGCTTCCTCCGCCGATAAACCCTTCTCCGTCCCCACCACCGCCGTCTAATCCTTCATCATCCTCAGACAGAGGAACAATCACCAAGGCTGTCCTAATAACAGCAGCAAGCACCGTAGTTCTCGCAGCAGCGTTCTTCCTCTTCCTCCAGAAATGCGTTATCGCGCGTCGGCGGCGACGGAGAGAGAACAGAATCAACGTCCAGAACGTTTTACCACCGTATCCTCCTCCGGCAATAACGACGGTGGCGGCTACGCAGACTTTGGCTAGAGAAGGCTTCACGCGGTTTGGAGGTAACGTGAAAGGTCTGATCCTCGACGAGAACGGTCTCGACGTGTTGTACTGGAGAAATCTACAGAGTCAGAGACAGAGACGAAGCGGAAGTTTCCGGAAAGAGATCTTCGCTGGAGAAGAAGAAGGGAGTAGTCAAGAGAAAGAAGTTATATATTACAAGAACAAGAACAAGAAGAAGGAGCAGGTCACCGAGGTTCCTCTCCTCCGAGGAAGATCATCCACTTCTCATAGTATAATCCATAACGATACTTTTGAGTTCGAATCACCGCCGCCGCCACCGCCAATTCCGGTGAAGAAAACTGCCCCATCGCCACCGCCACCTCCGCCGCCAATTCCGGTACAGAAAACTGCCTCAACACCGTCGCCACCTCCGCCGCCAATTCCGGTGAAGAAAACTGCACCGGCACCACCACCACCGCCTCCGCCTAAGAAGGTCCCTTCGCCTTCTCCACCTCCACCACCACCGCCGATGAAAAAGGCGGCGGTTTTGTCGACATCGGGATCTAAACCACCGCCTGCTCCGCCGAGAGGAGCAAGCGGAGGAGAGAGTTCGAGAAACGGTCAGGTGAAGCTGAAGCCACTACATTGGGATAAAGTAAACCCTGACTCAGACCACTCCATGGTTTGGGACAAGATCGACCGTGGCTCGTTCAGTTTCGACGGGGATCTAATGGAAGCTCTGTTCGGTTACGTCGCTGTCGGAAAGAAATCTCCAGAACACGACAAACCAAAGTCAAACTCCTCCCCGACCAAAATATTCATCCTCGATCCGAGAAAGTCTCAGAACGTAGCGATCGTGCTCAAGTCCTTAGGGGTGACACGTGAGGAGCTCGTGGAAGCGCTCGTTGAAGGACACGACTTCGCGGCGGATACGCTCGAGAGGTTAGCGAGAATAGCTCCCACGAAGGAAGAGCAATCAGCGATTCTAGAGTTCGACGGCGGCGACACGGGGAAACTAGCCGACGCGGAAGCGTTTCTGTTTCATCTACTTAAAGCGGTGCCAACCGCGTTTACGAGACTAAACGCGTTTCTATTCAGGGCGAATTATTATCCAGAGATCGCTCACCACGGTAGATCGCTCCAGACGCTGGATTTAGCGTGTAAAGAGTTGAGGTCTCGCGGTTTGTTCGTGAAGCTTTTGGAGGCGATTCTCAAAGCTGGTAATAGAATGAACGCAGGAACCGCGAGAGGAAACGCTCAGGCGTTTAATCTAACCGCGCTTTTGAAACTCTCGGATGTTAAGAGCGTTGATGGGAAGACGACTCTGCTTAACTTTGTGGTGGAGGAAGTGGTTAGGTCGGAAGGAAAACGCTGCGTTTTGAACGGACGAAGCAATAGCTTAACACGAAGCAACAGTAACAGAAGTAGTAGTAGTAACAACGCTCCTCAAGCTATGTCTAAAGAAGAGCAAGAGAAAGAGTTCTTGAAACTTGGTCTTCCCATTGTCGGAGGATTAAGCTCTGAGTTCTCAAACGTGAAGAAAGCTGCAAGTGTAGATTACGACACGGTTGTTGCGACTTGCTCGGCTCTTGCGGTTAGAGCGAGAGACGCGAGAAAGGTGATTGCACAGTGTGAAGTAGGACAAGGAGGGAGGTTTGTGGAGAAGATGGTGGCGTTTCTTGATTCAGTAGAGGAGGAAGTGAAGACGGCGAGAGAAGAAGAGAGGAAAGTTATGGAGCTTGTGAAGCGGACAACGGAGTATTATCAAGCAGGAGCTAGTGTTAAGGGGAAGAATCCTCTTCATCTGTTTGTTATTGTGAGAGATTTTCTTGCCATGGTTGATAAAGTATGCTTGGATATTATGAGGAATGTGCAGAGGAGGAAGATCATGAGTTCTCCTGAGTCGCCTTCCACGCAGAGGAATGCTGTGAAGTTTCCAGTTTTGCCTCCTAATTTCATGTCGGACAGGTCTAGGAGTGACTCTAGTGAATCGGATTCTGATATGTGAGAGGAGTTAATATTTGTTATTTGTAAATAATAGAATGATTGAGTTATTGATTTTTATTGAAAGGTATTGAAATGTTGATAGATTTATATGATAAAGGAATTTTGGTTTATGACATTTCAATGTTTATGAACATGTCTTCTATAACCCGGACTAGGTTGGTATACATCTCACCAAACATAGCTCTGTTATGTGAGTGTGAACTTAGCTTTTTTTATCCATCTTTGTTGAGTTTCTGAATTTTCTCAACGTGGAGTATAAAATAACTGAGCTTTAGAGGAAGTAGTTGTTGGTTTTGGTTATGAACAAAGCCTAATGTAAGAGGCTTTGTACTTCTTTTTTTTATCTCAACATCCACTTTTCATTAACCAAATATGGGTACACATGATTTTACACCACAGTAATGTTTCAACCACACTTACAACAAAGAGATTAGTATCATCTAGAATCACTACATGGATCCTACACTACCAATCTAGACCTTTGTTGCAACTTTAACCCCATTGAACACACACTCTTCTTAGGACACAAGAAGAGCCGGTTCTTAGAGCACCTAATTTAACCACATGAGACAAAAGCATTATACACCATTGATGATAAACAATAACCAAGTTACATCTTTGTACTTTTTAGTATTCAGAGGGCGTAGGGGTTAATTTGTTGACAAAATAAATTAACTTAAAAAACTTTTTTTTTGTCAACCACTAAAGATAGCACAAAAATAGGTAATAAATCTTATATAAGCAAAAATGATATAAAAGGTATTGAAATGTTGTTAGATTATATAATAACGAATCTTGGTTTATGAACATGTCTTCATCAACTGCGTTTGCTTATCTAATAAGCACTACTGAATAGTTTGATGATTGTAACTTGTGAGTGTGAACTCAGCTTTTATCTATCTTTATTGACGTTCTGAATTTCCTTGAACTTGGACTAAAGCTGATCTTTATAGAACGTAGAAGTTGATTTTGGATATGAACAGAGCATATTAATAGTGCATGTGAATTTCTTTGTCGGTTTTAATTATTCAGGTAACAAAAAGGCAGAGCTTTAGAGGAAGGTGGAGTTGATTTTGTATATGAACAAAACATTAATACTACTATTATAGTGTGTGTGTGTGACCACCTTTCACGTCTTGTAATAGTTTTGAGTAGTAAAAATAAAATAAAATAAAAAATAGTTTTGAGTAAAAAGCAAAGCTCTATAGCCATATAGCAACTTTACGAAACATCGCAACACTTTCTCTGCCTTTTTTCTCAATAACAACGCGTAGCCAAGAACAAGCGCGAGTTCCACATGGAGGAATCTTGATGCTTATAAAAATTACACACTAAAAGTAACCTACCACAACACAACTCCCAACACAACTATAATCAGTCATGTCTCTGCCTCTAGAGATGTTCTTGATGTCCTTCTTCTGCTTCTTCTTTATATTCTTCCCTATGGACACAGTTTCTCAAGTCACAGACCCAACAGGTGGACAGTTTAGCTTCAACGGCTACCTATACACCGACGGAGTTGCAGATCTAAACCCTGACGGATTATTCAAACTCATCACTTCAAAGACACAAGGTGGAGCTGGTCAAGTTCTCTACCAGTTCCCTCAAAAGTTCAAGAACTCAAGAAACTACACCGTTTCATCTTTCTCCACCACCTTCGTCTTCGCCATCACGGCGACCAGTAAAACAGTCGCCGGTTGTGGACTCTCCTTTGACATCTCCTCCACAAAAGGGTTGAAATCTTCTGCAAGCAACCGCTCTGTTTCAGTTGAGTTCCATACCGCCAGAACCAAAGGTAAAGATGTAAACGAGGTTGCTGTCAACGTCAATGGTTTAAAATTATATAAAAACCACTCTGCTGGTTATTACAAAGATGATGGAACTAGTTTTGTGGATATAGAGATTGCAAGTGGAGAACCAATACAAGTATGGGTTGAGTATAACAACTCAGCTAAACAGCTTGATGTTACAATGCATTCTATCACTACATGTAAGCCAAAGAAGCCTCTGCTTTCGCTGCGAAGAGATCTTTCTCCTTATCTACTTGAGTACATGTATGTTGGCTTCACTTCAGTAGGTAGTCCAACTTCTTCTCATTACATTCTTGGCTGGAACTTCAACAACAACGGGTCAGTTTTACCTATAGCTCTCTCTCGTCTCCCTAAACTTCCAGACGAAAAAGATCGGTCGTTGAGCCGCAAGATCTTGGTGATTAGTTTGAGTCTTTCAGCGTTTACACTCATTCTAGTCTTGGTTTTTGGAGCTGTCTTCTACTTGAAGAGGAAGAAGTTCTTGGAAGTTATTGAGGACTGGGAAGTTCAGTTTGGTCCTCATAGATTCACTTACAAAGATCTTTTCATTGCTACTAAAGGTTTCAAGAACAGTGAGCTTCTTGGAAGAGGAGGTTTTGGGAAAGTCTTCAAGGGGGTGTTACCATTGTCTAGCATACCGATCGCGGTGAAGAAGATTTCTCATGATTCAAGACAAGGAATGAGAGAGTTTTTGGCTGAGATTGCTACCATTGGAAGACTCAGACATCCAGATTTGGTTCGTCTTCTTGGCTACTGCAGACGCAAAGGAGAGCTTTACTTGGTTTATGACTTTATGCCTAAAGGAAGCCTTGATAAGTTTCTTTACAATCAACCAAATCAAGTTCTTGATTGGTCACAAAGATTCAAGATCATCAAAGATGTTGCCTCAGGGCTTTGTTACTTGCATCAGCAGTGGGTGCAAGTGATCATCCACAGAGATATTAAGCCAGCAAACATTCTTCTTGATGAAAATATGAACGCGAAACTTGGTGACTTTGGACTTGCAAAACTATGTGACCAAGGGATTGATTCTCAGTCCTCAAATGTTGCAGGTAAGTTTATAGTTTTGTGAATTTTAATATATTAATCAATCAAGATTTTTGGACTTATTGAGGGGTTTATTGTTGTTACTTTGGACGCAAGGTACATTTGGATATATATCACCAGAGCTTTCAAGAACAGGAAAATCAAGCACAAGCTCTGATGTTTTCGCATTCGGAGTGTTCATGCTGGAGATTACTTGCGGAAGAAAACCCATTGAGCCACGAGGATCCCCGAGCGAGATTGTTTTGAGTGATTGGGTACTAGACCGTTGGGATAGTGGAGATATACTTCAGGTGGTGGATGAAAAGTTAGGGCACAAGTATCTTGAGGAACACGTAACTCTAGTTTTGAAACTAGGGCTGCTTTGTTCGCATCCAGTGGCAGCCACTAGACCAAGCATGTCAAGTGTAATGCAATTCTTAGACGGTGTAGCCACTCTTCCTCATAACTTGCTTGAACTTGTGAACGCTCGAAAAATTGATGGAGGATTTGATGCTTTGGGTGAAGCAACTGAGTCTCCAGGGGACAGTAGTAACACTTTTTCTTCCGTCATGACGGAATCGTTTGTCTCTGGTGGACGCTAACTAATAATCTTATTTTAATGTTTAATAGTACGAGATTGTAGAATGTGAATGAAATAATGTTGTTTCTTTGTTTCCACTAAGTATATTTCCTGAAAATAGTGAAATAAATTTTTCTTTTCCGATAAAAACTACAAAATTCGGTAAAATTGAAATATTTCCTTTTAAAATAGCCAAAAAAGCGAAAGTTGAGTTTCCCGGCATAAATTAAGTATAAATTTATCGGTTCATTAGATTACTTAATATATTGATATATTTTTTTACTGATTTAACACATTTTAGCTAAAAAAAAAAAGAAGTACACATTTATATATTTAAAACAGAAAGAGATTTAAAAATAAATAAAACCGAATCAGAAAAAAAAAAAACAAGACGTTTTTGTATGGATGTGGGGTTAATTTTCTTACTAAAATTACCGGGCCGAAGCCGAGGCACATAGTAGCCCACTTAACAGCCCAGAGGCACATTATTGGGTACATATATAGAAACACACACGACGAGCAAAGCAATAGAGAAGAAGAAGATTACGAGAAAACAACCCTAATTTTTTCAATGAGCGATCTAGGGGAGAAATGGGACGAGGAGAAGATACTGACAATGAATGGGAAGGTCTACTCAGTGAGGTTCGAAGAAGATTTTGTTCGTGTACCATCGGTGGTAAAGCAGGAGGTAGATTTGCTCAATGAGTTGCACGTATCAGACGTGTATCACTGCGATGGGTTGGTGTTATGCGTGGCTAAGGACAAGAAAGAGGAACCGAAGCTGGTGTTGTGGAACCCTTATCTGTGTCAAACAAGGTTTATTGAACCGAGAGATAGTTTCAATTTAGCAGACAGGTACGCCATCGGATATGGCTCGGGGGGGCGCAACCACAAAATCCTGAGGTTTGTGGACGAATACACCGTTAGACCAGAACGTAAACACGAGGTGGTGTGCGAAATTTATGACATTAGGTCTAATTCATGGAGGGTTCTCGATGCGGTTGAGAATCCCGAGTGGTCGATAGAGAGGGATGAGCGAGGCGTGTCTGTCAAGGGAAACACCTACTTTTATGCTAATCATTTAATAGAAACAGGCCGGGTTATTTCTGGATGCAACATTACAGAGTTTCATGTTTTCGTACTATGTTTTGATTTTGCCAAAGACAAGTTTGGACCACGCCTGCCTCTTCCTTTTGACTCCTCTTTCGATGGTTTCAACGGTGACGTTGCGACCGTCTCAAGCTTCAATGATGATGAGCAGCTTGCGGTCCTGTTTGGTGGTTATGAGTCTGGCTTTTTTGAGATTTGGGTTACCCGTAATGTTGACCCCAAAGGTGCGTCCTGGAGCAAAATTTTGCGAATGGAACCAGGGCCCTTCTGTGGCTACGGTTTTCAGCTCCAGGCGGCATCAGGGAGCTTCTTTGTTGATGAGAAAAACAATGTTGCTGTCTTGTTTGAACTATACCTAAACAGAACCCAGAACTATCACAAGGCTTTTGTGTTTATACGAGGCAGCTACTTCAAATCATTCACCCTCGGAGAAGCTGAAGCTATCACACTCCAACAACGTTGCCCCATCACCAACGAGTTCTATAAAACTGTTCCTCCCCCACTTGTTACCTCTTATCGTCCAAGCTTAGTGCAAGTCGAGCAACCGAGTCTTGTGCACAAAAGGAAACGCATGGCTCTATCTGATGCTCAGAGATTAAGTAGTGTGAGTTTATTATTATAATATATATTCCTGCTGTTTGAGATTTGCCATTATTATTTATACACATCTATTCTTTTACAGAAACCACCGGATATGTTTGATTTTTCACAATTTTACAGGTTAAATTGAGTAAACGCATGTCTCCACCTTCTCAGTGAGATCAAGTGTAAGTTTTATTATATAAGAATTCAATTGCCATCCTATTCTTACAGAAACTGAATGTTTGATTTTCACAATTTTACAGGTTAAATTTGAGAATCTGACCAAGTTTGAGATGTGGAAACTCTTTGCTTTTGTTTTATCTTGGTTGTGATCGCAGTCCGTCTATGTAATCTTTTTTTTTATCTTTTGTCACAAGACTGTTCTATCGAGCTCTTCGTTGTCAGACTTGTTTCTAAGACTACTATTATTTTATGCTTATTTTCAAGCTCTTGTGTTTTTGACATTACCCACTATGTTTTAAGACTTGCTTGAACTTGTGAATGCTCGAAAAATCGATGGAGGATTTGATGCTTTGGGTGAAGCAACTGAGTCTCCAGGGGCCAGCAGTAATACATTTTCATCGGTCATGACGGAATCGTTCGTCTCTGGTGGACGCTAACTAATCATCTTATTTTATGTTGCATAGTCTCGAGATGTTGTATAATGAGATTGAAATAATGTTTTCTATCGTTTCCACCAAGTTTGAGGTGAAGATTGTTTTCCTAGTTTTTAATTTCTCGTTTTAGATTTTAATTTTGCTATAAAAGTTAGTTTTTTTTCTGAACCTGAATGGTTGATTTAGATTTATTTTTAAAATTAGTAAAATAAAAATTATTTTTCACAGTAAAATGTTTATTCTGAAAAAAAAATACTATTTATCAAAACACACATGAAATCCAAATGCTTAAAAAGGTTTAAGTTTACGTTTGCTTTGTCTGTGTTGGTACAGGGCCGGCCCAGGGGCATGCCTAATAAAACATTTGCCTCAGGCTCCCAACAATTTTGAAGAAAACAACATGTGTATAGGTCCAAAAAGAAAAAATTTTAGGCCTCCAAAAATTTTTTTTTCATAGGAATCGCCATATGCCCCCAAAATCTCAAGGCGGATCCTGGTTGGGTAATAGACGTAGGTCTGTATACTATTTAACTAAAATTAACAGAAAATAAATAAAAATATGTTTGTTTTTTTTGTTTTTGGTCGTAGTTATTATTATATTTTTGATCTAGGCGCTTTTTTTTGAATAAGAAAATGTTTTTTTGAATTAAGCTTGGTCGTAGTTATATGTAGGGAGAATCTAAAAAGATATGGATTTTGTTTTTTGTTTTTTTTTTCAAAATACGACTCTAGTAATAGCATAAACTAATTTCCCTTTAAAATAGGAAATCTACTTGACCAAAATTATGACTGGATAAAAAGTAAATTCTGAAAAATCTAAAATCGAAATCTAATGTCAATCAAACTAAAATCTACACCAGAATCCAAGAGAATAGGAATAGATTACTTACTGAACAAGAGACTTAAAAAATTTGTGAAGCGTACATAGGTTTTCAAACGCAAATCTTTGTGGAAAAATCGTGTAACACGGGATGGCCTTGACGATACTATGTGTCAAATAATTGATTAGTTAAGATCCTAGCACTATAATTTGTTATTGAACATAAGAAATAACTTTTTTTATCAAAAAATAAAACATAGATAATAACTTAAAGAAATCATTGAAAATCCTTACTAAACATACTTTGTGAAGATACGTCTCGATGCTTCTAAAGGTTCACAGAAAAAAAAAAGAGAGGAAAAAGTAAACAAATCTCCGCAAACGTAGAGATAAAAAAACTAGGCCAAACGGCATGTAGGGTTGTCCCTAGACGCAGTGGCCTTGTTGGAACCTGGATCGAACCGCAACGTGGTTTCATCACAATCATAGCTCAAAACTCGTGTCGAGTTTTCTTCACATCGAGTAAGAAAAACACGCGATCCGAACTTCACTTCACTCCTTTCATTGATATCTTTGATAATGTTTTGTCCAACCAAAACGTGGATATCTTTTGCAGAGACCGTGGCTGAAACCCTAACTCGCTGAGGCGACTTGTATTTGAGATGTTCGTAACTAATTAAAATATTTAATTAATCAATTGTCTTTCTTCTTCTCAAAAAAAGGTTTTTCACCAATACAAAAGTCTCTTTGAGATCCTCAAAGCGGATGTTCTAAAGAAATGAAATGAATATTAGAGAAACCCTAACCTTTGTATGGACGAGGTAGCAAGGGTTAGATCCTTGTAAAACAAGGACGCTTGAATGTTTCCTCGAAGACAATATTTGTTTTCACTAAAAGGATGGTGACGAAACCCTATCAATAAATCCCAATTTACCGTGAAATCCATAGAAGCTACTTCTATATTCGGCACGTGGTTTCTGTTTATTTCCCAAATTGAAAAAATTGTAACAAAAGCCAAAAAGGCCAAAAACACTAGATTGCAGTCATCTCGTCTACTTTCTGTGCGTGACATTATGCACGATTGGTTGAGTTGAGCAGATCAGAGAGATAGAGATGAGAAGAAGACTGAGAAATTGTAGTTGTGATTGAGATGATAATGAATGCGCCCTATATATATACACAACCACACACACGAGAATTATAAATAATCATAAAAATTCTCTGTATATTAATCTTAGAACATTACAACATATTCTCGTAATCAAGTGTTATCACAAGATCGATTTTTAGAATCTCTAGAAAAATAAATTGGTCATGTAAATATATATTATATTTTTATTAAACTAATTATCAAAATGATTAGTAGTGTACAAAATAATTTTTTTTCCTTTCTTTAAATAAAAATTACAGAATTACCAAATATGATTAACATATATATGTAATTAATGATTATGAATAATATATATTTTTGAATCCTATTTTTTTTTTAATTTTACATTAATAAAAAGAAATTAAACAAGCACATTAAATATATAATAAAAAATGTTTTTTCCTTATATGTTATATTTCGAATTTTTAAAAATGACCATAAATTACTAAAAATAGTAAAAATCCCACAAGATACAAATTATCATAAATCGTACGAATATGAACTCTCACTAGTAGATTCATATTATATATATATATGTATGTATAATATCACTTAAATCAAATTATATATATAATTTAATTTAAAAATTCCAGTGAATCAAAAATGTCAATAATAAATATTTATATTAAAATATACTATATATATATCTATGTTAATATCACTAAAGTTTAATTATATACCATATAAAGTAAATAAAATGGTTGTAAACTAACAAAAGTTACTCTAATGTATACACTTTACTAGAGTTTCATCCGCACATTCGTACGGGTATATTTTTCATTTTATAAATATATATTACTTAAATTTTTAAATATATGATTTGTATTTTAGTTTTAGTTATAATTATATCTAATAATGAAATAAAAAATATTTATCTAATAAAAAATATTTAAATTTTTTGGTAAGATCTTATTATCTATAATAAATGCTTGCAAGCGTTCAAGAAGCAAAATGGAAACAAAGATAATAACGTTGTCATTTTATTAAGACGTTGTAATACTTTCTTCACAAAACTAACGGTGACTTCTTGAGTGTTGTTGCCTTGCGCTTTAGGCCACGGAACCCTCCACTCTCTAATGCTATCAGGACTAGCTCAATGATAATTAATTAGGGGTTGATTTAATTCAATTAAGCTGTCAGGAAACAAAGAATAAGCTACCGTGATTTACTTACTGTTAGAGAGATAAGAGTGCACAACACAACTGTTTTATCTAGAAATAGAGCCGCTCATTTTTTAAGACATTGTTAAGTTATTGTCCTCTGCAATTGTATATCTCTCTTGTACAAATAGTATGCAGAAGAATCAATAAAGTAATCAAGAAAGGAACAAAAAACCCTGAAAATTCTCTTACTGTCCATTGGGGTTGCGTAACTGGATAACAATTAAAAGGATATTTCATTCCGACCTAATAACAAATATTTCATTCTCGCTAAGCTATATATGTGATCATGGGATTGATCCTCAGACCTCTCATGTGGCAGGTACCTTGTTGTAGTTTGCTTATTTTTTGTTGAAGACATAACCTTTAAAAGGATATTTCATTCAGATTTCACAATGTTGTTTGAAGGTACGCTTGGTTATATTTCACCTGAGCTCTCAAGAACAGGAAAGGCAAGTACAAAATCAGATGTATTCGCACTTGGAGTGGTAATGCTAGAGATTACTTGCGGGCGAAGACCCATACTGCCACGAGCATCAGAAAGTGAGATGGTACTGACTGATTGGGTGTTAGACTGTTGGGAGAATGGAGATATAGTGCAGGTTCTTGATCATAAGATAAAGCAGGAGCATATTGAGAAACAAGTGGCACTTGTTCTCAAACTAGGGTTACTCTGTTCGCATCAGGTAGGCCAAGCATGTCCAGCGTCATTCAAATCTTGGATAATGTGGCTCAGCTTCCTCTCAACTTACTTGGTATTATGAAGTCTCGAGAAACTACTAATGGTACTCATATCTCATCTGATTCTCCTGAGTCATATTCTGTGGCACCTTTGACCTTCACTGAGCCATTTCTCTCTCGTGGACGCTAACAGATTAAAAGAAAACTTATGCTCTCTCAGGTTCTTGAATTCCATAGAATATGAAAGTCTTTGTAATAAAGTTTGCAAGTCTTTATGTCCTTGATTCTCAATTATAAAAACAGAGCCGCTCAATTCTTAACAAATAATTTATTGAAAATACATAAAACTGACCTTGACTTGTGTAAGAGTAAACTAATATTATTCACATAAACTATTTATTACTTCTTTAGTGATAGTTTAATAGCACGTCGTACATACTAGGATTAGATCATTTGGTTCTTGAATTCTTGTTATTGATCAATTATCTTCGTTGACTTCTCCCTAAAGTCTCTTCTTTCTAGGAATGAACATTAGGTTTGTGTCATCCATAATCAAACCAATCATGTTTCATCAGTTGACTATGATGTTATTGTTGTTCTTCTCCAAGAACGTAGTATGTCTTGTTTCAGACCCAACCGGTGGAGAGTTCAACTTCAACGGATTCCTATATGCTGCAGGATCAGCCCATCTAAAAAGCAACGGCCTCTTCAGGCTTACAAACTCCACAGCACAAACAGCTGGTCAAGTCTTCTACAACTACCCATTGAGGTTCAAGGACTCTCTAGATGGTACCGTCTTCTCCTTCTCAACCACTTTCATCTTTGCTATAGCTTCCCATTATGGAGCTGTTAATGGCCATGGACTAGCCTTTGTCCTCTGTCCCACGAGAGGTTTGTCCAATGTTGACCCCACACAGTATCTAGGACTCTTCAACTCCAGCAACATGGGAGATCCATCGAATCACATAGTAGCTGTTGAGCTTGACACCGTACAAACCGCTGAGTTTAATGACATAGATGCTAACCATGTTGGTATTGACATAAATAGTGTGGTCTCAGAGGTAGCTTCTTCAGCAGGCTATTTCATGGATGATGGTACATTTGTGAATCTCTTCCTCTCTAGTGGAGAACCTATGCAGGTTTGGATTGAGTATGATAGTAAACAGAAGCAGCTTAATGTCACACTTCATCCTCTGCATGTCTCTAAGCCAAAGAATCCTCTCCTTTCTCTACAAAAAGACCTCTCTCCTTATATACTTGAGTTTATGTATGTTGGATTCTCTTCATCCACTGGTATAAGAACTTCATCTCATTATATATTGGGTTGGACGTTCAAGATTAATGGGACAGCTCCAGATATAGACACTTCTCACCTTCCAGAGGTTCCTCGTTTTGATCAGCCAAAGGACCAGAGTGAAAAGGGGGTTCTGGCTGTAAGTTTGATCTTATCAGGCATCACAATGCTCATCGTCTTGATTCTTGGCTTATGGCTTTTCTTGAAGAGGAAAAAGCTATTAGAAGTTCTTGAGGACTGGGAGGTACAGTTTGGTCCTCATAGGTTTGCTTACAAAGTTCTACACACTGCTACAAAGGGGTTTAAGGAAACTGAGCTTCTTGGTAAAGGCGGGTTTGGGAAAGTCTTCAAGGGTACATTGCCAGTTTCCAACATAGAGATTGCAGTAAAGATGGTTTCTCATGATTCAAGACAAGGCATGAGAGAGTTCATTGCTGAGATTGCAACCATTGGCCGCCTTAGACACCCTAACTTAGTTAGGCTTCTTGGATACTGTAGACGCAAAGGTGAACTCTACTTGGTGTATGATTGTATGCCCAAAGGTAGTCTTGATAAGTTCCTCTACCATCATCATAATGAGAAACTTGATTGGTCAGAGAGATTCAAGATAATCAAAGATGTAGCTGCTGGACTCTACTATTTGCATCAACAATGGGTACAGGTGATTATCCACAGGGATATTAAACCAGCTAACATCCTTCTTGATGGAAGTATGAATGCAAAACTTGGTGACTTTGGTCTTGCTAAGCTATGCGATCATGGGATTGATCCTCAAACATCTTATGTGGCAGGTAACTTCTTCCACTTTTGCTTATTTTTGTCTTCAAGAATTTTCTTATTTTCACTCACAAATGTAGTTACTTGGAAGGTACGTTAGGGTATATCTCACCTGAGCTTTCAAGAACAGGAAAGGCAAGCACAAGCTCAGATGTATTTGCATTTGGAGTGGTGATGCTAGAGATTGCTTGCGGGAGAAAACCGGTACTGCCACGAGCATCGGAAAGCGAGATGGTACTGACTGATTGGGTGCTAGAGTGTTGGGAGAATGGAGATATAATGCAGGTTCTTGATCAAAATATTGAGCAGGAAAATATTGAGGAACAAGTAATGCTTGTTCTGAAACTGGGCTTGCTCTGTTCCCATCCAGTTGTAGCCATCAGACCAAACATGTCTAGTGTCATTCAGTTCCTGGACAGTGTAGCTCAACTTCCTCATAACTTACTTGACATTATGTCAGCTCAAGAACTCAATAGAGGTAATGAAAACTTAAGTGAAGAAGCTGATTCTCCTGAGTCCAGTTCTGTTGCTTCATTGACCTTCACTGAATCCTTTGTCTCTCATGGACGGTAAAGAGATGAGAACAAAGATCTCTCCATTGGAAATAAAAGCCTTGGCTATCTATAAATATATGCTTGCAAGAATTCAAGAAGAAAAGTGGAAAGAAGACATCATCCTCACGTTTATATTCCATAGACTCTATACATATACATTAAACAAAAGATTCTGTAATACGTTCCTCACATACTTAATGGAAACTTGGTGACTTCTTTTTATTAGAATATAACATTGATTCTATCCATATGTTTCCTGAAAAGTTCCTGGTAATAATCTTTGCCTTGCGCTTTAGTCCATGGAACCCTCCAGGAAATCATAATAAAACAATGCTCATCTGTTACATAATAAGTTTGTCTGAAGAGCCTTTTGGGAGAGGTCCTCGCATGGATTTTGCTTTTGGATCAAGACTTTGCCTCCAAGATTTGGCATCAGTTACGCCTACCTGATTCGACAGCAATGGTCAATGACCATGACGATATTATCAGCGGTGATGAAAAACAATACAGGAGGTTCTCTTGTGAGAGGCTTAAAATCTGAAGAAGCCCTTATGAGTAATACATTTGGTTTCGCTATTAACTAGTAAGGAGTAAGGGTATCCTATCTACAGCTCTTGCTCCAGGCCTTGATAGCTGAATTTGGAGAATAAATATTAGTGCGTGGACACAAACGATTAGTAAAACCATCACGTTGATATTAAAGGAAAAAAAAAGCGGACACAGTTTGATTTGCTCATCAGACATGTTACCTCCTGTTTCTCCGCCGTCCAAGATGAAGAACGGTGAGAACTCTAGTCTTTTTTCTACATGTCATCTGATTTAGCAAAGCCTATTTCAGAATAAGAAGTTAAATTCGTAAACAAATACCTGATGATTTTTAGCACACACTAGATGATGATGCTTGCGCAAAAGAGCACTTCAATGAAATAAATGCAACTAGAAAAGAGAGCACAAGTCCTAGTTCTACCTGACATTTTTTTTTCAGACCAGTAGTAGCTATGTCCTATGTATAATGTTTCCGCTCCTATGACTCTAATTACTATGTCTAATAAGCTAGAGAAATGAAATTATATATTCAGTTTTTTGAAAAATAAGTTAAATACTATGATTTATATATATGGGAACACATAGTTTCTAGAGTTTATCAAACGCCCAATATATATTTTTACTCAGTCCTCAGCATATTCGAAAAGGTTCTGAGATGTCCATGTGCTACATAGGTCTCTTCACGTCCTTAATTCTGAGATATAAAACAGACCCGCTCAATTCTTAAAAACATTATTTTATGAAAATACACGAAATCAACGTTGACTTGTGTAAGAATAATAAACTATATAATTATTCACACAAACTAATTAGTACTGCTTTAGTGATAGTTTATTGGCACGTACTAGGATTAGATCATCATTTTGTCTCTTGAATTCTTCTTATTGATCAATCATCTTCGTTGACTTTCTCCTCATGAACATTTGGTTTGTGTCATCAAAGATCATGATGTTATTGTTGTTTTTGCTGCTGTTGTTCTTCCCCAAGAACGCACTATCAGAACCAACTGGTGGAGAGTTCCACTTCAATGGATTCCTATACGCTGCAGGATCAGCTCATCTAAAAAGCAATGGCCTCTTCAGGCTTACAAACTCTACAGCACAAACAGCTGGTCAAGTCTTCTATAACTACCCATTGAAGTTCAAGGACTCTCCAAACGGTACCGTCCTCTCCTTCTCCACCACTTTCATCTTTGCTATAGCTTCACATTATGGAGATCTTAATGGCCATGGACTAGCCTTTGTCCTTTGTCCCAAGAGAGGTTTGTCCAATGTTGACTCCACACAGTATCTAGGACTCTTCAACTCAACCAACATGGGAGATCCATCAAATCATATAGTAGCTGTTGAGCTTGACACCGTCCAAACCCCTGAGTTTAATGACATCAATGCTAACCATGTTGGTATTGACATAAACAGCTTGATCTCGGAGGTAGCTTCTTCAGCTGGATATTTCAATGATGATGGTATGTTTATAAATCTCAACCTCTCCTGTGGAGAACCTATGCAGGTTTGGATTGAGTATGACAGTAAACAGAAGCAGCTTAATGTCACACTTCATCCTCTTCATGTCTCTAAGCCAAAGAATCCTCTCCTTTCTCTACATAAAGATCTTTCTCCTTATTTACTTGAGTGTATGTACGTTGGATTCTCTTCATCCACTGGTATAAGAACTGCATCTCATTACATTTTGGGATGGACGTTCAAGGTTAATGGGACAGCTCCAGATATAGACACCTCTCACCTTCCAGAGGTTCCTCATTTTGATCAGCCAAGGGACCAGAGTGTAAAGGGGATTGTGGCTATGAGTTTGAGCATATCAGGCATCACTATACTCACCGTCTTGATTCTCGGCTTATGGCTTTTCTTGAAGAGAAAGAAACTACTAGAAGTTATTGAGGATTGGGAGGTGCAGTTTGGTCCTCATAGATTTGCTTACAAAGATCTACACAGTGCCACAAAGGGGTTTAAGGAAACTGAGCTTCTAGGTAAAGGCGGATTTGGAAAAGTATTCAAGGGTACATTACAAGTTTCCAACATAGAGATTGCTGTAAAGATGGTTTCTCATGATTCAAGACAAGGGTTGAGAGAGTTCATTGCTGAGATAGCAACCATTGGCCGTCTTAGACACCCTAACTTAGTTAGGCTTCTTGGATACTGTAGACGCAAAGGTGAACTCTACTTGGTGTATGACTTCATGCCTAAAGGAAGCCTTGATAAGTTCTTATACTACCAGCAGAATGGGAAACTTGGTTGGTCAGAGAGGTTCAAGATCATTAAAGATGTAGCTGGTGGACTCTACTATTTGCATCAACAATGGGTGCAGGTGATTATCCACAGGGATATTAAACCAGCCAATATCCTTCTTGATGGAACTATGAATGCAAAACTTGGTGACTTTGGTCTCGCTAAGCTCTGTGATCATGGGATTGATCCTCAGACATCTTATGTAGCAGGTAACCTCTTGTACTTTGCTTATATATCCTGAAGAATTTTATTATTTTCACTCACAAATGTAGTTACTTGGAAGGTACGCTAGGGTATATCGCACCTGAGCTTTCAAGAACTGGAAAGGCAAGCACAAGCTCAGATGTATTTGCATTAGGAGTGGTGATGCTAGAGATTGTTTGCGGGCGAAAACCGGTATTGCCACGAGCATCGGAAAGCGAGATGGTACTGACTGATTGGGTGCTAGAGTGTTGGGAGAATGGAGATATAATGCAGGCTCTTGATCAGAATATTGGGCAGGAGTACATTGAGGAGCAAGTAGTACTTGTTCTCAAACTAGGCTTACTCTGTTCACATCAAGTAGCAGCCATTAGACCAGACATATCCAGCGTCATTCAAATCCTGGATGGTTTAGCTCAACTTCCTCATAATTTACTTGACATTATGTCAGCTCAAGAAATCAATAGAGATGCTCAAAACTCAGGTGAAGCAGCTGATTCTCCTGAGTCCAGTTCCGTTGCTTCCTTGACCTTCACTGAATCCTTTGTTTCTCATGGACGGTAGAAGATGAAATACAGATGGTGTCACTGGTTCTTGATCTCTATTGAAAATGAAAGTCTTGGCTGGCTATTACATGCTTGCAAGCGTCCAACAAGTAAAGTGGAAATAAGAAATTATGTTGTCATTTATTGAGAATCTAACATCATCTCCTCACGTTTATATTCCATAGACTCTATACACATACATAAACAAAGGACTCTGTAATTTTTCCTCACATAACTAATGGAAACTTGGTGACTTCTCTATATAACATACATCATCAACTCTTTACCTCTTGAGTGTTGCTTGAAAGAAAGGACATTTTTAATCCATCTTTTCCTTGCGCTTTAAGTCCATGAACCCTTCAGGAAATAAGAAAAAAAAAATGCTCATCTGTAACAGAATACGGTTTCTTGAAACATCATAGTACTTTGTCTGAAGAGCCTTTTGGGAGAGGTCCTCGCATGGATTTTGCTTTTGGATCAAGACTTTGTCTCCGAGTTTTGGCATTGGTTACTTCTGCCTGTTTAGACAACAATGGTCAATGATCATGGAGATTGTATACCAGCAGTGATGAAAAAGTAAAAACTGACCTTTGGTTTTGCAGGTAAGCTTATCCTCTCTACAGCTCTTGCTCCAGGTCTGGATATCTGAATTTGGAGAAGAGATATTAGTGCGAGGGGACACATAAACCGAGCATTACTAAACCATTGTTCTCAAAGAGAAAAAGTGTATACAGCTTGATCTGCTCATCAGACATATTACCTCCTGTTTCTCTGCTGTCTTGTTGCTTTTCGTTACAAAAGATGAAGAACGGTGAGAGTTATAGCCCTTTTTATCCGTGCCATCTGATTTAGCAAGCCTATTTCAGGTACAGAACACAAGGTCGAACTTAAACAAAGACCTGATGATGATGCTTGAGCAAAAGCTGGTTCAGTGAAAGAAATGAAGCTAAGAAAAAGAGCATAGATCTCAGTTATACCTGCCATTTTCTTTCAGACCAGTAGTAGCTAACTTCGAAACACTAGTTGCCTTTGCAGGAACCTGGAGTAAGACATTCGCAGCATTCATTGAGTTTCAGTTTATAAACAGCCGAATCTCTAACACTTGATGAAATAGTAAAAGACTATACCTGCTTTGGAGCTGTATCTTGCTCTTTCATTTGGTCAAAACTTTTCTGGAAAGTCTTAAAAGCACGTCTAACGATTTCTTTATCTCCCATTCTTTCCATGATCAGGGATCTTCTGGTGGTAGAAAGAGGAGTAGGGTCAGAGCTAGGCTGGTCCAGGTTGAGAGAAGTGTGTTGTAACGTCTTTGGAGCGGTTTGTTTCTTTCTTTGTAAAGTTGAGACATTCTCCTTTTTTACTGAAGAGCTAGAAGCAGACATTGAACTAGTTGCTGAAGCTGGCTTGGACACTCTTGGAGTTGAAAACTTTGAGGCTCCTTTTGAGACAGGTGATGCTGCTTTGTTTGTTGTTGCCTTGATCATACTTTTCTCCTTGCTTGTTTGAGTTTTCTTACTCGTTACAACCTTGCTCGCTACTGGCTTCTTGGCCACCTGATTAGGCTGTAAAACCAAGTGTAAGGAAGACATAACACATAGTTATAAGGAAGCTTATGGTAATGTACCTTGGGAGAGCTTCTTGTATGGTTTTTTGGCACATTCTTGGTTAGATGTTGATCTTTCTCTTTCTTCGGCTCTTTCAATGGTGTATCCTTTGAGGAAACATCTTCTTTTACTAGCTCCTCTATACAAACAACATCTTCTGGGTTCTCGTTATCCTCCACTTCCTCAACGCAAACAATCTCTTCAAGTTTCCCCATCTTCAGGGTATTCAGATCCTCCCCAATCTCAACCTTCATAGTTTCTTCAAGAGGGGGCTCATGGTTACATGTATCATTCACTTCAGTAGCAATTCTGTTCACAATCTTTTCATCTTCTGAACTACTTTCGCCATTAGATCCATAACAGGCGTTAGACTCGACCACAACCGACCGGTCATGTTCTCTGTTGTCTGTGTTTACACCGTTCTCAAGACTTGGCCTGAAAGATGCATTCCTCTCCAGCTGTTTCTCCTGCTCCAAGATGATCTCAGCGTTTCTCTCAGCGATTTTCTTGTAATGTGATTCGAAGTAAGCCTTCTTTTGAGCTACTGATCCTGGAGTTGCACACTTCTCCACTTCTTCCAAGTACTTGTTTGGAGAGAATGTAGAGAATTTCTCCCATGAAAGTGAATCTTTCTCAAACTTACCAAAAGATATAGACACTTGCATTTCTTGATTCGTGGTCATTATCTGTTTTATCATATCCACAAACAAGTTTATTCTAAACACATTCATAACAATTAACAGACAAGATCATAGGACATTGACCACTGATGTGTTTTTGGTCACAAATTGAACACAGCAAATTAGGTTGATGTAAACAGAAAAGGTTAGGTTACCTTATCCTCACCACTGGCAATAGCAACTTCCATATCACCCATTAATGCTCACCAGAAAGAATCTTAATCCACACACAAAACCAAATACACTCCATTAACATCTAATAACAGTTTCAGGTTTCACTGTACACTCTTATATACGGACATGAAGAGTGGTAACAAAGCAAAGGGAGAGAAAGAGGAAAAGCATCAAAGTCTGATTTAGTAATTAGCAGTTTTTTTATGATTCTTTATCACAGAATCGAAAAGCCCACTTGGTGAGCAAACTCAGATTCTTCTGGAAATAACTAATGAGTAAGCCAAGCTTCAGTACTTGAAGAAGCAAAGAAACAGACAATCCCATTCATTAATGATTGAAGATAACGAAATTATTAGTTGAAAATCCAAAAAGAGAGGATCTTATAAAAGCTTACCTGAAAGTGAAGATAACCCACTAAACATGATGATGGGAACAAAAAGTTGAAGAAAAGAAAGAAGAAGAGATTAGATCAGAGACAAAGGATGAGCAAATGAAGACAAGAGACAGTGGGACCTTTGTCGGGAAAACAGTAAAGTAACTAAGCGTTAGAAGCTAAGGCCGAATCAAAAGGTTCCAAGATGGTACTGTACTTTGTTACTACTATTAAGAGGGGACCAAAGAGATTATTAACTATTTTAACTGACTAGTTTTGATACGACTTTAAGAATAGTTGATCAAAGTCAAAGACACAATGTAGTAGTACAATATTTGTTTACTGTGTGCTTAAACCTTTTTTCATAGAGAGTTGTTCAGCTCAAATGTTTTCATTGGTTTATCATTTGACTCCATGGTGTTTCTCTGCTTGGCCCAAGAGCTCCTTGAGTAGTAAAAATTCTTTTCAAAAGTCATTGAGAAACTATGAATAAATACGCCTACCCCAGCCTAACTTACACCAGCCCAGTAACAGCCCAAATCATGCAGTTAAAAGATGAGTCATTTGGGGAAGTGTAATGGTGAAGTTGACAAATGTTGACTACATTATGGTGGCGACTTAAAGGTATGAACAGTCCCATAAATTGTGTGCTCTGTTTGAAAATTTGCATGACTCGAGAGCCTTTAATGCAAAAAGACCAGATTCAAATAACGTAACGCTTCTTCTCCAGTCTCCTTCATTTACTCCACTTAGAAGGCTTCATCATCACGTACATTGAAAGGCTTTTTCTTTTACAACTTCTGAGATGCAAAGTCAAATATGAAATCTACTGCAACACATGTCACTAAATGGTTTATAACTCAACAGAGATTGAGATTTCTTAAGCAAATGTTTACAAAACGAATCTGAATTGAACACAACAGATGCTAAAAAGCAGAATCCTGGTCAATGGATTCCACAAACTCCCTTCTCTCACTAATCAAGTTTGTACACAAAACTAGCAACCAAAACAATATGTTTAACTCAACAACAATGTATTGTGATAACAAAACTACTACAAAACGAAGTAAAAAACAATGTTGGACTTACACATTACACTCTTACAAAAAGCTTGAATCTTCAGTTAACTCAGACAAAGAAGAGAACCCAAGAAAAGCCTGATCTTCAGCTCTCTCAATCTTATGCTCATACAAATCATACGGCTCCCAAAGATGATCCAAAGGACACGGTCTCTTCTCATCAAGCCTAACCCACGGCTTCCCTTTCCCACTCCAATGCAACAAACTCACCGGTCCTTTATGCAAAGACCTACAACTTCCTCGTACATTGTCTCCTCCCAAACCATGCTGGTTCCACCTATGATCAATCCCTTCAACATCCCCAGCAAACACCAAAAGAAAAGGAGGCAACGAACCCAACTCATAGATCCTTTTCTTCTTCTGTATCTGCATCCAAGTCTCGATCTTTTCCCTATACCTCCCTCCCCTCCACCTCACGAGATCCATCACCATCACACCCGTGTTGAAATAACAAGGCTTTCGACCCGAGAACGAACCCGGTTGTAAACCCGGGTCGGACCAGAAACTCGAAGTGAAGTATTTAGTGAAATTAGCGTGACAATACTCCGGAGCTCCGATGACACGTGTCCCGGTCAAACTCGTGTTCCAAAGCTTGGTGATATCGTCCACCACCACGATGTCCGAGTCGAGGTAAATGACTCGGTCGACGCACGTGTCGAGGATATCTCCCAAGTAGTTCCTCGCGTAGTTCAACGGGTTCTCGAGAGCCTGTCTGATCGACGAGGAGATGAGGTTGATGACTGTGTCTTCCCTAAAAATGTAGACTTTGAAGTTGAGCGAGGGGAAAGTCGACCTCACGAGTTGACTCAGGACGCGTGGACTCGCCGGGTCGAACTCGGCGGCGATGAAGTGGAAGAAGACGTTTTCGGGGCAGGAAGCGTGGCGGAGCATGGAGTGGACGGCTGCGATTGAGCCGCGGAGGTACTCTGAGTCGAGTGTCATCGCGATGTGGACGAGGGATGGGTCGCAGGACGACACGAAGTTCTCTCTGTTTGAGGTTTGGGACGAGCACTCCTTGCCGTTTCGGTACTCTGGAGCTTCCATGAACTGCGCGATGTCGAGACCGTTGTTGGCGGTGGAGATTCTTACCGGGATGTTCCGTATTCCGACAGCGAAGTGAGAGAGGAAGACCAAAGAGACGAGGAGGAGCGGTGAAACCGCGTGAGAACGCAACCGCATTGTCAGAAAACGCGTTTTTTCGCTTTTGTTCTTCTCTACTGTTTCTGCATTTGTAAGAACTGTGAAAGTAAATAATTTACTTCAAGAGTTGGAGAATGTAGAGAGAGGGTTTGGTTTTTAGAGAGACAACTGGCGTTCACGCGCTTTTAAAAACGCGTGGAGAGTGATGTGGCTTAGTTGTTAAGAGAGAGCTGTAGTAACGATTAATCCCAACGTAATTTACCTATTCAACTGATAGGACTAAGAGTTGTTAAGGTAATAAAGATCTCGGTAATTAAAATGAGAAGCAGAGTGTTTAATTTTTAGTTGTCTACGGGCGGGTGTACCGTAAGATTAAAATAATTAAATGGTGGCTTTTTGGAACTTGTGATGAGTTTGAGCCAGCTGTGAACAGCGACGGAGCCAGCTGGGAGTATGGGCTAGATGCGGAGATGAACGGTTGAGATTAAATATTTAGACGAGTTCTTTTGATTGGCTGATCACTCGCTTCCCAACTCAAATTGTCTCACGTGCTCCGCACGCGGAGTTTCTGAGTAGTAAATTTCTTATGGTAAATTGATTGGTGACCACAAAAATAATTCTAAAGAATGTTTTAGGGGAGAAGAGGAAAACAAGATTTGTTGTTAGAACAACGAGTAACGAGCGTGTCTCACTACGAATATTCTGGTTGCGTGATGCCACTTCATAAATATATTTTGTCAACTTTGTATGTGTCTCACAGACTACTGACTTGTGCCACTCAAATTACTCACTCAATACATTGTCGCAATCAAATTTTTAATATAGATATTAGTATTTTCATTTTCCAAAATTTATATTCATTTTTCAAACTAAAGACAAAATCAATTTTGAATTTTGAATTGCTTTTGTATAATCTTTTGATTCCGAATTTAATACGTTGCACAACTAATTTGGTATAAACTGAAAATATTCTTTTTTTATTTTCTGTGTGCGTCGGTTATCTAGAAGTTTAAATAATGGTGTGCCAAAAAAAGATTTGATTAAATTGAGAAAGTAAACATTTTTTAGTGTGAATTAACTAATGTTAGGTTTCAACTGGTCCATCGGGCAATGTTGTGGTTAACAAAGGAATAAAAAACCAAACCCTATATGATTATTTGAGTCCTTTATATTCACTATAAGCACTACTACTGTTGTCTGCCATGTACTCAAGAAGAAACCAAAGCACTAAAATAAGCACTAAACTTGTCTCCAAAACTTCTTCTTAAACAAGAACTTAAACATTTTCATATGTGGAAAAATTAGAAAGAAGATTTTGATTTTATTGAATATAAATACAAACATATAAGATGATAAGTGCGGAATCCGGTAGAGACGTTTGAGGTTAGGTGGTGGAAACAATGATGTGTCGTCTTGGTTACGGACGGAGAAAGTAGATAGAAGCTTTCCTCTTTGAAAATTACTAGTAAATTGAGTATTATTATAAATGTGTGCGTTTGGTGTGTGTGTGACAATTTATGAAATAGGAATGATGCTTTGCTTGACGAGTACAACACGGGTTCATTGAGTTTTTGTCTTCACCTCCCCCACTTGCTGTTTTAGTAAATTACAACATACGACAGCTAGAAAAAGACAAGCAAAGCCAGTAAATAACCAGCTATGTCTTTGCCTTCTCTTCTCGTTTCTGCAGTTATACTAACTCCGAGGCAATGCAACTTATGCTTCGAGTTTACGCTTGTTTACAAAAAAAAAATTGTTATTTATAAGTTTAACGCTTGTGGGAGTTTATAGAAATGGATTTGTAATAGAAAACCACATTAGGAGTTGATAAATGTCCCTTTGATCAAGGGAAACAATAGTTTGATAAAAGAATATGTTGTCAAAACCGAAAAAGAAAAGCTCTACACTTGAATTGAGCTCCAACCCGGATAAAAATGTTTGTTGAGTAAATTTTTGTGGTCTCTTGGGATTTTATTGAACCGGGATCTCCTTCCGGAATTTTAGATAAATGAATCTAAAAGACGATGTGTGATGCGTATCAGGTACCATAACTTATGGAAGTGTTGCTCTCAATTCTTTTCTGTCTGCTCCAAATGACTGCAAATTACAAAAGAGGAAAATGCATATTAACATAACTCTTTAACACTTGGAATTAATTTTACACCAATGTTGTCTCCAAAGGATATGAAAGGGGGAATGAAAGTTACCTCAGATCCAAAACCTTTTACGTATATATTTGTGAAAAGCTCAGATGGTTCTGGTATCGGGCTCTCCTGAACATACATAAAGAAAATGAAAGCATAAGTTTTTAGCATATGGTGGTTAATGATAACACAAGTAGTTGAAGATAGAATGAACGATAGGTTCTTACCTTGGCCTGAGCTACCGCTTCATCTACTTCTTTCCTCACTTCTTTCTCCATATCCTAAAAGTAAGACAAAGAGTGCGTTTGTTTTTTTACTTCTTCCAGGGTTGAGGACTAATAATACATATGAGAAGTAGAGGATTTATTATTTCTGAGGGAGTACCTTAAGCTCTTTCTCCGTAGCTATGTCATGAGAAATAATCAACTTTCTCACTCTATCAATTGGATCTCGCACCTAAAATGTTTACAAGATACAAATTTAAAATTTTGAAATTGAAACAATCAGGCAGCACTGTGTTACGTGGAGATACTACTCATTTCATCTGCTGAGTATTTATCAATACCAAAGACTAGTGTGAGAGTTATCTAAGAAAATAGGTCAAGCATGTTCTTGGGAAGTGAGAAACTCCTTTTTTTCTCAAACTTATGTAACCCTTTTATCAATATAATCATCTATTCGAATTTCTAACTTATTCTTTTGGAAGCTTTACGTTGATGGTAACACATTGCTAGGAGAGAAGAGGATTAACTAACCTGCCTCACGCCTGAGATTTCATCACGTGTACGGTAAGTGCTTCCTGGGTCAGACATAGAGTGACCATGGTATCGGTAAGTATCCATCTCAAGAATCTGTTCAAACACAAATGAAAATGCACCATGGTTATTCCCGTAAAAGGAGACGTGTTAATAAGAACCTAACATTACCGTCACTAAAAGAAACTGTCAGAATAACAAGACCAATGAACCTGTTTCTTGACTCCAGATGAATAAGTGATAGATAAATAGATATATAACAAGGAAAACTAGTAGGAAACTGAACAGAAGAAGTAGCAATTTTTAGAGTTATATCTACCACTATCTTGTGACAACTAACATGGATCATGAACTGACAAAAGGAACAAAAGAAAAGATGCTTACATACTGTAGCTCTATGGGATGAACAAAGTTACTGCAGAAACAGCCCTTTCCCCCAAATTAATTCAAACACAACCTCATTCAATCAAGAAAGCCTATTACTTGCAAAACATATTGGGCCAAAACAGAAATACCACACATCCAATGCAAGCATCAAATACTTTAGATTTAAACTCAGTTCCTACAACTATTTGCAGAGTTATTCTGATTTAATTAAGAGAAGTAACAAGATTACAATCCAAAGACTAGAGATTTTCATTGCAATGCATATTAAAGGAAGAAAATAGTGCAAAACTTACAATAGGTCCATTCTTGAGAGCGTGTTCTTTAGCAAACTTGCACGCTTGCTTCACAGCCAGTGCATCCATACCATCCACCTAGTACACAAAACATGATCAATACTTAACAAACTTAGCTTAGAATCAATTCACATTCCCCTTAAACATAAAAACAAAGAACATGATTCTGTATCATAACACTCTCATCTACAACTCTACCAAGAGAGACATAGCTACATTGCAAGATTCAAATCTCACCTTCAATCCAGGAACATAGTCACCACGCTTGAAATAAGCTGGAGACTTAGCCGACCTCCACTCAGCAGTTCCCATCCCATCTGCATCACACAAATCCAAATCAACACAGTCCTCATCCAACACAAAACTCAAAAAACCACTCACAATGATTATTCTCGCAAACAAGAACCGCAGGCAAATCCCAAAGCGCAGCAATATTCAAAGCCTCAAACAACTGACCCTGATTCGCAGCACCATCACCATACAACGTAAAAGTCACAGCCTCATCCTTCAAATACTTCTGCGCAAAAGCCAAACCACACCCCAACGGAGCCTGAGCACCAACAATCCCATGCCCACCGTAGAAACTCGCATCCTTCTTATAAAAATGCATAGACCCTCCTTTCCCGTTAGAGCAACCCGTCTTCCTCCCCATAAGCTCCGAGAACGCCTCGTAAAGCCCCCCGCCGCGACCAAGAAACGTGCAGTGGTCTCTGTACGATGTAATGATGGCGTCTTTCTTGGTTATGGCGGCTTCCATCCCGATGGCGACGGCTTCTTGGCCGTCGTAGAGGTGGCAGAAGCCGCGGATGAGTTTTGCTTTGTAGAGAGAGTCTGCGGCGATCTCCATTCGACGCATTAAAGCCATGTCGTGGAAGAAGGAGAGGAGCTCTTGGGAGGAAGTGGAGACGGAGCGTGAGGGGGGTGAGATGAGGTGGGAGGTGAATGGGAGGGATGTTTCGACTGTTAGTGGGGTGGTGTCTGTGGAGATGTGGCGGCGGCGGAGGAGGGAGGTGGTGGCGAGTGGGTGGAGGAGGGTGGTGGATCGGGAAGAGAGTCGTGAGAGTGCCATGTCAAGCTTTGGATTTGGTTTTTGCGGAGGAGTAGAGAGGAGAAGAAGGAGAATGTTTTTTGAAAAAGTAGAAGCGAATCAAAAGTGAAGAAGATGTAATGAAAAGGAAGAAAGAAGGAGAGATATGTCAACGTCTTTTCGTGTTGCAAAAGGACGCCTCCCTCTTTCAGTCCTAACCAAAAGTCCAAAACCCTCAAATGCCAATTGCAAGGATCTGGATTTTTATTTTTATTTTATTTTTCTTTCTAAAAACGTATAGATAATTCTTCGTTAAATGTGTTTATTAGATTTTGACTATTGACTATTTTAATAAATTCTAACAAAATTAAAACTCCTATATTAAAAAAGTATAACAACAGTAAACCTGTCTACAAATAAATATAAATTATTAACCTATATTTTTATTAAATTTAAATTGGCAAAAATAAGGTTTTCGACTAGAATGAGAATCTAGTTGTATATTGTTAATTGAAATGTTAATATGGTATTTTTCCATTATTAATGATCAAAATTTGAATTGACGTCGTAGTAATTTTAGAAGATTCGTCTTGACTACCTGGTCCATTAGATGGATTAGTTGCATATATTCGTATGTAGTTCTTTTAAAATCTTGAAAAGTATTTGAAATTCTCATAGTTATAAAAAGAATATGGAAAAAAACGAATTATATGTGAAGGTCGTGTAATTAATAAGAGTTTCAACGTAATTTTTAGCTACTTCATTGTTTCTGAACTGATTTGACAACAAATTAGAACAGACATACAGTGGGTCTTAACTAGATGTAAAAGTCTAGGAATTCCAAAATCATCGAACAAACGTAGGACAGTTTGGCCGAGTGGTCTAAGGCGCCAGATTTAGGCTCTGGTCCGAAAGGGCGTGGGTTCAAATCCCACAGCTGTCAATAATTTTTCTTTTATTTTTGTTTTCTCGTATAGACGTGTACGTAATAAAATTCTCATACTAAAAAGAAGAAAAATAAAATAAATGAGTGAAATATCCAAAACTCAAAAATCATCCCTTAGCCTGGGATTGGAACATGAACACTCTCCCCATCGTCTCCCTCACACCTTCGTCCTCCTTCAAATTCTTCCATTTCCCTTCTCCTCTCTTCTCTCATTCCCAAACCTTCCGCTTCACCAAACCCCTAACCCTCCGTTCAAGACTACTCTCTCTCAAATCCTTAAACTCTCTCTCACCCTCCCAGTCTCAGCTCTCCGAGGACTACGACGAAGACGAGGAAGAAGAAGAAGAAGAAGAGGACGAAGACGATGACGACGACGAAGCTGCGGACGAGTACGACGATATCACTGACGAAACTCGTAACACCGACGACGACGACGAGCCGGAATTCGCGGTGGATTCAACGCCGGAGTCTTCTCGGCAGCGAGTGGAGTTTAGGTGGCAGAGAGTTGAGAAGCTTCGTAGCCTCGTTAGAGATTTCGGAGTCGAGATGATTGATATCGATGAGCTCGTTTCCATCTACGACTTTCGAATCGATAAGTTTCAGGTTTATTATTAGCTTTCTCTATCTTTCTCTAATTTTTTTTAGAAATCTGAAAAAAAAACTGCGTCGTTTTGGGACAGAGATTGGCAATTGAGGCTTTTCTTCGAGGCTCTTCAGTGGTGGTGTCTGCTCCCACGAGTAGTGGCAAGACTTTGATAGCTGAAGCAGCTGCTGTTGCTACTGTGGCTCGTGGTCGACGTTTGTTCTACACTACGCCTCTGAAGGCACTCTCTAATCAAAAGTTCCGCGAGTTTAGGGAGACGTTTGGTGATGATAACGTTGGTTTACTCACTGGTGACTCTGCGATCAACAAAGATGCTCAGATTGTTATCATGACTACTGAGATTCTCCGTAACATGTTGTATCAAAGGTTAGGTGTTTCTCTTTTTGGATACTGTTTAACTCTTGAGTCTGGTCTTTTTCAGGAGCTTACTTTTTTAATATTGATTTATGTGTGGAAATTTTTAGTGTTGGAATGGCTTCTTCAGGGACTGGACTTTTTCATGTTGATGCGATTGTTTTGGATGAGGTTCATTATTTAAGTGACATATCTAGAGGAACTGTGTGGGAAGAGATTGTGAGTTCTTCGTCCACCTTTTATCCACTAAAGGTTTATTAGTTTAGTGTCTCAGTCTAATTCTTTTTTTTCTTTAATACGGTCAGGTTATTTATTGCCCTAAGGAGGTTCAACTTATATGCCTATCAGCTACAGTTGCAAATCCTGATGAATTAGCTGGTTGGATTGGTGAGGTGAGTCTGTAGATATCTTCCTTAAGAGAATGCATTACAGCTTTTCCATTATTATGTTTTCTAAGGTGGGCTGTGTTCTGTCCTCAGATACATGGTAAGACTGAGTTGGTCACTTCCACAAGACGCCCGGTTCCATTGACTTGGTACTTCTCAACGAAGCATTCTTTACTACCTCTGCTTGATGAGAAGGGGACCCATGTAAATAGGTCAGTTGTCATCTCTATGCTTTTATCGTCAACGTGTAGTGTAGAATATTTCTCTTTGATATTAATTGGAAGAGGTTTTAATTGTTGGAGCAGGAAGCTGTCTCTCAATTATTTGCAAATGTCTGCCTCGGAAGCTAGATATCGTGATGATGACGACGGGCGTAGGGGAAGGAGGTCAAGAAAACGAGGAGGTGAGACGAGCTACAACAGCCTCGTGAACATATCTGATTATCCTCTTTCAAAGAATGAGATAAACAAGATTCGCCGTTCTCAGGTCTTACAATATTATGCATCCTATCGTTTCGTTGTATATTCATGTTTTTTAGCTTCTCATGATAAGTCAATGACTAAGCTGTGTCTTGACGTTTAGGTGCCTCAAATTAGCGACACATTATGGCATCTTCAAGGGAAAGATATGTTACCAGCGATATGGTTCATTTTCAACCGTAGAGGATGTGATGCAGCTGTACAGTACGTTGAAAATTTTCAGCTTTTAGATGATTGCGAGAAGGGTGAAGTTGAGCTGGCCCTGAGGAAGTTTCGTGTTCTTTATCCAGATGCAGTGAGAGAGAGTGCAGAGAAAGGACTGCTAAGGGGAATCGCTGCACATCATGCCGGATGTCTACCTCTTTGGAAATCTTTCATTGAAGAACTGTTTCAGCGAGGACTTGTTAAGGTTGTCTTTGCCACTGAGACACTTGCTGCTGGAATAAACATGCCGGCTAGAACAGCTGTTATTTCATCTCTGACAAAAAAGGCTGGTAATGAAAGAATACAGCTGGGTCCTAACGAATTGTTCCAGATGGCTGGGCGTGCTGGACGCAGAGGCATTGATGACAAGGGTTACACTGTTCTGGTTCAGACTGCTTTTGAAGGCGCTGAAGAGTGCTGCAAACTTGTCTTTGCTGGAGTAAAACCCCTAGTGTCGCAGTTTACTGCTTCATATGGAATGGTGTTAAATCTCGTAGCTGGATCAAAAGTTACTCGTAAATCAAATGGGACTGAGGAAGGGAAAGTCTTACAAGCTGGGAGAAGTCTGGAAGAAGCCAAAAAGTTAGTTGAGAAGAGTTTTGGAAACTATGTGAGCAGCAATGTGATGGTTGCTGCGAAGGAAGAACTTGCCGAAATCGACAAGAAGATCGAGATTCTGACATCAGAAATAAGCGACGAAGCTATAGATAAGAAGAGTAGGAAACTTCTGTCAGCGAAGGAATACAAGGAGATCACTGCACTTCAGGGAGAGCTGCGGGAAGAGAAACGCAAGCGTACTGAACTACGAAGAAGGATGGAGCTCGAAAGGTTCTCAGCACTAAAACCGCTTCTAAAAGGGATGGAAGATGGAAACTTACCGTTTATATGTTTGGAGTTCAAAGATTCTGAAGGGATGCAGCAGTCAGTCCCTGCCGTTTACCTGGGACATATTGATTCATTTAACGGTTCAAAACTTCAGAAGATGATGTCTTTGGATGAGTCTTTTGCGTTGAACGTAATCGATGATGAGCTGGCGGCTGATGAGCCTGAGAAGCCTATTGTTAAACCATCTTACTATGTGGCCCTTGGCTCTGATAACTCATGGTATCTCTTTACTGAGAAATGGATAAGGACTGTTTACAGGACTGGTTTCCCTAACACTGCCTTAGCGATAGGAGATGCTTTACCTCGAGAAATCATGAAGGCTCTTCTTGACAAAGCAGATATGCAGTGGGATAAACTAGCTGAATCCGAACTTGGAAGTATGTGGAGAATGGAAGGATCTCTGGAGACATGGTCCTGGAGTTTAAACGTACCTGTCCTAAGCAGCCTTTCCGAAGAAGACGAGGTGTTACACATGTCCCAAGAGTATGACAACGCTGCGGAACAATACAAGGAACAAAGAAGCAAAGTGTCACGTCTGAAGAAGAGGATATCACGATCAGCAGGGTTCAGAGAATATAAGAAAATTCTAGAGAACGCTAAGCTGACGGTTGAGAAGATGAAACGGCTCAAGGCGAGATCAAGACGCCTAATAAACCGTTTAGAGCAGATAGAACCGTCTGGTTGGAAAGATTTCATGCGTATAAGCAATGTGATCCACGAAAGCAGAGCATTGGACATTAACACACACTTGATATTTCCTCTGGGTGAAACAGCTGCTGCGATCCGAGGAGAGAACGAGCTCTGGCTTGCAATGGTTCTCCGGAACAAAGTCCTTGTCGATCTCAAGCCTCCTCAACTAGCTGGTGTATGTGCAAGTTTAGTCTCCGAAGGCATTAAAGTTCGACCATGGAGAGACAATAACTATATATACGAGCCATCTGATACAGTCGTTGACGTGGTTAATTTCTTAGAAGAACAACGAAGCTCTCTTATAAAGCTTCAAGAGAAGCATGAGGTTGAGATTTCTTGTTGTCTGGACGTTCAGTTTTCTGGTATGGTTGAAGCTTGGGCTTCTGGATTAAGTTGGAAAGAAATGATGATGGAATGTGCAATGGACGAAGGTGATCTTGCTCGTCTGTTACGACGCACCATTGATCTCTTGGCTCAGATTCCTAAGTTGCCTGATATTGACCCAACGCTGCAACGTAGTGCAGCAGCTGCAGCAGATATCATGGACCGTCCACCAATCAGCGAACTTGCCGGTTGAAGAGGCTCCACGTTAGCTGTCTTTGGTGAAACATTGTCAACAAAAAATACATTAAAGCCTGAGATTGTGCACTATTTAAGGATACAGAACAAATTTTTCATTCAGGTGATTAATGTTGGAAAGAATAGGACAAAACAAGAGACGACTTTTGAGAGTTAATGTTACAACATACAAAAGCTTTATATACACAACCGTGGAAGCTAATCTCTTTCAGTATTCCTCTCTTCCGACAAAGCTCAATGCTGAGTATTTCAAGCAAAATAATGTCTCCTGTAAAAGCGTGCTAAGATGGCAAGTGTGAGAAATGTCATTGGCCGGTGAGAAGTTTTTGGTAACTTTGTATCCTTCTTTGCCTGATTGATGAAGAACCACTGGCAACAGGGTCCTGTCTGCTTTGGTTTAAAACCTTCCTCCTCTTAACACAATGCAAAACATCCTCTGTGTCGAATACATAGGAGACCTGCAGGATATATACCGCAACAGTTGCTTTATAAACACAAAGCTTAAAGTAAGTTATCATAGTGTGTTAAGCAGAAAACAAAGTACTATACCTTTGAAGAACTGCAGGTTATCTTACACTCCAAACCGTTCATAATCTTAACTTGATCCTCACCATTTTTACGCTTATTCCTTGGGGGAAAAAGAAGAGAGTATATAATTAGTTTCTCCATTACTATGGGATGGTCATTTGTCAATGCTCTCTATATACTTACCGGTTTAGATAGATTCGAGAATTCTCTTTCACCTTAGATTGACTGGAAAGGAATTGGTTGTAGAGGTAAGCTGCAAAAGTTTGGTCCATGGATATGGATGTCACATCAGGCTTATCATGTCCGTAGTTCAAAAGCTGGATAGATAGTTTTGTTGGTGTCGCCAGTTCCTGCAGAAATAAAAACACAAACTGTCAAGTTCATGGACCATAAGCTAGCTTGGTCCAAAGCTGTGGAAGTGATTCTTACACATTCAATGCGGTATATATCTTCATCTGGAAGGAGAACACGAGTATTGTCATAATAAACAGCATCAAGATATTTTTCAGGCTTTCTGGATTTCTCATATAAGTATAGCTGTTGTAGTTTGCTGTCCATCTCATCAGCTGCTACTACTTGGAGCTGAAAAAGATCACATTGCTCAGGTGAATCACAAGTCAAGAGAAGAGAAACAATACACCAAAAGGAAACACCTACATGCTTGATGAGCTTATAGATCAGTTTGTCCAGTGTGAAGAGAACATATGACTGTGTCCCAATTATTGCTCGGCAATCATCTTCAAACTTCGGATTATCAGACGTGCCATCAAGTAAGTTGTAGAGAGCATTCATGAATCTGTTCGAACACCGAAACTAGATTGTATAAGAAGCAACAAAGATGCATGCTGTGGTAACTGCATGTAAGATCACAAATGGATAAATCACCTGGCGTAGGAATCCGCAGGGTTTGTTGAATTTGAGGTCTTCCACATTCTTTCTGGACAAGACGAATTGATCTTTGCTGATAGTATTCTGTCATACAAAATCTGTTTACAGGTAACCAACAAAAGTTAGTCTCACATCCAGCCCCGTTGATTTGTAGATAAGAGTAAATGATGTGTTTACCTGATGAAGCCTGAAAAGAACATAATATGAGTCATTCCCATAGAAGACTCTGGAGTTCTTCCGAGTAACATCTTTGTCCTTATCGCATAACGCTGGAGGGACATACTTTGCTAGAGGCTTCACATGTAGCAGGTTACGCACAGATATGGGCAACACAGGCCTATCTCCTTCTACAGCATCATCATGTACATCAGTCATACCTTCTTCTTCTTCTTCTTCAGCCTCACCTTCACTTTCTGCCTTGTTGTTGTGTTCCATTTCATCTTCGGGGTAACAACCTTCACCATCACCAGACTCGGTTCCAGAAACATCACCATTCTGAGATGTGTTTCCGCTGCCATCTGATGATCTTGGTGCACTTTCATCACCTTCATCAACCGCATTAGCATCGTTCTCTCCGCCACCATCTTTACCATTGCTGAGAGGCTCCAAGTCATTCTCTGCAAAGTTATCTTCCTCAAAATCTCCTGTGGGGGAAAGTTCACCCTCCTCTCTTTCGACTTTGGCTTCACCAGCAGACACTTCGTTACATCTTTGATTAGTCGATGTTTCCCCCACTGTCCCATTTGGAAACACATCCACACGTGGCCGACTAACATGATTCAGCAGCTTCAACTCCATCTCCTTTATAGTGGCCAACACAGTAGATTTAGAAAAACTAAGGATTTTTCCAGACCTTTGAGGTAGCAATCCATCTACAGGCAGTGTACTTGAGTTAGAAACAGCTTGGTTGGTGTCAGGTGTGGTTAGATTCTTCAGCATTTTATCATTCTTAGTGTTGTCACATAACAAGGCATCTGAGGTTTTATTGGCAGTGACATCTCTATCCAAATCACTAGCCTGTTGCAACTGACTACTTTCACCTGCTTTTCGAGTGCCATTCGACCGCACAGAGGTGGCAACAACAGTGACCCCATTTTGAGGACTGCCCTCGCTCAGGTTTGTTGTAGACTTGACAGCGTCTTCTCGGTCTTCAGCACCTTGAGGGCGAGAAGGAGCACCAAACATTGGTTCCAAAAATTCTGTCCACACCTTCATCACCTTATCTAACTGTTCAGTTGAACACATTTCTCCGCATGAATACTTGATCAGCTGGTAGAGATCTTCGTGAAGATCAGGATCTGGATAATCAAAACTCATGTTGGAGCACACAGTTCGTCTGTTCCCAGCCGCAAGAGCAAGAAGTGCATCATCTTCTGCTCGCTTCTTTTCAGAGATCTCTTTTATCTCTGCCAGCAACGCTGCAGTGAAAGATAGTAATACATAAGAAGAATGTATTTACTTTGTAGGTACATGTAACTAGGAGCAATTGCTCTTATAATACCTTTTGTGCTCAGATTCTTTGAGTCCTGTTGTTTGAAATAAAAACTGCGATGATCAAGTGATCTGTGGTAGTTCTTGGTATATATGTCAGCCCACACTTTGTTAAAATCAGAACGACACTTAATCCACTCTTCTTGCTTCTGTTTCAAACGGGTCAGTATTACAGGTAAAGCAAGATATGCGTTCTTCCTTAGCAGATCAAGCACATCCAGCCCATGGTCACCGTATAAACGTTCTATGCACCTTAGGTTTAGAGCTACGCAAGAAAATAACAAAACAATATCTATCAGTCAAGAGAAGAGTGTAGAGTTTACCTGTGAGGATAACACAAATTTAAGTAGTCACAAGAAGCAGAGTTCAAACTTTACCTGTGAGGTGGTCCTCAATACATATGGGAGTGTCAGTTTTCATTTCATTACTATTGATCTTTGCCAATAACTCTTCCACGCGATTGGTAGCTGAGTTCACAGACTCTAATAGCATGTCCAGCTCAAACCTAAAGCATAGAAATCAAGAATTTTTAAAAACTATTCCAAGAAAAGGTTCAACTAAGGAAAGAAGGCTCTGCCACAAAAATCACTAACCTGTCATCTTCACATCGGAAGAGGCTCTCTTCATACTGGTTCTTGCGCATGTGGGTAAATGAATAGTCTTCACTTCCTGAAGTGACAGACACCCAATGATCATTAAGCACCTGGCTACCAATCTCCATCTTTTGGCTTGCAATGGGAATTGGATACTGCAAAAAAACAAATAATAAGTACAATCCTTTAACCAATGAAGCAAGAACATAAAAACAAGAGGAGGAGATATGTGCCGCATACATTCTTTGGAAGTAACCGATAACTAGGAGTGCACTGCTCACAGTTCGAGAGATCTAGCTCATTGATAGGTTTTGCCCATTTCTGGCTCGCTGCAGCCTTCTCGAGTCTCTCCTTCTCACGGTCCCTTTCTCTAAACCTTTCAACCTTGTCACATTCTCGGTCGGTATCCTTGTCCTGTGACTTAGTAGGCTGAGGAACTTTGCCATCACTCCACAAGGATTCTGTAGTCAAAAGCAACCAAGTGGTTAGAGTTAAGTCAATTTCTTTAAACTCATTCCATAATAAAAGTTATCTGGAGACTTACTCTTAGTTAGGATACCAGAGAGTAATCCATCTGCAGAAAGAAAAACAAAAAAGGTCAAACCATAAAATTTAATTGGTGAATGTAAGAAGAGAAGGCACAAGTTTGCTTAGTCACCATTCTTTTCACACTGAACCAAAAAGACTCTGAAGGCCTCAATAAGGTCTGGATATACTCCGATTAAATCTCCCACCTGATACAAGAATATATATGTCCACGTGTCATTGACAGGAAAGTACCGCGAGATTTCTCATAATCTTCTCCAAGTTTTACATAAAGACACATACCAAAGACTGCAACTCTGGTTGGCTGATAATTTCCTTTGAAAACAGATTAAGACATCTTAAGAATTCTTGGTACTCAGAGGTTTTAAGTTTTGCCTTCACTCGATCAACAAAAGCAAGTTCTTGGACATGGCCTGTCATCACAAAAAGTCAATTTCAGGACACAACGAATATAAAATAAAATCAAGAAAACTCGCACGAAGCTACCTTTATCATCATGAGTAGATGAAGTGGCAATGTCTCCACGAAACTTGTCTCCTTCTCTACCATGATTTGAGATTTCAGCAGAATCATTATCTCTTAGTGTCAGCTTCTTTTTACTGAGGAGGAACTGATCTTTCTGGCTATCGTGTCCAAGACCTCTGTTATCTATTCCATCACCTTTCCTGTCTCTGCCATCCATGTAATCACTCTTTTTGTCAATGCGTTTAACGTCTTCTTTACTTTCTTTCAGCAAAGATCTCTCATGGTCTATGTCCATATGCTCCGTTTTGAGGTCACGGTCAGTACGGTCCTTCTGCAACAATGTGCAGACAAGTGACAGCTCTGAGTATCAAGCGTAGAACACAAAACACTTCAAGAGAAGAAAAGAAGAGAGAGAGAGAGGAACCTTATCAGAGTCCCGCATGGTGGGAAGAGATTTAATGCCACGATCACGTACTGACATTTTTGCAGGATCATTAGTAGAGGCGGTTCCTGAAGTATCAGGGAGAAAGTGAGTGAACTCCACAAGCAAATCGTGATGGTCCCGGAAAAGGATAGCCACCTGCAAGAATAAGCATATCAAACTAAGACAACCAAAAACAATATTAAGGTGAAAAAAAACTACAAAACATACCTCCTGATAGACCTCAGTAATGGACTTGTTTTCCTTTCTATACATGTTCAATATGTCTAAGAATGATTTGTATACACGATCATCTCCTTGAAACCTTGTCTGCAGAATTTAAAAAAATGATAAAGAGTCAAAAGTAGTAGCACAGAGGGAAAAGGAGAACCACATTAAAAAAAAAAATATCTCTGACCTTAATCTTGTTGACAAAACTAATAGCTTCCTCAAACTCAACAGGTTTCTTTGGAAGAGGTTGGTCATCTTCTTCGGGCAAGAGTGTGATCTCAAAACCCTTTGGTAAGAAAGTATTGAAACCCAAGATCAGCTCTCTGTTCCCTTTAAATAGCTCTTTCACCCTCAAGATAACACCACTAGTATCAACTCTACAAAACTCAAAACAATATCAGATTTAGTTTTCCCAAGAAAACTCAAGAGATTAAAACAAAAACAAAAAAGAAACATAAAATTACCTCTGAGCTTTAAAATCTTTCATGACCTCAAGAAACTCATCGTATTTTTCGCGTTTATCTTGAAACTTATCCTTGACAGCCTTGAGGTATGCAAGTGCATCATTAGTGGTTAGCTTCTGTGCACTTCCTCCTCCAACCATCATTTGTAATTAAGCTTCATTAAACAAATAAGCAGCAAACAAATAAACTTAATTAATAGATCAGCGCAAGATTATATAACAACAAGTTTTCAAATTTAGCATCCAAAGTCTTGAAATTTAAGGGATTCATGTGGATTTAATTCAATCAAGATTGATCTTTTATCCACAAACAGTAGAAAAAAAATCAAACAAGAAACTTAAAAAAAAAAAATAGAACTCGGAAGCAATCTGAAGCAGTAGATCTAGCAAGTAGAGAACAATCAAAGCAACAATGAAGCTAAGAGGATTCGATCTTTAACTTTAAATCTTCGGATTATTATTATTTATGTGTTTTTCACATTACGGCGCTTGTAGATAAGAAGGCTTAAGAGGATTTCAAAAGGAGAAAGATGATCTCGTAGAAAATTACCGAATTTTGGAGAGACACAAGTCTACAAGCACAAGCTTCCCTTCTTACCGCACACGGAAGCACCACCAGAGAGACAAAACAAACAACAAAAGACTTTAAACTAAATACAATTTGCAGCAGAACACCAACAAGGAAAGAAAAGAAACTTATAAGACAGAACCTGAGTTAAAAAAAAAAAAAAAAGACACAGACTTATGTAAGGGTTTTCTCACGTAATGTAATTTTTAGTGTAATGTAATTATTATATTATTATATTAATTAAGACCCATTTTAGAAAGAAAAAAAAAACATATTTACTCTTATTTTCCTTTTAATTTTTTTTTTATATACAGAACATTCAGATCATTTTTTGTTTACGAGTAATATTTTAATAAGTGCCAAAAAAAAGTAATATTTTAATAAAAACTAAATAGTAAACACGGTAGAAACATATTTTGTATCGATGGATGAAAAATAAAATTGAATAAATAAATAAACGAACGAGTTAAAGACAGCAGTTGCTAGGTTGCTTATAGGTTTGGGTTACCGGTTATAGCCGGTGATTTTAAATTGCTGATTAGGGCACAGAGGCTAGGGGATTGGATTGGGACCTTGTGATTAGTGGTAATTTTGTGATTGTTTGGAGATTTTGAGGACAAACTAGGAAAGGTCTGGTAAAAAGTATAACTATCGATGTCATGTGCTTGAATTAGTAACTTCGAGGCTTTTTATTGTATTTGACGAAGAATTTGCGAGTTTGTTACATGTTTTACAAATCTAGAATAGATTCAATTCTTAGACGTATTATTAGTTTTGGAAATTGTTTGCAGATTTGTATGTTGTGGATTTAAGGTGGATTTGTGTTTCTTTATCATTCTAGATTTGTACATTCTGACTAACAAGAGCTAATATTGAAAAAAGTTCTGTGGCGAAAAAAAAAAACATTGTAAAAGTCTATAAAATGTTGATTTTTTTGTCGGTTCAAGATAACCTTTTGTTAATTTGCTGTTCGCTGGATAAATGGTAAACCAAAGAGAATTTTGGATCATTTGGTTTTGTATTTTGTGTGTTAAATTTGAATCAAACGTGGGCATTTGGTCTAGTGGTATGATTCTCGCTTAGGGTGCGAGAGGTCCGGAGTTCAATTCTCCGAATGCCCCAATTTTGTTTTTATTTTAATTAAAGCGTTTAATACTCTTCGTTACTTGGTTCCTTTCCTGATTTTGTTTCTTTGGGCCCAAAAATATTTGCATAAATCTGGTAAAATAGTTTTGTTATCAAACAGCCCATGCTAATATTTCATAGGCCTTAATCGAAAGTCTTAAATTTCCAAAATCCACAAAAGACGGCCCAATTTCTCGTTTTACTATTTACACAGTCTCTACTTTAAACCCAAAACGATTCGGTGAGCTAGTTCAAGTGACACTATAATAATTTGACAAGAGACTGGACCAACGATCGAAGTTCATTAATCTGAGGGATCGTTCCAAATCAACATCATCTTTCAACCACATCTATTATATTAAAACAAGAGTCATGACTCATTTCATGTGTGATTTTGTAGTTTGGATCATCTTAGAAAATTTATAAAATCTTACATAACATCATTATAATATCTTTTCATATCTTTAATTTTTATTTGAAATACAAATAAATATTATTTTTAGAAAAATCTAACAAAATCTTTTAGAATCTTTTTAGGATATATTTTCGAAAATTATTATCATAAATTACAATTAAATTTTTAATTCATTTTTGATCTATAAACAGAAATTAAAATTATGTAAAATACTTTTAATACTATCCCAAAAATTTGTTTATGTATTATGTAGGTCCAACTTAATTTATTTTTTACATATATTTCAAATTTAGAAATAAAATAAAATATATAAATTTGTGATGTTACATAATAATGTTTAAAAATTCTTACAAAAATACAAATTTTATAAGTTTTATATTAATAATATTATAAGCTGCATAAACATTATTATACATTTAAATAGTATATAACATCAAATTATATTTATTGATATATTTATTATATAATTTAAATATTTTAGTATTCAAATACCCGCACGGTTGTGCGGGTCGAGATCTAGTAGGTAGTTAAACCACTAGCAACATACCATTATCGACAATCATCATCAAATGTGGCACTTCCAAAAATTTGAGATTAACTTTCATTCGCACTCGCGAATAAAATTAATAATATAATTTACAAAAGAAAAGACCAAAATTGTACGTAGACTATTTGCTCCAATAGAAGGCGTTTATTCATGTCCGATTCTGTACACTTTTATTGATTAATAGAGACGAGAAGATCTTTATGGAGTGCAAGAAGAACACGAGAGACTTTGTGATGCACAGAACTTCTTAGGTTATGTCCTCTTTTTGTTTTCTGAAACAAGGTTATGTGACTTATGTACGTACTTTAATTCGTTTTAATTCATATTGTGTTTCTTTCTTTAGATGATCATGGTTTGAGTTTCATTATTATTTTTATTTCTTGATAATGATTGTCGCTGAAATCGATTCCCTTATAAGATTTTCAATATCATTTAATTAAAAATCCAAGTAAAAAAACCTACTGTATTTCCCAACGTAATAGTCAACTGATGAAAAACACAAGAAAAAAAAAAAAAAAAAAAAAAAAAAAGTAATGAACTGGTGATGACGTGGAGAGTTAGGTCAATAATTGACACATCTAGGGTTCTTCCCAAACAAAGCCGCTTTCATCTCAGAACCTGGTTCGAATCGCAAGGTGACATCATCACATGCATATCTCAAAGTACCACTTGTCTTTTTCCTGCAATCAGTGAGATAAAAACGCGTTCCAAACCGCACTTCCTTCTTCTCTTTGATATCTTCAGTAATATCTTTACCAATCAAACCGTCAATATCTTCTCGAGAGAGACTCGCTGAAACCCTAAGAACCTGAGGTTCATCGTATATGAGATTGGTGTATCTGATTACACAGAAGATTCATTAGTATATATAATATTTTTCCTAAATTACAAAATAAATAATTGAAATTAAAAAGGAGAAGGAAAAAAAAGAAAGAAATGCTTACTTTTCTTGGGAAGAGGTAGCAAGAGTAATATTCTTGTAAAGGAAGGAAGCTTGGAGGTCTCCTTGAAAACATATAAATTTACCAGGAAGATCGTTGGGGATCCGTATCGACATATTCCACTTAGCACTTAAACGAGTGTCTGAGATATTAAGCACCGTGAAATCCATAGAAGCAAGTTCTATCTTCGGAACTGGTTCTTTGTAAGTGGCCGCTTTGTAAATGGAAAAAACAAGAAGACCGGCCACAATACAAACAAAAACGAAACAGCAAGGGCGACATTTGCACCTCATGGGGAACATCAACTCGTCTGTAGTTGGCTCCTTGTAATTTCCTTCTTCGATACCCATTCTCTGCAGTTTGATTGAAGAGAGTAGAGGAGACTTTTTGAAGTGGACGACGAATATGAGATTATTTTAATCAAACTTTCTGCTTTAGAGGTATCTTTTATTCACTTTGATCAAAAAGAGTTATGAGAATACAAAGCAGAAATCTCAAGACAAATGCTAAAACAAGAAGACACCCTCTCTTTAATTGTCTCTCGTTACTTTGTAATGGGATGAATTTGAATCTTTAGCTATGGCCTCCATTTATACTAGATCATATATTTTCCTTTTTCCACATTTGGAAACATATTGACCGACCTTTGAACGAGAAAAAGGAAACTTAACATTCTTTATTCGCTTTGCTTTTGTGCAGGTTTCTTATTGGGCTAGGAGTTTGAAATTGAGGCCCAATTTAGGAAACACGTCTCCGCGTTTACAGAGAAAACATGAAGTAAAACCCTAATATTTTTTCCAACGTAACAATCATCTGATGAAAAACAGAATAAAAAAATAAAAAAAAAGTAATGAACTGGTGATGAGGTGGAGTTAGGTCAATAATTGACACAGCTAGGGTTCGTACCAAACAAAGCCGCCTTCATCTCGGAACCAGCAGGTTCGAATCGTAAGGTGACATCATCACATGCATATTGTTGGGTATTTGACAAAGTCTGAAGTGGAATAAGTCAAGCTACGTTTTAGGAGTTGAATTAGTCTTTTCTGTTTCAAGTTGTTACGTTTATGTTTCCTGCAATTTAGGCTTTCTTGTTTAGCTTTCAAACGTGCAAGGTTCCTATATAAACCTTTGTACTTTCTTTATGATGAATAACACACTCGAATCATTCAGACTNACGTTTTAGGAGTTGAATTAGTCTTTTCTGTTTCAAGTTGTTACGTTTATGTTTCCTGCAATTTAGGCTTTCTTGTTTAGCTTTCAAACGTGCAAGGTTCCTATATAAACCTTTGTACTTTCTTTATGATGAATAACACACTCGAATCATTCAGACTTCATTATTGAGTAAGCCTTATACTCTGTTTCTAAATCCTTTATTTGGTATCAGAGCCAAACTCATTGTGTGTTCAAACAGGAAATCACAGCAAAGAAGATGACGGAATCTACCAAGTTCACCGCACCTGCCGTTCCGAAGTTCGATGGTGACTATGATCATTGGAGCATGCTCATGGAGAATCTTCTCCGTTCCAAGGAGTACTGGAGCATTATTGATCCAGGCTTTGAAGAGTTGCAGAGAGTAATAGCTCCGAGTCCAGAGCAGCAAAAGGCACTTGATGAAGCTACACTGAAGGATCTCAAGGCCAAGAACTATCTGTTCCAATCCATTGACAAGAGCATCTTGAAAACCATAACTCAAAAGGAGACAGCCAAGCAACTGTGGGACTCCATGAAGATGAAGCACCGAGGTGGCGCAAGGGTGAAACGAGCGCAACTTCAAAGGCTTCGGAGAACCTTTGAGACTTTGGAGATGAAGGCGGGAGAAGAAGTGGTGAGCTACTTTGATAGGGTCATGGAGACGGCCATTGACATGAGAAACTGTGGTGAGACCATGGATGATGTGAAGATAGTTGAAAAGATTCTCAGGAGTCTCACAGAGAACTTTAACTTTGTGGTCTGCTCCATTGAGGAATCAAAGGACATCGATCAACTCACGGTGGATGAGTTGCAGGCATCACTGCAGATCCATGAAAAGAAGGTCACTGAGAAGAAGAGCGAGGAACAAGTTCTTCAAGTGGAAAACGAGCCAAGGAATGCTCGGGGAAGAGGAAGAGGAAGAAGCAGTTACAGAGGAAGAGGAAGAGGAAGGTCTTATGGGAACAGATCTACCGCCACCTGCTTCAAATGTGGGAAACTAGGACACTACCAGTACGAGTGCACTAGTCAGGAGAAAGGAGTCAACTATGTTGAGTTCGATGAGGAGGAAGAGCTTCTCCTAATGGCTCATGTCGATGTGAGCAGTAACAAAGAAATTGGTGTGTGGTTCTTAGACTCCGGTTGTTCGAACCACATGATGGAGAAAGAGGCTGGTTTACGGAACTAGATGAGAGTTTTAAGCACTCTGTACGTTTGGGAAACAGCTCGAGGATGACAGTACAAGGGAAAGGAAAGATCAAATTCGAAGCAGAAGGGCTGACACAAGTAATAACCGATGTCTACTACATCCCAAGCTTGACCAACAACCTACTGAGCATCGGTCAACTACAGGAGAAACAACTGACAGTGGTGATAAAGAATGGAGAATGCAGGATCTACCATCACCAAAGAGGTCTGATAGTGGAGAGCAAGATGACGCTCAACCGCATGTTTCTTCTGTATGCTAAGAAGAAAGCAAATTCAGAAGCATGTCTAAAGGTGGAAGGAGAAGATTTGGAGACACTCTGGCACCGGAGGTATGGACATCTCAACAACAAATTCATTCACCTCATGCAGAAGAAGGAATTGGTGAAGGGATTGCCAAACTTAAAAGACGAGAGCAAGGTGTGCACGGTTTGCAATATTGGGAAGCAACAAAGAGGAAAGTTCCCAAAAAGGAGCAAGTGGAGAGCAACAGAGAAGCTGGAGCTGATTCATTCTGATCTTTGCGGACCGATCACACCTACTTCACACAGTGGAAAGCGATACCTGTTGGTGTTTGTTGATGACTTCTCCAGAAAGACATGGATCTACTTTCTAACTGAGAAAGCTGAGGCGTTTGAAACTTTCAAAGTCTTCAAGAATGCTGTGGAGAAAGAATCAAAGACGGTGATACGAGGCTTAAGAACAGACAGAGGTGGCGAGTTCACGTCAAACCAGTTCAACACTTACTGCAAAGATCACGGTATCAAACGACAACTGACAGCGGCTTACACTCCTCAGCAAAACGGAGTAGCTGAGAGGAGGAATAGAACCATCATGAACATGGTTCGTTGTTTACTATCTGAGAAGGAGATGCCAAGAACCCTGTGGCCAGATGCAGCACGATGGACCGCACACGTTCTCAACAGAAGCTTCACAAAGTCAATCAAAGACAAGGTTCCTGAAGAAAGATGGTCAGGGATCAAGCCTAAGGTTGATTACTTCAGGGTGTTTGGATCAATCTCTCATGTCCACGTTCCAGAGCAGAAACGAATCAAGCTAGATAACCGCAGTCACAAGTGCATCCTACTTGGAGTTAGTGATGAGTCTAAAGCTTATCGCTTGTATGACCCTATTACTAAGAAGATCACAATTAGCAGAGATGTTATTTTTGAGGAGGACGCCAAGTGGGATTGGAGTCTCAAACCTTCAGAGAAAAATGATCTATCATGGGGAGATGAGGAAGCTATTGAAGGAGAAGAAACTGACGTAGAAGCTAATAATGAGGAGGTAGAAGAAAACGCTGAAGCTGCAGAAGCAGAGAATGGAGATGGAAATGAGGTGGCAGAGACTGAGGAAAACACTGAACCACCAAGAGAAGAAGGTCAAACAAGCGAGCAGGGAGAAGGATCAAGAAGAAGAACCAGAAAACAGCCAGCTTGGATGCGTGATTTTGTAAGTGGAGAAGAAGAAGAGCCATGGGTGCAGTTTGCTCTTCACGTAAGCAATGAGGATCCATCAACCTTCTATGATGCGGTCAAAGAAGAAAAATGGAACAAGGCAATGGAGATGGAGATACACGCCATTGAAAGAAATCACACTTGGGAACTTGTGAACTTACCTCCACAAGCAAAGAGGATTGGTGTCAAGTGGGTCTACAAAACAAAACTGAATGAAGAAGGCAAAGTAGAGAAGTGCAAAGCTCGGTTGGTCGTCAAAGGATATTCTCAGACTGCAGGCGTAGACTACACTGAAGTCTTCGCACCCGTTGCTCGTTGGGACACAATCAGAAGTCTTCTAGCAGTGGCAGCTCAACACGGATGGTCTATCTACCAGCTAGACGTCAAAAGTGCTTTCCTATATGGTGAACTGAAAGAAGAAGTATATGTAGATCAACCGGAGGGATTTATCAGAGCAGGGGAGGAAGACAAGGTGTATCGCCTGCGAAAAGCCTTGTATGGCCTAAAGCAGGCGCCAAGAGCATGGTTCAGCCGTCTGGAGACTTACTTCCACAAGGAAAGCTTCCAAAAGAGCAACTACGATCATACCTTGTTCTTCAAGAAAAACGGCAGCAATCTCTTGATTGTAAGTGTGTATGTTGATGATTTGATTGTGACAGGGAACGATGAAGGCATGTGTATGAAGTTCAAATCATCAATGAAGGAGGAGTTTGAGATGACAGATATGGGGAGGATGAAGTTCTTTCTTGGAGTAGAGGTGCTACAAAGCAGTGAGGGAATTCACATCTCCCAAAAGAAGTATGCTAAGGAGGTGCTTGAAAGATTCAACATGTGGAGCTGCAACTCAGTGAAGAATCCAATTGTTCCAGGGGCGGTTATTTCAAAAGAAGGAAGCAGAGTAGCTGACGCAACAGCTTACAAGCAGCTTGTTGGTTGTTTGATGTATCTTACAGTGACAAGACCAGACCTGATGTTTGTGGTGTGCCTAATAGCACGCTTCATGTCTGACCCGAAGGAAGAGCACCTTCTGATTGCCAAGAGAATTCTAAGGTACTTGAAGGGGACGTTGGAGTTTGGGATATTCTACAAGAGATCACAAGAGATGAAGCTGATTGGGTACACAGATAGTGACTACGCTCGCGATGTGGATGATAGAAAGAGCATCTCAGGTTACGTGTTCTTAATAAATGATGCAGCAATATGTTGGAGTTCTCGGAAACAGGCTATAGTGACGTTGTCCTCTACAGAAGCAGAGTACGTAGCTGCAACCTCCTCTGCGTGTCATCTTGTTTGGTTAAAGGGAATGCTGTTAGAACTTGGAGTAATGAAGAATGATAGCATCGATATCATGTGCGACAACAGCTCAGCTATCAAGCTCTCAAGGAATCCAGTTATGCATCGTCGGACAAAACACATTGATGTCAGGTATCATTACTTGCGAAACTTATCAAATGAAGGTGCTTTGAAGTTGGTATACGTGGGAACAAATGATCAAGTTGCAGACATCATGACCAAGCCTATCAAGTTGGATCAGTATGAGAAGCTCAGACTTCAGCTTGGGGTACAGTGATCAGGAGATTAAACTGACGGTGGAACGGTTGTCAGTTTAAGGGGAGGAATCTGTTGGGTATTTGACAAAGTCTGAAGTGGAATAAGTCAAGCTACGTTTTAGGAGTTGAATTAGTCTTTTCTGTTTCAAGTTGTTACGTTTATGTTTCCTGCAATTTAGGCTTTCTTGTTTAGCTTTCAAACGTGCAAGGTTCCTATATAAACCTTTGTACTTTCTTTATGATGAATAACACACTCGAATCATTCAGACTNACGTTTTAGGAGTTGAATTAGTCTTTTCTGTTTCAAGTTGTTACGTTTATGTTTCCTGCAATTTAGGCTTTCTTGTTTAGCTTTCAAACGTGCAAGGTTCCTATATAAACCTTTGTACTTTCTTTATGATGAATAACACACTCGAATCATTCAGACTTCATTATTGAGTAAGCCTTATACTCTGTTTCTAAATCCTTTACATATCTCATAGTACCACTTGTCTTTTCCCTGCAATCAGTGAGATAAAAACGCGTTCCGAAACGCACGTCCTTCTTCTCTTTGATATCTGCAGTTATATCTTTACCTATCAAACCATCAATATCTTCTCCCGAGACACTCGCTGAAACCCTAAGAACCTGAGGTCGACGGTATTGGAGATTGTTGTACCTGATTACACAAAAGATCCATTAATTAGTATATATAATTAATGTTCTTCCTAAATTACAAAATATATAAATAATATTAGATTTAAAAAGAGAAGAAAAACTAAGTACTCTTGGGAAGAGGTAGCAAGAGTAACATTCTTGTACATGAAGGAAGCTTGGAGGTCTCCTTGAAAACATATATAGTCACCAGGAAGGTCGTCGGGGATCCGTATCGACATATCCCACTTTGCACTTAAACGAGTGTCTGAGATATTAAGCACCGTGAAATCCATAGAAGCTAGTTCTATCTTCGGAACTGGTTCTTTGAGAGAAGATGGTTTGAGCATGTAAACCATCAACCCAATAAAACAGGCTCCCAAACAAAGCAAAATGAAGAACTCAAAGAACAGTCGACACCGTATGATGAGGGGCATTCTCTCCCCCTTGTGATGGCCTTCTTCGATGCCCATTCTCTACAATTGATTCAAGAGAGATGTTTTGGAGTGCACGAGGAAATTTGAGATAGTTTCAACAATGTTAAAGATCGCAACGAGTTCCTTTAGAGAATATATAATATGAAATGTTGTGTTTTGCGACTCCGCTTATTCTGGGATTCTTATTCTTTCACCCTGCATTTTTTTTATTCTTTTTTCTTTTAATATTTTGGCCTTTTTTAGCTTAATAGTAGCTGATTTGAGATACTAGTTTTACTTTAAACGATGAAAGCTTAACTGAAATGTTTGTCCACACAACACCAAACTAGCGATTACAACATAGTTTTATTGCATATATAACTTATTAACGCAGCTTATTATTTCAACTGCACTCTCACCCTAGTAGGGACGAACAAAGCAAATTCCTCACGCAAGTCTGGGTGGTCTCGAAGAAGGACCTCAGACACCTGCAAAAGAGGAAATCATTCTTTAATTAAACAAAATATTTAATCATCAAACACAATACGAGAAGACTGAAGAGAAGAAAATAGTTTTAACAATACACAAAAAAATAATTAGACACATATATCTATTATTATAAAGAAATGTTTGCTCCCTCCTGCCTCTGCCACGTCAGAAAATCACTCCACCGAATTTGACACGTGTCATCATATGATTCGCCGCGTCATGTTTTCTGTCGGGTGTGAATAATACGCGTTTGTTATGGGCTATCGGTGGGTCTGTCACTCTGGGCCTAAAGTTATGAGCTTCTACGCAGCCCGTTGTGTATCACCTCCGTTCTCAAACGCTGTCGTCTAGGGTTCTTCACAGATTCTGTGACGGACCAGCCGACATGAAGATTGATCGGGTTTCTGCTGTGTGACGGTTCGCTTACTGAACTTTCGTCGACCTCTTCGGCTTCGTTACCGTTCGGTTGAAACCGCGACGATTACGAGTCCGTTCCATTTATCCTTTTAGTGACTCCTTTACAACACGATCTCGATATCAATGCATTGAAGCTACTGAGTGTCGGTGACTCTACGAGTATAAATGCGTAAGCTTACTCCTCTGGAAATCATCGTTCCAACTCACCCCTTATTATTGTCGAAATGGCTAACTCTAGAGTATTTATTTCCAATCTGAAGAGTGGCCGGTGCTCTTCCGCTCTTGAGGTCAGGTTGCTCCATTTCTTGGACGAGGAATGTCCGGCGAGGTGGAGAGCTCAAGTGGGCCGACATGCTCCTGTTGGATGTGAATGTAAGGGATCTTCTAATCTAGGCTCTGAATCGTTTTGTTCTAAATCTCCAGCGAACTGCTCTTTTTATTTGCTCATGTATTCTATTAACCTCTTCACAGGGGACCATTATACAAGCCACTATCAAAGGTAACCGCCGCCAGACATTCCGCCCTAAGCCCGCCGCCGGATCCGTGTATTCCATCTATCTCCATTGCCTGAAGAAGGTTTATGTTTCGGTGATGAAACTGAGCTCCTTGGCCTAGCTAACACTAGCTCTCAGCTTCTTGGTTTATGTGTTTTAATTTCAGTATTATATTAACGTCGACCTTCTCCAAGACCTTATTAGTGTTAGCGTTGCGGTGAAAGAACGGTGAGTGATCCTCCTGGATTCAATAATCATGTCATGGCACTATCAAACTGGAGATGATTCGGTGAGCCTGTGGGGTTTTAGGATATACAAAGGAGAGAAGTGGCATTTTGTGATTGGACTTAGTATTCACACAACTCCTGTTGAGATACGTGAGAGGCTTGCTATTCATGAAGCTGATTGGTCACGAGCTATTGGTCATGTACGGTTTGAATCATATCGAAGAGGCTCCGTTCTGTATGGATATATATGTTTTGGCTTTGTCTCAATATCGATGGAGTGAAAGAAGTTACTGAATGGTGTGCCTGTAACTGTGAGTGTGTTCGACTCTCAGGCTGTATCGTTTCACAACAAATTGAAGGCTACAAGCCACAAGGTTGATGCATGTGTGGTTGTTGCAAGATGCATTAATCTGAAGCTTATAGGAGGTATCTTTTTTTTTTTAAATTGCGTTTCATCCTAATGCTATTTATGAACACTAACCAACCTCTAATTTTCAGATCGTTTGTTCATGAATGCCACATCTGGAATTAATTTCTGTTTTGACAAGGAGACTGATGCCGGCGAGTTCTATTTTACAAGTAAGTACTAAGTACTAATCGTACGTATTTTATTACATCGTCATACGTTCTGTAAAATTATACATGGAGCATACTCTCATCATTGCAGGTTGGTCACAAATGGCATTGGGAATACATCAGCAGCTTCATTGTTGAGACATTATGCAAGGTTGAGGCACGGAATAGCTGAGCTTAACCTGTTTATCATCACAGCCGAGCTTCAGGTTCACTTGCGACCTTTAATATGTTTGTCTCCACCATCACTCTAAGCTCTGTTTATAATTGCAACGTTTAATTGCAGAAATATAACTTTTCTGCACTGAGAATGTCACCTGTATTAAGACGGAAACTGGATGGTGTTACATCCAATTGTGCAAGGACACGTCAGAGGAGTGCCTCATCGTTTGTATGCATGTTCTGCAATCAGACTAATGCCGTTGGTATTCTCAGGTACAAAGACATTTTAGTTCTTATGAAGATATAGACGTAAATGAGATGGCCTTTTACATGAATTCAACCTGGTTAGCAAGACTACCGAAGGAACATGACAGATCTCATGATTGTTTTCATTACAAACAGATGGAGAAATTCACCCATTTCGTTATGTGATACCACAGCCGTTTACAACCCACCATGTTCAGATTGTAATCATCTTCACAACACTTTATTTACTTGCCTTTCTTTTAAGTTTTTCCTTTACTATAATATCTTCCTTTAACCACAAGTTATATGATTTGCTTTTAAAGTTTTACTTACGGACCTCTAAACATTTAGATCAATTTAAAAAAATACACATGACATTTCCTCGAGCTCCAAACTTATGCTTAACGTTAGCAGAAAATTCCACAAAAGGAGTTACTAGCGACCAATTCGCTATATCGAAAAATGACAAAGATTAGGATATTGCTTGACTAACAAGTTAATGCTCACGCTACCCTAACTAATATAACAATAAAAACACAAAATATTAGTGGTTCAAACTTTAGTACAAAACCTGACCAAGTTTATACGCACACTACTTCCTATAGAACACATACTCTTAACCTAAACTAGATTTTGGCTTAATTTAAAGAATATTTTGATATAAAATCAGTTCACCAAATTTGTGGTAATGATTGTTTTTCATTAGTTTTTAGTTTCACTTTTTATTTTTAGATTTTTGTTTTTAGTTTTTAGTTTTTAAGTTTCTACTTTTCATTTTCAATTTTTGGTTTGGGTTTTTAATTTTTAAACCCGCTGAGTTAGTTTGAACTGATATTACCAACAAACAAATCCCAAATAATCGAACATCTAATTTAAAAATGAAAAGATGAAAACAATTTTTTTTTCAAAAAAATTGAAATAGTTTATTTTGTAAATAAACAAAGCAAAAAAAAAAATATAATATGTGTTTTCAGCTTTTGGTTTTGGATTTTAGTTTTTAGATTTGGTTTTTGGTTTTTGGTTTTGCTTTACATTTTTTTAATCAGTAAATTATTTAAGAAAATAAAACAATAAATTATTTAAAAGTTACAATTGAAATTTATCATAACAAAGTAATTGTTATTTAAAATAAAAAATATATTAACATGTTTTAAAGTATGTGATTTAAATAAATGATTAATAATAGATAATTTTGTTTTGTTAAAAATATTAAATACCTTTTGGGTCTGAAAATAATAATTGATTTTTTGATCTTTTAAGGTGAAAAGTTTATTCAATGTTTTTTGGAGTTTTTTCTTAATATTAAGTTCAAAAACCAAACTATATAATTTGGTCAAAAAATAAAAGCAAGCCCAAGACTATATTCCATAAATAACCACTGGTTTAATTTAAGTATAATCAGTAGATTTCCATATTTCATATTTTGATGATATATATTCGGTTAGAACATTCCATATTTGTTGGAGAAAATATGTGTTTTTGGTATACACATAGATATATGCCGTATTTTGAAGGTAGTTTACATTAAGGTCGTCTTTTTACATTAATTGTGTTGGTTTAATTTAAGTAATACGGTTCAATCAATTATATGACTTATATTATTTGTAACATTATAGAAAATGTCCAAATTTAAATGACAACTTGTATCAGTAGATAAAAAAATGACTCTAATTTAATAGAATATATATATATATATGATATATAGTAGAAATCATAGTAGTGAATAACCTCACAACGACAATCATCGTAGAAATTAAACTAGATAATCTTAATAAAATAAGTATATTAAAATATTCACAATGCCAAAATAAAATAACCCATTATATTTTAACATTATATTACACAATTTAGTTAACCGCAATAAAATTAAATTTGAATATCATAAGATCAAATATTTAGCCGTAAAATTTGATAAATATAGTAAGAGAAAAACAAAAATAGCGATCTAAAAATTATATATAGTAATTTTTTAAACAATAAACATAAATTAAAAAAAAACATATCTAATGTTTCATAGTGTTTTGTAATTAAAAAAATATGTGTCTTATTTTTTATTTAAACTAAAATAAAATTTAAGAGAAATTTAATAATTATATTTTTAGAAGGATTAGAAAGGAAGGCTTAAAGAATAAATTTTGTTGTGAAATAAAGGCTTAAAAGAAGGCTTAAAGAATAAATTATAATTTCTAAAATTAATTTTTTAACACATAGATATATTTTGTTGTAAAAAAATTATGAATCTTAATAACAGTTTTAGTTAAAAAAATAAAATTTTAAATTTTAAAGAAATTTTGATTATTAGTTTATGTATTTTCCCGCCCGTAGGGCGGGTTTACCCTAGTATATATATATACCTCATGGTAAACCTCATGAACACACTTCTTTCCATCTATATATGCATTTTCAATACTTTTATGAAAGACCTGTATGAACGATCATCTTGTAACCTTGCCTACAAAGTGGTAAAAACAGAAAAGAGCAATATAATTTTTATAGTATGGCTAGTCGACAAAATGATGTCATTTGTTTTTATTAATAACTTGATAGAAGAAAAAAAATAAAACAAAATTCGTGTTTTCTACCATGGGTGACTGTGGTTACTTTAACCTTGCGGACAAAAGCAAGAGCAACGGGGAACTCAGACTTTCTTGGTCGAGTTTGATTTCTCCCGATGAATTTATTGAAACCCAAAAGCAGGTTTTGGTGCCCCTTAAAGAGTTCGATCACCTTTGATTTGACATCATTAGGACCAATTCTGCAATGAAAACACCATTTAATTATTCAATTACCCGTAAGTCATTAGAGTAATTAATTATTATGTGGACAGTAATTGAACAAACTTAACAGGAAAATCATTCGCTAACACATCAAATATACCTGTCATAATGGAAGTCCTTCAAGACCTTAAGCAATGTATCATATATTTCACGATTATCTTCTGCAATGAAAACACCATTTAACTATTCAGTTACCCGTAAGTCATTAGAGTAATTAATTATTATGTGGACAGTAATTGAATAATCGTGAAATCATTCGCTAACACATCAAATATACCTGTCATGATGGAAGTCCTTCAAGACCTTAAGAAATGTATCATATATTTCACGATTATCTTCAAAACGATCCCTCACAGTATCTATGTATTCATAAGCATCCATTTTAGTTGGCTTCTTTGTGGCCATGATTCAAAATTGCCTAAAATTTCATTAATTATTTAGAGAAAGAGAAAGTATAATCAGAAACCGCAATAAAAAAGCCAAATTGTATAATTCAAATAAACTAAATTCCAAATCATCCCAAAATACAGCAGATCTATTAACCGGAGAACAATCGCAAGTAATGCAATGAATTTCAAGGCTACCAACCAGAAAACTTGAACCTAGCTTAATCCACACATTATTTCATAATATAATATAAAAACGTTTTTCTTAGAACTAAAATATAAAAACGTTTGAAAGTGAGATTTTATATGAAGAATGATAATATAAAACTAGAGAGCCTCATCGTACGATTATCGAAATTATAGAGGCAAAAGCAGTAAATTATAGAGTCTCATCATTCTCATTCTTTACTACTTTTTAAGAAGACGATATTATATACAATCTTTTGGGAGGATTGAAGAGTATACTTCCTTCTTTTATTTGGATTGCAGAGTATTACGACTGTGAAATGTTTGCTAATTAGGGAACTAAGGAAGACTTATTGGTTCAGATATAATACTAAATTCTGAGGCTAGAACTTAATCCCAAACATTCCAGTGAGACACTAGCTATCTCTTAGTCATATCATCTCTTTCGACAAGATACCAAAGAATGGGATGGCTCCCTTCTGATTGAGTTTTCAAGCCTGAGGAAATATCCATGTATCTTATGGTTGGGACCTGGTTGTACTTTTACACTAGACGGATTTGCTTAGAACCATATAAAATTGAAACCATATACAATTAAGTTAGGATAGGAGATGGTGAGAAACTCAACTCTTCTTTTTCAAGAAAGGAGTTAACTCTTGGAACCGAGTATCATTAAGAAACTAAACCCTTCATCTGACAAGCGATCTAAGCTGTGGGGCGACTTGCCAACTCCTTACGAATGACTTTAGGCACAAATAAGAGTTGTCCAAGATATGACTAGCAGTGAAGGAAATGATTAACCATCTTCTCTTTGAATTTACCTAGATCTTCAATTATGAGCACTTTCAGACATTCAATTCTTTTAGGTTGCTTTTCGAGTATATCTTTATATCAAAATATGGATGTCCTATTTTGGAAAACAAAAGTGGGTCTTCTAAAACTATTAAAATATGGATTTCCTATTTGATTCAATTGTCAGTTTATTTCTAGTCTCTTTGCAGGTGGTTTGCGATGTATATTCCCATTACTATTACCAAACAGGGTTAAGACTTGATAATAAGATTATGTCTATCTTATTTGGTAGACTTAAAGTTGTTTTCATTTTAGATAACTAAAACTATTACAACCGTGGGCAAGGAAAGGTCACCAACGTGGGCAAGCTGAACAAGAAACTACTGATAATGAAAAACTACTTAAGGAAAATGTCACAGTTAGGTTGGTTTCCGAACAAAGTTGCACTATTCTGAGAGCCAGGCTCGAACCGTAACGTGGCTTCATCACATGCATAGTTCATCTTATGACTCGTCTCAGATCTGCAATCCGGTAGAAGCAACCGCACTCCAAACCGCATTTCACCTTTTGCCTTAATATCATCCACAATCGCACCGTCCATATCTCCCAAGGAAGCATTCAACGAGGCTGTAAGCAGCTTAAACCGCGGGTACCGTATGGGAGTGTAACTGATCACTCACAAAAGAGTTTAAACTTAATTAGTTTTCCGAGACAAAAAAATAATAAAAATAGAGTATAGTTTTCAGTGTTGTAACCTGATCTCTATCGATGAAGTAGCGATGGTTACACCTTCGTAAACTATGAAAACCTTAAAATCACCTTCGAGACACACATAGCTACCGGGATGTTTTGGATAGATCCTGATCAATAAATCCCATTTTACACTAAGAGGCTCGGTCATATTAAGCACCGTGAAATCCATAGAAGGTATTGTAATATCCGGGGCCTGAAGTTTGCCGCTTTTATTTTCATAGTGTGCTAACATGATAATACCAAAGAAGAAAACGATGGAGCCCAAGGCTACGAATAAGACATTCTTCACATCCTCACTAGGTTTGAGCTTACCCCATGGAGAGGTGGGTTTGGGAATTAAAGCTTCCATGTTGTCAACGCAGAGAGAGAGATGCGTGTATTTTATTGTTTATATATTCGTAAATAACTTCTGTGTAGATAAGAGCATCTGTATCAAGGGTTTTAAAAATAGGATCACACAAATCCCAAAAAGAAATTTAATATATTAATATGATTTTTATGAATCCTGGAATAAATCCGTGTCAATACTATTTGTGGATCCCACTAACATATGGCAAACTTCGAATGGTTAACTGATTTTTTTTTTTAAAAACAAACGAAAATAAAAAATTAATAAAAAGATTTCGAGAATCGGGAATAGAGAGGTTATTGATGCGCATGCTCTAACCTTTTTCTTTATCTAAAAAATCGCTGATAAGTACATATCGTTCAAGGATAAATTTTCTTCTTTTTTTATAAATATTTGATTCAATATCTAAGAAAATTATGCACGTATAGAATATATTGATACCTTCTATAAACTAGATACGCAACATGCTATTCAGTCAAAATTATGTACGTGTAATTTCTAACTCTATTTGTTAGTTCAAAATGCCCAAAACATTATATCTATGTACGTAGTCCTCACATTTTATGTAGTAGTACTACTTTAAAAGTGTTGCTAAAAGGTTAGAAACATCTTCCACAAACAACAGTTACGAGTTATATATGACTGTCCTACACCAACAATTCAAACATGTTTTGTATATCCTGATCAAGTAGAAGAATGTTGACAAATGACATTTGTAGCTAATAATTACTTTACCATACAAACATTTCTATAATAATTTAAAAGTTCACAAACTAAGAAATGAAACAAATGATTCTTGCGCAGAAAGTGCTTTGGCACCAACCTACTTTTGCTATCTTTTCTTTTCGATCAATACATGAACACCAAAACTGAAATATAATTCTATGATAATAGAATTATCCTCACGAGCTCCTATCAACGACGTCGTTTATATATTTGACTTAACGTAATATACAAAAAAAGGCAATCTTGATTTCTTTAAAAAAAAGTTTGAATATTTTTATATGTTTCTTCTCCACTTTCAATGGTTGCCTTCCACAACGCCTAAAACAGAGTCAATGCCAAGCTTTTCCCCACAGAAGCAAGAAGAAGAAAAACACTCTTCTTTCTCACAAAACCCATCATAAAGATCATGAAGATGATCTCAATCACCTTCCTCTTCTTCATCATCATCATCCTTACCTCATCCCCTTCTTACGCAGAAGACGACGTGCTCTGTCTCAAAGGCCTCAAAAACTCACTCACCGATCCTTCAGGTAGACTCACCACCTGGTCTTTCCCAAACTCTTCATCTTCTTCAATCTGCACACTCACCGGAGTCTCTTGCTGGAACGCTAAAGAGAATCGCATCATCTCCCTCCACCTCCCGTCAATGCAACTCGCCGGTCAGATTCCGGAGTCTCTCAAGCTTTGTCGCAGCTTACAGTCTCTAGATCTCTCCGACAACGACTTCTCCGGTTCGATTCCTCGCGAAATCTGCTCGTGGCTTCCTTACCTCGTCACTTTAAACCTCTCCGGTAACAAACTCTCCGGAGAAATACCGTCCGAGATCGCTGACTGCAAGTTCTTGAACAGTTTAGCTCTTAATGATAATAAGTTAACCGGTCCGGTTCCTTTTCAGTTAACCCGGTTAAACCGTCTCCAACGACTTTCTCTCTCCGACAACGGTCTCTCCGGTTTGATTCCCGCCGATCTCTCCCATTTCGGAGAGGACGGGTTTACCGGAAATAACGGACTTTGCGGGAAGCCGTTATCTAACTGCGGAGCGTTGAACGGTAAAAACGTAACGGTCATTGTCATCGCGGGGGTAACGGGAGCTGTTGGGTCGTTGTGTGTTGGGTTCGCTGTGTTCTGGTGGTTTTTTGTAAGAGACGTGAGGAGGAAGAAAGGTTACGGGGCAGGAGAGTGTAAGGACGATGGTGATTGGATCGGTTTGATGAATTCGCATAAACTAGTTCAGGTTGCTTTGTTTCAGAAACCTATTGTGAAGATTAGATTGGCTGATTTGATTGTGGCTACGGATAGTTTTGGTTCCGACAGTGTTGTTGTCTCTTCGAGAACTGGTGTTTCTTATAAAGCTGATTTACCTGATGGGTCTGCGCTTGAGGTCAAGAGGCTTAGCTGTGGTTATGAGTTAAGTGAGAAGCAGTTTAGGTCTGAGGTGAACAGGTTGGGTCAGATCAGGCATCCGAATCTGGTTCCGCTTCTCGGGTTCTGCGTTGTGGAGGATGAGAGGTTGTTGGTGTATAAACACATGGTTAATGGGACGTTGAAGTCTCGGTTACAGGGTTTGGATTGGCCTGCTCGGGTTAAGGTCGGTGTTAGAGCGGCTAGAGGGTTAGCTTGGTTGCATCATGGATGTGAAACTGCGTGTTTGCATCAGTACATAAGCTCAAATGTGATTCTTCTAGATGAAGAGTTTGATGCTCGTGTTATAGACTATGGTTTGGGGAAGCTAGTGAGTTTTGAGAGAGACTCTAACGATAGCTCGTTTAGTAATGGTGATTTTGGGGAAGTGGGTTACGTTGCGCCTGAGTATACAAGCACTATGGTTGCGTCTTTGAGTGGAGATGTGTATGCGTTTGGGGTTGTGCTTCTTGAGATTGTTACGGGACAAAAGCCGGTTTTGGTTAACGATGGTGAAGATTGGTTTAATGGGAGTTTAGTTGATTGGGTGAGTAAGCATTTGAGTGATGGTGGAAGCAAAGACGTGGTTGATAGAAGTGTGATTGGTAGAGGTTATGATGATGAGATCATGCAGTTTTTGAGAATTGCGTGTAGCTGTGTTGTATCGAGGCCTAAAGAAAGACCGTTGATGATCCATGTTTATGAATCTTTGAAGAAGTTGGGATATCATTATGGTTTCTTCACTGAGCATAGTGATGAGTTTCCACTAATTTTTAACAAACAAGAACCCTGATTTGTAACTACAAAGATACTCAATCTTTTTAACCACATACTTACCTAGTGTTTTCACTTTTAATGTGATGCATGAATGTACACTATGGGATGGTTGTAAGTTGTAACTTGTAATAAAATGAATTTTGTGTGTGTTTAATTGAATGTAAAGGATACCATTTTAATCAATCTCGTTATTGTATAGGATGTGTTAAATCCTTTACAATAAACACAAATGAACCAAGAGCATAAACAAACAAACAAAGCAAACTTTTTAACTATATGCTGATCCGAAACTTACATATAATTGGACAGTAGCACACTTGATATGGTGGGTCAACATATTATGATCAAAACTATCTGGTTATAAATGTATAAGTCTATGAGTTGTAAGATAATTTTGTAAATAGTAAAGTAATACCGGACCACTTGTGTAAATATTAGTATTCTTTTTTCTTTTCTTTTCTGCTAGAGATTTTTTCCCTTCGACGACGACGACGAAGAAACAGCGAAGATGGCTTCTCTGAGTTCACCACTGTATCTAATCATCCTCGTCATCTACGCCGTTGCAATCTCATCATCATTCCTCGCCACAGCACATGAACAGTTTCGTACTTAGATCTAATTCCTTTTTCAATTTCTCGATCTAGAGAAAAAAATTCAAATCATAACTGTTTGATTTAAATCTAACATTTACAGAAACAACGGAGACGAAGAGATCATAAGAAGCGGTGGGCGTAGACTCCTTCTAGGTTTCAAAGAAACTCCAAAAGGAAGCAACATCACCTTCGAATGCTCTCCTTCAGGTCCTTGCGTCTCCTGCAATTCCTCCGAAAAGGTTAGATATCGGATCTGTATGATTCTGTTTGAATGTTCAATTTATTAAATCAGGATTTAGGGTTTATAGAAGTTAAGCTCAATACAATAATCTTGATTCTTGTTTTTGAATGGTTCTTGATTTTTGTGTCTATGTAGAGAAAAGAGAAGTATCGTTGCAGTGAGACTGGTTATCGAATTCCTTTTAAATGTAGAGAGGTGAGAGGAGGAGAAGCTTCACACAAGAAAGTTGCAGAAGAGACTCAACAGAATGTTCAATCTAATGTCGATGTTGATGAGGAAGAAGTTGTTGATGCATCTTCGGTGAAACAGAGGAATCTGCGTGATGATTCTTCTTCTTCTTCACCAGCAACGAAAGCTAAGAAGTCTCAGTCTTACAAAACTTATAGAAGCTGTGTTCCTTCTGCGGATGAGGAGAGAGTTTCAGTTCTTGGTTTTGAGGTAACTTAAAAGAATAAAAAAATTTGACTCAAACGAGTTGTTTGTGCTGACATAATAAGATCGTTTGTGGACAGGCGTTTATGCTAGGATTGTTACTTGTAAGCGGATCAGCTGTATACTACAGAAAGAAACAGACAGTACCGATGGCTGGAGTATCAAGTGGAAGATCACAAGGCAATTCGCGGTTTTAAGAAGCATTCCTTTTTTCAATATGTAAAAGCTTTCAACGGATCACTCAGAAAACAGGTTCAAAAAGATATATTGCTTAAGTGTATAGGATAAGCTTTTAGGGGGCTTGATATGATTGGAGACTACTTGTTTTGTATTATTGACAAAGACACATCATAACACATTGCTGAATCGGTTCCCGTTATTAAAGATGTTTATCACTTATCTTTTAGACCTCTTTGATGATATGAAAAGAAGTTGAGTCGAACAAACGACTTTGAGTCCAATAGATTTCGCACAAACTATTAGCATTATGGTATAAGCGAACTGGTGAAAGAGAAGAGAGATATGCTCGTCTGTGTAGAACAGCTTTTAGGGGGCACTTGGGGACTACTTTGTTTCATATACGACAAATTGTTTTATCACTCACCCATTTATTCTTTTATGTTAAGATGATCCGTTCACTCCATTGCAAAGATGTCATCACTTATTGACCATTATCATGAATATTAGCTTGATCTTGAATCTCTATGAAGAGTTTCGTTACCAAGAAGAGGTTGATTCAAGATATCAGTTGAATTAACAGATTTGTTTATATAATCATTTCGACTTTGAGAGCCAGTGGAGTCTACCTCCGGTGCAAGCAATACTAGACAATGAAGCTTCTCGTACCTACGCCTCTGTTTCTAGCCTCTAATTATACTTTACCACTCTTTAGATTTCTATAATTGATGTATTCATTGTAAAATAATGAAAATTTTAGGCTTCCCAAACTTGGACTAGGTTATACTCTTGCCTCTTGGTGCATTTGTGTGTTTGGATAAATCTGTTTGGTTTTCTCAACATTAATATAAAAAAAAACATGCATTATTCTTGACCAACCGGTGAAAGCACATCCACTCGATCGTTCTTCTCGACTTGATTGTTTCAGCTACATATTCAACTTTCTCCACTCTCTGCCTACACATTGATAATCTCATGCTTTTCTTTTCCAACTAATTTCTACTTCAGATTCAACTTGCATGACCTGCATGAAGGCCCTCAATTTTAAAACCTTTGTAACAATTACGTATTAGAGACAAATGATCGTTGATCCATGCATATATATTTTTTTAACCAATTTAAGGATTAATATATCTATCCATTTAATCATTTAAAATATTTAGAGACTAAAAAGATATTTCATCTCGCTATAATAGTAAAGATCGGCCTTGTCTCCGTATTTTTAAAAACTCTATGCTTATGTCTCTCTTTTGTTTGTAAGTTCATTAGGTTATCCAGCAAATAATGGTTATAATAAGGCGTACACTTAATATTACAAATAAAAAGGTTTCAGAAAACTGATTTGATTTCATGGAAACTAATTTTGGGATATTTTTTTCAAATTAGTATATACATATTTAGTTAGCTTAGTTTTTTCACTGGATTTTGTTACCTTATACTACGTGAATGATGATAAAAAAATTAGTCCTATGCAGTACGTTAATGATTAAAGGCCATAGACAAATATATAGGAATCATACAGACGAAAACGATGAAAGGCCATAGACAAATATATAGGAATCATACAGACGAAAACGGCCACCACATTATTAGTGGGATATGTACATGATGATAATATATTATATTTAAAATGAAGCTGTAAATGCCATTTTTGTTACTTCAGCTTGAAGCTATTGAGCAACACAAAGGCATAAGATTCTCTGGGCAATTATACAGTTACTCTTTTAGGAAAGGTAAACAAATTTTGAAGTGGGATTCATGTACAATATGGTTATTATTTTGTTCGGTGAAACTAATATATATCATATATTCTACGAACTATGACCCTAAAATAAATAAATATACTAGATAAATTACGGCTGCTACATGACCGTAAGCTCTCCTTCTCCGTTAGAAAATTTCTTCTCTTGCTCTTCTCATCTTCTTCCTTTTGTTATAAGTGGCTTGTCACAGCTATATATTTCAAAATTGAATCTTAACATACACAAAATTACGGCTGCTATGTGACAGTGATATAAATATATTCCCAGGGAACAATTTTTAATCATGGGTCTAGTCAATGTTGTCATTCTCATCTTTATTTCAGCAAACTTTAATATATGCAAAAAAATCTTAAGATACATAAAGAAGGGTTAAGGTGGTTAACGCATATATGTTTGGCTAATGTAAAATATTGCAAACCTTTTGAGATTATTCGAGGTTTGCGGTATGTGAACCCTTATAATGAAGTTTATGTTGGTGTCTTCAAGTTCGGAAAACAAGCAACAAGTGATATATCAAGTTATATATACCATATTATGCAGTAACTAAATACTCGATACATAAGAGATGGTGGTTAAACGGAACTAGGTAATTACTATATAATATACATTATGCCTATGTCAAAATATCATGCACACACGCGTATCCAATCAATGAATAAAATTTGTGAAATGAATGTAATAGTACTCGACTGTAAATTTTTAGATATTTAGAAAATCTTGTTATATATTTACGGTGCTTTCAAAATTAATAATAATAACATAAATTAGGGTATGTGTTGAATTGTTATGTGCTTAGCTTTACCTTTTGAATACGAAAGGGATGGAATGTACGTGAGAAAAGTACGAAGGAATCCCTTGGCACGTACAATATCATATGTATATGAGTATATTTATATTGTGATTAAGTACATAAACTGCATGAAAATACACGAAAAGAAAAACTCAAATATACTTAAACTCGTATCCGAACCTTCTCATGCACATAAAGCAAAGGCTACTAAATATATTCCCTCACGTCACGCTTCAGACCAGCTGTTCTAGATATCATTCTCTCTTTTCTCTAATTTTTTTTCTTAGTTCTATGATATTAGAGTATTGTGTTTAATTCTGGTATATATAGATTTTTGGGACAAAAAGAGACGACATAAAAATACGGATTCATGCTTAAAGATAATATTAAAAATATATCTCACGGAAAAATATAAAGATTCATAGCCTAGATTATCTCTCTCTATTCTAATGTTTCGAGTAAAGTTAACCATATTAAAGAGAATAATTAAAAACCATCGAACACATAAAGAACATCAACCATCCTAACTCATCAAAGTGATAGGACTCTATCTCTCTCATGCTTTGTTCTCACTCTTTTTTTTGTTCTCTATTATAGTTTCAAATAGAAAATCGAATAAAACCTACTAATTCGATCGATGTTCCTTATTTCCACCAACCAAGGAAGATAGGACCCAAACAAAACCCACAAGGCTAGAAACCATGCGAAATCTCCAATTCCTTCGTCTTCAGTTTTTTTCTCGTACACTATTTACGGTTGGTTTAGTCACTCTTCTGATGATCGATGCGTTTGCATTACAAGACAACGATCAAGCAGACACAACAAAAGAGATTACTACCACTATGACGATGAGCAACGCCATTACACACGGTAAGGAAATACAACAAGAGCTTGAAGATGGATCAAGACATGGTGATCTTAGCTACGCTGCCAGCAAAAGAAAAGTGCCTCGTGGATCCGATCCTATACACAACAGGTTCTTTACCGATTTCTTATTTCATTTATCACTTGCAATCAACAAATTTTTGCATGTCTATGTATGTAGTTCTTTTCAGCAATATATGGCATAGCTAGTGATAAATCCATGTTGATATAAGTTTTTTTGTTGTTGTGAAGAGTAGTTAATCCAATAAGTTTATCGAAGAAGATCACTCTCGTCACCACTCTTGTTTCGTTTAATAAATTAAAATAAATCAAGCAAGCTAATTTATTCGTTGATATATCTATATATATGCGCATTATATTATTGTGTATAAGCACTTCTTTTTGGCCATCATATACATAAATTTCTAGCACAATTTTACTAAAAAAATAAACACTTTGTTTTCTTTTAGCTAACTCAGATTCGGCGAGACATATAACAGAGGCTCTCAAAAGGCTGTCTGCTAGCTTTATTCAGTCTATATGTTAACAATCTTGCTTTTAATTACTCATCATAAGATGCATTCTTTTTAAAACTTTCATTTTCCCTTTATGGAAGCTTTAGCCCTTTAACTCTCTTTTCCTCCTTTTCCTTTCACCTCATTTCTTAGCTATATAGATAGATCACTTCATATCTCAAATAGTTATCTTGGAAAATGATATGCTTACAGTTATATTAGGCGTAAAAGTTATCATATATGTATCAATCAATTAAGGTTATATTTTTATTTGTTGTCGCTACATATAAAAAGTACAGAGGATAAATAAAAGATTTGGATTAAGTAACTAAGTTTTTTTTGAAATAGGATTAAGTAACCAAGTGATATAGTGATTTTTGAACCTTAATGTGTATTATGACAGGAAAGCCGGAAAATCAAGACGGCCACCAGGAAGGGCATAAGTGAGTACCGTGAAAGAGAAGTGTTTGTTGGCAAATAGGTCTTGTAAAATACTGCTAGATTCTCTTTTCCTTTCATTTGGGATCGAATCTTTTAAATATGCTCAAATATTTGTGGACCTACACTTCTGTTTTTCTTTGAATGTTGTCTTTTTTTTTTGGTACCTAGCGAAGAAATACTGAGTTAGCTAGAGAAGTGAAAAAAAAAACGTATAAAACTTTAAACAGTTTATATAATTCTTGAAAAGGATGTCAAGAAACAAAAGAAGAAGAAGTACATGTACATGCATTCCTGATTTCTCACATCGCATAACTTATGTTGCTTTCGTTAGTGATTTACAAAATGAGTGCTTTTTTGTTGCTGTAAGTAACATGCACGTTTTAAAAGTAAAATAATAATACCCGATTTGGTTTCTAGATAATATGCTATTTAGAGTTGATAAAACAAAACAACAATAAGAAATTTTAAACAAAGTATGATATTTCATCACAGTTTTCAACCACAACTACATAAATAAGATGGAAGTGTATGTGTATTCCAATCATTTAAAAAAAAAATGTGTCGAGTTCATTATTATTGATGAATTCTGAAAGTATATATTCTTGCAAAGAGATAAATAGTGAGATGTATGTCTTCAAGATCGGATATATATATATCATCAGATAATTATAATTTATGAATGAAAGGGCATATACATTTTTTTTTAAATGAGCTTCAAATGTTGAAATTCAAAAGGATAATGTGCGTAAGTTCTTCTAAATAAAGAAGACCACAATGCTTCTTTGTGTTATGCTTTCCCCATCTTTTATTCTTTTGTTCTTTTGTGGGGTTAACTCCACTACTACTCTCCTTTTCATATCTTTTCATCTATTACAAAATTAAATTTCACTAATCGTGAGTCTTGACATACAAATTAACTAGTAACTTAATTAATTACTTACATTATCACATCACCAGTGTACATAACATATATTAGAGCAGATAAAAGACAGCTAAATACCTTAAACCAAAACCGCTTTAGCATTTAATCGTATATTAGTCATTAGGTACTCCAATTTATCTTGCTATATGACTAGTTATGAGATGTGAATCTTCATGAAATAAAACAACTATCATTTAAAATGGATGTATTAAGGACCAAAGTTAGAAACCCATCTCGGTTAATTACAAGTATATCTTTGCTGTACACATGCATATGGTAAAGCAAAAATACGATGTGTTGTTATTAAATATTTTCCTTTTTTTTCAATTGTTGTTTAAACGCATGCATCAATTTCCTTTTCAAGTACAGAATTGTAAGACTTTGAATATCTTTATTTTTAATTATTATAAAACCAATTTGACATATACTAATCAATCAACTTTTTTTTGGTCTCTAATTTTTTTCAGTCGTCAATAATCAAAAGCAACTGAAGCTAGTCTAAAGCTATTCAAACTATATATGCCGATTGTCGATTGATGGCTCCTCTCGCTCTAGATAATTTAGTTAAACATCATTTCACTGTAAAGACAACAAATTAAAATGAAATGATAAAAGACCCACTGCAATCTGCAATGTTTGGTAGTTTTATTCGTAAGACAAAATATATGTATACTAAGTAATCCTCTGTTTGAAAATAGATAATATTTAAGAAAAATCTTGATGTGTTTAAAGTAGATGATATTTTCATACTTCAGTATAATTTTATTAAAAATTGTATAATCAATGATATTTTTATCATCTATTTAATAATTGGTTAAATAATTTTTCAATAATATTTTTCTTTTATTTTGTAAATTAAGGAAATTCATTGTAATAGTTATGCACTAACCTAAAATTTCAAAGTATTTTTATTTCTTCCATTTTCATTGAGCCAAGTATCAACGGGCCGAATGGGCTAACTTCCAAATTGTATTTTATTGGTGGGATTGATTGTTTATATGCTCAAATTCAAATAGCATAATTGTGTTTTCCAAAATTTAGTTTTGAAATAAATTGTTTTTACAAATGTCTAGTTGAAAGTAGCTATGTCTGTAAAAAAGTGTATTTTCTGAATAAATTTTACATAATATTTAAAAAAAGCATAAACTGTGTGTTAATTTTTGTGAAGATCGAGGGTATTATTCTGTGGAGAGAGTCTCGCTCTTGGTAGCACTTAAAGTTCGTTACAGAGATAAGCTTACCATCCTTTTAGAGGGAATCACAAAAGCCGCCAAATTACTCAAGTGTAAGTTTTGCTACCGATGCGGCAACATGGCTGCGATTCTAGAGATCGACGAGAACATGGACCATAACTTCCTTCAGTTCGATCCAGCTCCACGTCAAGTCGAACCTGATACTACAAGCAAGACTCCAGATTACTTTTTGTAAGTATTAAGAAAAGAAAAACACTCTTAACCTTGTTCTGTAGTTTCATTTTCTGTAAGTTAGTTAAATTCGCCATTGTCTTGTTTGATTTTAGTTAAGAATGTGTAACCTTCTAACTGATACAAGCGTTACAAAGATTCTGGTTCATATGAATAAAGCAATCGTTGTTGAGAGATACATATGATACAGAAACATGGTGGAGGAGCTGAGATCTAAACCAAAAAAAAGAACACTCAGATCACAACAAGATTTTTTTTAAAAGAGATTCAAGAGCTTTCTAGTTCACTACGGATCCAATCTTGTGCACACATCAAGGCCTGGACAGTACTCGGTCTAAGCGAGCACCAGGTTTCACTAATCCTTCTCTTTCTAGAACTCTCAAAGGCGTCTTCCTCTGATGATACATTAGACATTGGAACCGCCAACACATTACGTGCCACCAAGGAGAGAATCGGGTACTTGGGTGTGTGAACTTTCCACCAGTTGAGTATGTCAAAATCTGAGTTCCGTGGGAACAGAGGCTCCTCTAGGTACTTTTCAAGATCTGATTTAGAGTCTTCACCTGGTGAAGTAGTAGTCTCGTTAATGTACTTATCAAATTCTATGAGTCTATCTTCATGCTGATGATGGTGATGATTATGATGATGATGATTCTCCTGCCAGTCGAGGGCTTGGTCTGATGATGCTAATAACGATCCTACAGTATGCTCGTTGTAAAGCGCTTTGATGTACTCAGAGATATCTTCAATGAACTCTGAAGCAGACGAGTTATAAAACAGCGGGTAATAATACTCCACTAGCTTCATTTTGAAACGAGGATCTAATATGGTAGCAATGGCTAGAACCCGGTGGTTTCTATTCCAGAACTCGTCGAATCTCTTCCTCATGGTTACAGCTAAAGAGCCAATGAAGCCATCAGGGTTCTTGGTCAATTCTATTAACCGGAGGTGTATGTCGCATATCTCCGGGAAGAAAATATTAGCCGTTAAGCAACTACTGCTCTTTGTGAATGTGTTTGTTACTTCCACAAAGACTTTCAAGAACCCAACAACTGTTTCTAACCTCTCCCATTCCAAATCAGATGGACATGACACATAGGAATCAGGATCATGTTGTTTCATGAGTGAAAACACATTCTTCTGCTCTAATGCAATCTCCAGCATGGTACATGTGGTGTCCCATCTTGTTGAGTCATCTACACACAAATCCCTTTCACTACTACTCGTCAATTGGTTGAAACTCTCCTGAATAAACTCTGAGCTTTTAAAATACTGAACACTCTCTCGAACCTTGTTTATCGTCTCACAACAAGCTTGCAGAGACTCTTGAGCCATCTGGTTAATAACATAAACTCCACAGCTCACATCAAACAATAAGCCATTACAATAAAGAAACTTGTTCTGCGATAACCTGTCTCTGATCTTGTTAGCTACGCTTTCACCAAAGGGAGGAGCTCGATTCGACGCCATAGAGAAGAGCTTCCTATCAATATCCCACTCCATTAAACATGTTATCACAACCTCAGCAAGCATCACATCCGTATGAGAAGGATCAACCATAAAGAAGTTCAAAACTCTCTTTCTCAGCTCCCATGTTTCATCAATATAATGAGCAGCCAAACACAAGAACTCATCAGAACCACCGTTCCACACATCGACACTGATACTAATCTTCCCAGGCAACTTATCCAGATCCTCGAAGATCTTATGCTTCTCCTTAGCGTATATCTCCATACAATCCGACTCAACTCTCTCAAACACCACCGGCTCAAACGAAGGCTGTAAATTACTTAGAAACACTCTGAATCCAACGTCTTCAACCATAGTTAACCGATAACCATGTAAGATTATCATCCTCGCTAAATCAAACCGGCTCCTCCTCTGATCCAAACCAGAGTTCATTACATCATGTTCATGTTTTGTCTGGTCGACAACAGTTAACTCAAGTGGCGTCTCTACTCTCTTCTTCCCCGGAGCAGTAACAACACCGTTAGAGCTAGCTCTCTTCTTACATCTAATCAAATGGTTCCTTAAATGAGAAGTCCCACTCGCGCTAGAACCGCTGAGACGTTTCTTACAGTGTCTGCAGATTGCCACGTGTGTCTCTCCTTTTCTAACCTTGTCGAAATCGTTCCACACAGCTGATTTTAGTTTGCTGGATTTCACAATCACTGCGTCTGATAAGTCCATCTCATTGATTATCATCGGAGTCTCCTAAATCAGTAGAAAGATAAAGTTTATAGCTTTTATCTTCAATTACCTTAAAAAAATCAAGAAAGATAGAAACTTTGACAACATTCACCTCTTCATTCAAGTCTCTCCGGAGGTGGGTTTAACGGCGGCGGAGTATGTCAGTGTCGGTGGTCGCGGCGGTAGGGTTTTAGTTTTAGGGAGAGGAAAGCTTTGGGCTTTTCTCTGTTGGTGAAAGATATTTTCTTTTTGTTTTTTGAAATGGTAAGCAGTTTTGTCACGTTGTGAAGCGACAAGAAATTTATTTGCAAACTAGTACCTTATTTTTATGTTTAATTTCAAATTTAGCTCTATAATTAGTTTATTATCAATTAGGTCCATTTTTATTTACAAATCAGTAGCTGGATTGTTTTACTTCGGTGCTAATGGCTTTATCAGCTACAACCTTATCATCGTCGCTGCAATTGATCAATGTCTCACACAGATTCCTCTACGCAGCTGCTCCTTTCGCTTTTGACTCTATCTTCCTCCGCCGACTACGCTTGAAACGGCCACTCGCTTCGTACTCTCAGGTACTCCAATCGTCTTGTGTAATCCGAATTATTGAGGAATTTGAAATTTGAATCAATCTCTTTTGCTCTTAGTCGCGTAGGCGATACGAATCAGACGATGGATACTTCGACGAATACGATGTCGTTCCGGAGGATGATGATGAGAGGGAGAGTAGTGTGGATCTACTGGTCAGATTCTTAACAAGTATGTTCAAGAAAGTCTCTAAGCGAGCTAAGAAGGCCTCTCGTCGTGTTTTGCCAGCCGCCATGTCTCCTCGACTCGTGAGTCTCTCTCTCCTTACTCTGTTGAAAAAGCTATTCACACATTTCTAAAATTTTAGTTTAAAATTTGTGCTGCGGTTTTGTAAATGCTACGTTTTGTAACCCTAACTTGCAGGTGTCATTCGCAGTAGATGGGATATTGCTACTGGGTTCACTTTCCATAACAAAAGCATTTCTTGAGGTTATATATAACTTTTACTGTTTTCTCTTATTGGTTTAGATTCTGTTTTGGTTAACAGGGTTGTGTAGTGTCTGCATTAAGCTGAATGTTATTTATAAGTTTTACCTTCTCTAGTGACAGTATCTTTATTTAACTACTAGTTTATGAGTGTTAAACGGGTAAAGATGCTAAACTATAAGTTCTGGCAGGTAATATGCAATCTTGGAGGAACAGTCTTTGTGGTGATTCTGCTGATCCGTTTGTTCTGGACTGGAGCTTCCTTCTTCCAGAATTACAGAAACTACTTTGGACCAAACCCTTTATAACTTTAAAAACATACATACATTTAGTTTATAACTCACCATCTTGAGTTTCAGATTGTTGTTGTTATTCATCATGCCCCTTATTTGTGAAGGGAACATATTGTGTGTTGTGTTAGTGTACATATTCGCTGGGGGAGTCATCTAATGATCAAGAGTAAGAACGACCAAACGAAAAAAATATCTAAATAATCAATTGTAGACATAGTAGGGAGACCCATTAGAAGAATATAGGCGATGGTTAGGTAAACAGAACTGCAAGTTGAATTTTGCAGGACTATAACCATCTATCATTTTCTTTTGTTTCTTCACTTTCCGTAGTTGTGTATATTATATGGTCAAAAACGTCTTCTATTCCGTTGGTTCTATTCTAACGATTTTCGTTCTTCCTTACTGTGTACATTTCCGCCCCTATGATGTGATGGAATAGCGTGTCCTCACTTCTCAATCTCATGGCTTTACCTGATTTTGTAAAAAGACATGAGACCGTCCATTTATAACTGTCACAGCCGAGCCGTTGGGCCACAAAGCTATTGGGTATTTGAGTCATTTGGGCCCACTCATTAAATACAGTGTTAAAACACCTTTTCACATTGTGGCCTGACGATGAGGAAAAGACATAAGAGAGTAGTTGGATAAGACATAAGAGAGTAGGTTGGGACTTAATATTAGTTATCAGATCGGATAGTGATTTTACAGATCCGAATAATGAAAATTTAAGATCCAATATCAGGATCCAGACCCATTATATTTTTAAAATATTATATATATATATATATATATATATATATATATATATATATATATATATATATATAATTTTATATAAAATAAATAAATTTTATTTTATTAAATTTCAATTTTTTCCAAAAAATATAAAAAATAATTTTAAATTGACTAAATAAATAGTAAATTACTTTTTCGTTTAAATTTAATTTTAATTGTTCAAAAAAAAAGTTTAAATTTAATTTTTTTTTAAAAAAAAAAACGGAAATTCGTGGATATTCGAATTTTAATTTGATTATCTTAAACCCAGATATCAAAAAATGTCTGAATCTAGATATTTGTAACAATTTACGAATCTAACAATTCTGAATCCTGATCCTATATTATCTACATGACCCCTCACTAGCACACTATGTATCATTGACTTTCATTTTTCTCTTCACATAATTTATCCAAAATGCGGTTTCTACACTTCCACACAAAAGCTGAAAAAATATTCTTAAAGTACTTCCACACAAAAGCTGAAAAAAATATTCTAAAAGTTCAACTTATACCAGTTTCATCAATCTTAGTAAGGCAAGTAAAACCAATGTATCTATCTAATTATTATTCAAAAAAAATATATGTCTAATTATATTTTATTTTAAATAATATAGTAATGCCACCTTAGAAAATTTCAAAAAATATTATGACATAAACCAAGAAATTTAGATCTAACTCATTCCGTCAAACACTCAACTAATTAATTAATAATTACCCTTCAGTTTTCATACTATATATTTTTGCAGCAACTTCCAAAGTACAAACTTTAGCCAAAACATAATAACTCTAAAGTACACATACGGCTTTATGGATTAAACATTTGATTTCAAAAAACTAGTCATTAGTCATTATGTATATATAAGTAAATATATCTCATACGTAGAAAATTGTGTTTAAAACAATAACCATGTCGACAATTTTTATACTGGCCGATAGTTTTTCTGGTCAATCATATTGGAAACTGTAAAAGCTAATTTGACTGAAATATCTACATAGTTTAATTTTCAAAATATTATTTTTTGCTCGATAAATTTTGACATATAAGTTTTGATTTTATAACGCAAGCAATGAAACTCCAAAAAATCATCCCTAGGTCATGGCTCCAAACTCAAAGAAATGTGTCTTAACACTAAAGAATTGTAACTATTTGATTTGTTTAAAACATCTCTAGGTTATGGTTACTTCGATTTTCTTCAAAAAAAAAACAAAATTACAACCAAATCTTATCCAAAAGTCAAATCAAACTGACCAAATTTTGAACCATACTAAACAAATAACCAAATTAATCGAATTTAACTGGATTTATCCAAAATTTAAACAAAAATTAAATAAAATCTAATCGAAATCAAAAACTTCTTAAGATTTTCAAAATCTGAACTAATCTAATCCAAAACTAAATAAAATCTAATCAAAATAAAAAACTTCGTAGGATTTTCAAAAACTGAACTAATCTAATCCAAAACTGAATCAAGCTTAATTTTATTTTGAATTAATTCGATAAGAGAACTAACAAAAAATCGAACAACCCCAATATCAACTTCATAGCAGAGCAGAACATGACCACATCTAAAACTTTAAGAAACTCCCACAATGAAAAACATGTTTTTTAGCCATATTTCTTATCAAATGATAAAAACTACCATAAACATATATGAAAACATTGGTAAACGATAATTATTGTCAATCATCAGCGATAGATCACCATAAACCCATAAAATTCTAATTATTCAAACTTATTTTTCCTCTCTCCGGCCGAGCTAGGAATCTAGTAAATTATGAAGTGTTCATATGATAATCCAAGTATGGCCCTGATTGGAAGAAAATTAGTTTTACGATCAGGGCTGGTCGTGATGGTGAGAAGCGCCCATTGTCGGATTCTGATGGTATGTATGTTTTCATTTTGTTCCAGTGTTGTTATTGTTCTTACTTACATTTGTCACTTATTTGGGTTACTTCTTTGATCCAGATGATCCAAGGGTCAAGAGGCCTACTTGGGGTGCGAGTGATGTCTTGGCTCAAATCCATCATGGGATTGCTGGTCTCTTGTTTGGTTTAGCACCTGAACCGTTTGTAGAGAGCGATTCTGATTATGCATAGATAAGTGGTTATGATTATGTAAAGAGGAGGCGGAGGGAGATGAGAGAGCAGAGGAAAGAGAGGGATGCTGATGATGATGATGAAGATTCGGATGATGATTACATGATGGATCCTGATGGTGGATGGTGATGACGATATGACATTACGTGATGGGTGGTGATCATGGCTTGTTTTGAAAATCTGTTTCCATGTTATTTTCAGTCTCTAAAAAAAAACTCTAATAATGTGTTTGTATGGTCATTAGCTCCCACGAATGGCCTCAAAATCCAACACTTTAAATATTTTATATCTTCTGTGACCAAAAAAAGTTTGTTATATCTAAAACAATATGGAAGAATTATTCGTTAAGAAATGTAGAAGGTGTTAACATAAGGGTTTTTAGTAATAAAACTTCTCAACTAAAGATGAATCGTAAAAGGAATCATCAACTAAAGATTTAGTGAAATAAACCCTTAACTTTAGTTCCGTTAATGTTTGTCACCCTCCGTCACGGAATTTTAGACGGAGGGTGACATACGTTAACAGAACTAAATTTGAGGGTTTATTTCCCTAAATCTATAGTTTAGGGTTTTTGTTACAATCCATTTTTAGTGGAGAGGTTTTATTACTAAACACAGTTAAATATTTTAAAATCTTTATTATCATTTATTCATTATTTAAGAATCTTAAAATTGATTTATAAACATGAAAATAATTTATTTTTTATATATTAATTTATCAATTTTATAAAATATTTATAAAGTTTTCTCATTTAATACTTTTTTATAAATTATTATTAAGGTTTAATGATGATTTTATAAGATTAAAAATGTGATTATCCGTCATACTATAAAAAACATGAAGTAATAAATAAAACAAGAAAATCTTATTGATTAATATGGTAATAGTATAACATATTGGTTTAGAAAAATAATCCAACATTATTTCTGCTTAAATAGAAAAAAGTATGAATCAAACTGAAACTGTTTAAAGAGGAGAAAAAAGCCCTTGTCATATTTTAGGTAACAATGTTAAATTTCTAAACTAATTAAATATCCTCAACACTACCTACAACTTTATATATCTTAGAAATCTTAATTATTTGAAATTTGACAGTATGAATATAAGAAAATTGCATGTGTTTCCTCCTTTATAAAGCTTTATCGTTTTACTTCGTAATATCAAGAAAAATCATGTATTATTCCACCCTAAGAAATAGCAGACAAAAGCTTATATCGTTAAAGCTTATAAATAGTTTATAAAAATATTAAAATATTTACTAAGATTTATAAATAGTTTAAAATTTTGATAAAGTAATATATAAATAATTATAAATTAGTTTAAATGTTTTGTAAGATTCTTAAATAATAAATAAATGATAACAAAGATTTTAAAATATTTAACCGCATTTAGTAATAAAACTCCTCAACTAAATATGGATCGTAATAAAAACCATCAACTAAAGATTTAGTGAAATAAACCCTCAACTTTAGTTTTGTTAACGTATGTCACCTTCCGTCTAAAATTCCGTGACGGAGGGTGACAAACATTAACGGAACTAAAGTTGATGGTTTATTTCACTAAATCTTTAGTTGAAGGTTTTTTTACGATCCATCTTTAGTTGAGTGGTTTTATTACTAAAAACCCTTAACATAAATGCAAAGAACTGTTTTAGATTTATTCTTGTGCATGGTAAACTTAAATATGCTTTATTTATAGTTCAGCATAACTTTGGACGATATTTAGGGAATCTGTGTATAACTTGTAAATCTAGAATACCATATGTCAAATATATCTAGGCATATATATGTTTGATCGTTACATTAAAGACAAACTACCACGTCACATTTCATATAAACGATAGAGGATAAGAAAATAACAAAACGATGGGTATGAATTAAGTTGCATCTTCTTATCTATCTTATGCAGATCTGGATTTTATACGGAACATCAAGCATTTTACGTGCCATACATAGTATATTCGGTTCAATGTTAAGAAATCAAGTGTATACTAATATGCTTTTATTTAAATGATGATACAGTTTTTGAATTCAAAGATAACGATTTGGTCAACAACGCAAATCTAATATATATTTTGGGAAACGAAACATGAATCAAATTGTAAAGGATATACTGGCTTAATTATTTGAATTTACAATATCATTAATTTGTGTCAAAATTTACCAGCAAAGATACATTGTTAAAAAAAGAAGAATTTCTTCTATTTTGTCAAAAATGGTATCATTAGGAAAAAAGATGGTCAAGACCAACAATGACATGGAATTCACAGAACTTAAAGTGAAGATGACTACAAGTAATGCAGCTCAAGAGCTTGAAAAGTTAAAATGCACTTTTTAAATCTATAGAATCTGAAGTGAATATGAGAAGGTGTAATGCATGTTGTCATAGTCCATGCTTTTGAGAAGAAAAAAATGTAAGATGATCATATGATAAAGTCACGGGAGCAGATTTCTCTAGCTCCATGGAATTTAGAACACTTCATAATATATTTAGAACACTTCATGATCATATGATAATCCAACTTTTTTGCTTTCTCAACGTCACATTTGTTCCAACTATGATGACGATGGAATAACACAAATTTTCAAAGTAATTAGCATGAAGAAAAAAGAGAGGCTATTACAAAAATACATGGAATTACAACTACTGTAGGTCCGACTGTTTAGCAACGGTACATATCAGGCAACTAAACCGGTCTCATTACACTTTCTTTCCTGGACTCTCTTGTCTCTTTGAAATTTCCTAGCTACCGACCCATTTTCTTTATTTAATGTATTTGTATTGTTTGTTTATAGTAATAATTATGATGCACATGCATACCGAAGCTTTTTTTGACCGTCATACGTGCCCAAATATAAGAAATAAAATATTAAAAAAGAGCTCGTCCATATATATATATATATAGAAGCTAGATGTAGAGAAGAAAACCTCATCAAACCATATCAGTTCATTTCTATCCCACAGGAAAGAGCTGAGAAAGAGTTTGATCAATCTCTTATTTTCAAAAACAAAAAAGCATAATAATGGGTCTAATGAATGGTGTGAACAATGATGAGTACGTAAGGCTATTAGGAGCATGGCCAAGCCCTTTCGTGCTGAGGACTCGGATCGCACTAAACTTAAAGCGTGTACCGTACGAGTATCTCGAAGAAGAAGATACGTTGAATTCCGAGAGCGTGTTAAACTACAACCCCGTCTATAAGCAAATCCCCATCCTCATCCATGGAAACAAACCAATACGTGAATCACTCAACATCCTCATGTACGTCGATGAAACTTGGCTCTCCGGCCCTCCGATACTTCCTTCTGATCCCTTTGACCGTGCCGTTGCTCGTTTTTGGGACGTCTACATCGATGAACACGTAAGTCATGTCACTAAATTTTTTTTTTGCTTTTATTCATGGTTTAGCATATGGTGCAATCGCACGTTATCTTGTCTATTTAATTAGATATAAATATGCGATTTACTTAGAATAAGATTGGTAAATGGTATGTCTTCAATATTATATCGTTTAGGAATTTTTATTAATTTGCATAAATCATATAATTAATCAATCTTCTTGGTCTTTTATTTATATAGTGTTTCACATCGATCAATGGAGTGGCAGTAGCAAAAGACGAGGAGGAAAGGAAGACGGCAATAGCGAAGCTAGAGCAGTGTATGGGTCTTTTGGAAGAAACGTTTCAAGAATGCAGCAAAGGAAGAGGCTTCTTTGGAGGAGACAACATCGGGTTCATCGATATCGGATTCGGGTCGATGTTGGGTCCTCTTAAGGTTCTAGAGAAATTTACAGGCGTCAAGTTCATACATCCAGAGAACACGCCAGGTCTTTTCCATTGGACAGACAGATTCTACGCACATGAAGCAGTCAAGCCTGTCATGCCTGATATTGAAAAGCTTGTCGAGTTCGCTAGGCTTAAGTTCAATACTTCAATCTTTTAATAAAGACCAAAGGTTATAAAATTAATTATTTTGACTGGCATAGTATCATATACTTCGAACAATCTAAATCGGGGAATAAGATCTAGACTCGTCAATTTTAAGGCACAGTCAAAATGTTCTTTTATTTTTTCTTTCTTGTTGCTTCTTATATGTATGCAGAGATATTCGATTGTGGTTTCTCGGATTTCATTTATGCTGTAAAATTAATTAATAATCTGCAAAACATTTTTTCACTTTACAACAACAGTACTAGAAAATGTAGAGATTTTATGATTGAAGCTAAATATCACGTCATTTAGCAGCGAAGCTTCGCAACTTCCAAGCATCTACAGAAGTCTCTAAAGGGTTTGCCTAATAAAACAAATAAAAATTGTCAAAGGAAAAAAGAGAATGTAAAAGGAAGACAAAAACAAATTGAGAAACCCATTACACTTTGTCATGTTTTAACTGAATTAGTTTTCTTTTTTTTTTTTTTTTTAAATTTACTAAAACAGTTAAGTTGTTATAAATATATGGTCTTAGAGAGTCATTGAGAAGCCCTTACCACCGATGATGATCTTTGTTTAGAGAAAAGAATCCATAATGATCAACCTAAGAGCATGATTATTGCAGGTCCCTTAACCTGTGTTCCTTAGTGTACAGTCTCTTAGCTTAGTGTACAGTCTCTTAGTCCTTTATCGTTTCCAATTAAAAGCTAAGAGACCATATGTTAAGGGACCCAACTTAAGAGACATGCAATAAACATGGTCTAATAAAATACACATGTGGTGAGATGATGAAAACAATTTTGACATCATTGGTCACTTCGTATGGGCCAACTAGTCAACGTACGATAAATACCTGATCTTTTTAATTCATTAACTAATTCACCATACAACTAGTAGGATAGATTTCATGCTGCTCTTACTATAGTGGGGTTATATGGAAAGCAAATCACCTTTTCATTCATAGAGAAATTTAAAACAAACTCAATACTAAAACGAAAAAGAAAAACTAAAAAAACATACTTTTATTGACAACACAAATAAAACATTTTGTGAAAAAAAACAAAACAAATAAAATATTTTTTCACAGTAAAATTTATTATTTTAAGAAATTTGCATTATTACCTGAATAGTTTAAAATTTTATTATGTTATTGAATTATCTTATATTTTTAGTTAGGGTAGTTTGAAACTAAAAAAAAAAAACATGCATGATAATTCTTACAAACATTTTAATATATGTTTTATAATTTCAAAAATCAAGTTACTATATGCTCTTAGTTATTTTTTTATTTTCTAAATTCTTTCTTCCTTATTTCTTTCATCTTCGCCTTTTTAAACACTAATGGAATCTCTATAACTATGAAAATGTAACTATATATCCAAACATTCCATGCAATAAAGTAAAGCAGAAGGTGAACATTTGTCTCTTTGAATTCCTTTTACCTCTTTAAACAGTAACATGAAGGAAATCACAAAAAGCTTCAAAAACGCAAAACCAAAATAAGAACAAAGCAAGTAAGAATCATTTAAAAAAAAAATTAAGATAACTTAGAAAAATTTGACAAATATATCCATAGACTTATTTTATATGTCATAATTTGTTCTTTTTGGGAAAACAGGTAATGATCATTTTATTATTATAATATATATATGGTTAATTATATAATGATAACATTAACTGTTTACTAAGAGTAATAATGTTTTAATCAGTTTAGATCTAATATTTTAATGTGAAATCTCCAAGAAAATATCACTAATTAAACAATACTCAATCCGTTTTAAAATGTCCATGTTTGGGAAAAAAAAACTGTTTCAAAAATATTTTGTTTACATTTCAATAAATTTTTATTAGTAATTATGGTAAATTGTAATTTTTTAAAAAATACTTTTATTGAATTATAATTTGTTAAAACTTGTGAAAATAGTTATTTAAAAATAATGCATTTAAAATCAAAATTTAAGATGTGTATAAACTCTAAATATACATTTTTGACACAGAGAAAGTACTATATAGAAAAATTATTCAGTATTAATACGGCTTGACCATCTAGTCATGATATTTATATGGATTAATTGCATATTTAGATTAAAAAAATTGTGGGATTAGTCTTTAGATTTATAAAAACATTCTATCTTCAAATTTATAAAAATATAATCTAGTTTGGATTTAACAACTCAAGAGAAGACGTGTTTAAACCTAGTCAGTGGGTTGAAACACAAGATATTAATTTTTATTACAAAAGATTAAACAATGGACTGAATAACTTTAAAATAACTCGAGGAACAAGCCGTTCTGGATCCGCATTATTCTTTATTTTTATGCATGTGCTATATACATTAGCATTGTGAAACCATTACATAAACAAATATATATATATATGAACACCACCTCTTTTTGGGCACTAAAACTATGTAAAATGTGAATGTGTTTTCCGCGAAGCAAGCTCTGTTGCTCTCCAAAATGCTAAGTGCCAAAATTATATATCAATCACAATAAATTAGCTATTTTTAAGAGGAAAAGTCAGCATAATTTTTGTTAGTCAATGGAAAAGTCACCAGATTAGTATTAAGATTATCACATTAAATCCGCATATACAAGTTAGCAACTTAATGTTATTTTTTTGTTTCGACTGTTTTTCTCGCTTTTTGTGTGACTTTTAGTCGCAAACTGAATCATATATGATTTCTGTTCAACAGTGGCGACTATATACATACCAAATAGAAGTATGACGATAAGAGGTCTATGTTTCATGTGGCATGGGTATCTTTATTCCGCGGCAGGTGGCAAACGTCCACAATATAAAATTCATTAACTATTAATTAAGACACCACCAGCAATACAAAATCTTATGATTCCTAATCACTATCCTGTAGTATATTAGTGTCAATTGAGGCTTACAACTTTTTTTTGTTGTAAATATGGGATATAATATAAACTAACGTTGTTTGATATTTGACCATGATTTATAGGCATGAAATTTGCATTTGAACTGTTGTCACAATATAGTGATTCGGTTTAAGAAAATGCTTGTATGACTTTTAAGAAAATGCCAATGCATTTTGTTTTATAGATTTGCAAGACCATGATTAACCCGGAGTTCTTAAGATAGAATTCTTAGCGGAAGTTAAGAAACTGTTTTTTAACTTTTAACTAAAAACGTTAAAAATCGGTTCTTAAAGTTTTTATTTAAGAACCGGTTCTTAGCGTTTTTAGTTAAAAGTTAAGAAATCGTTTTTTAGTTTCCGCTAAGAATCCTGTCTTAAGAACCTGGGTTAATCATACAAACAAGAGTAAAGACATGAGGTGAAACAAAGAGAGCAACCAGTATACAATAAACTGAGTGAATAAAGAAAACAAACAAGTTAATTTGAAATAGTTACGTGTATCTGTACATATACAAATTTATAACAAAATGGTGAATGTGTGTCAAAAAAAAGGTGAACAGTTGTTTTTAATTGCATTATTAGCCTAATCATTCTGTGAGTAGCTATTTTATATGGTACTTTTGTTAGGGTTACTAAACTAGATTTATAGGTTAAAATTACTTAGTTATAAACTTGCTATCCTGAAAACAACAAATAATATGAAAATAATTGTAGTGACAAAGCTTAAGATGAATTACTGGATGAAATGAAACACCCGTCATAACCTAGGAAGTTGCTGGATCGTGTTGGTCTTTTTTTTTTTTTTTAACTACAGTGAAACCTCTATAAATTAATAATGTTGGGACTACACCAAAACTAAATTTTTTATTAATTTATAGAGATTATTAATTTATCGAGATATTAATTGAATCAAAAAATCAATTTGGGACTATGAAATTATATTAATTTATAGAGATATTAATTTAAAGAGGTTATACTGTATTAGTCAACAGTCAATTCTGCACACTTTCGTGGTCCAGTGCCGGTTCAATTGAAACAACGACTGGTTTTTGTTTACTTTTCCAAACTTTTTATCTGTTTTTACTTGTTTCAAAGTCAAGATTAAATTTAAGAACGACCTTTAAATAAATAAAATAAAAAACCTAGCAGCCAAAAGGGCAGCTAAAGAAGAAGCTCAAGAAATAAACATATAAGTATAATCGAATTGTACCTTTATAAATATTTCACTCAAACTCAGTCGAGTAAACAGGCAAACACAATCCTTCATCAAATGTTGAAAAACAAGAAAACAGACAACTCCATCTCTCGAGACACAACTCAAATCAAGAAAAAACAAAAAACAGAGATGACCCAGAATGGTTCCAACAGTACCGTGAAGCTTATCGGTACATGGTCAAGCCCATTCGCCTTGAGAGCTCGAATCGCTCTACACCTCAAGTCCGTAGAGTACGAGTACATAGAAGAAGCCGATGTTCTGAAGTCCAAGAGCGACCTTCTTCTTAAATACAACCCAATCCACAAGAAAGTCCCTGTCCTAATCCATGGTGATGACTCAATCTGCGAGTCTCTCAACATAGTTCAGTACGTCGACGAAGCCTGGCCTTCCAAGCCTTCTATCTTCCCTTCCAATCCCAAAGAACGTGCTTACGCTCGTTTCTGGGCTCACTTCGTTGATGGAAAGGTAACAAATCAAATATTAACTATTACATCTGTCTCATTACAAATGTTGAATAAAATTGAAAATATGGATAAACTAAATGTTGTTTTAAGTGGTTATAAAATAGGTGTTTTCCTTTTGGTATGACTGGATTATAAAATAATTTTTTTAGTGGATTACAAGTTTAAGTTCCGTTGGAAATTATCTACTCTCTAATAAATTTATTTAACATGTTACATGTTCCTAGTTATTTTCTTTTTGAAAATTGAGAATATATATGTAAAATGTTTCTGAATATGGTACAGTGCTTTGAATCAATCGATGCGGTGGCTGGAGCTAAAGATGACGCCGGGAGGATGGCGGCGGCGGGAAACCTGATGGAATCTCTAGCAGCGTTGGAAGAGGCGTTTCAGAAAAGCAGCAAAGGCGGAGAATTCTTTGGAGGCGAAAATATAGGCTACGTCGATATCGCATGTGGAGCCATAGTGGGTCCACTTTCTGTCATTGAGGCGTTTTCAGGTGTGAAGTTTTTGAGTACGGATACTACACCGGGATTGGTCCAATGGGCCGAGAGATTCAGAGCCCATGAATCTGTGAAACCATTCATGCCTACCGTTGCTGAGTTCGTTGAGTTCGCTAAACAAAAATTCAGTGTTCAGTGAGATGACATTTTAAATGGAAAATCTTTGATGCGTATTTAACATACGCAAAGGAGACAAATGTGTTGGAATCTGATTTATGTTTTGCCAAAAACATTGTTGTTTGTAAGAGTTACTATCTGCGAGATATGTAATAATAATTCGTTATACCGAATATAATAAACATTATGCTTGGCTTCAGAGTCTATTGAAATCAGACGAGACCAAACCTTGAACAATGTAGCAGAAAAGCTTCGCTGACAAAAGGTTGGGGAAACCCACCCATTCGTCGACAATAAGATACGTTGTTATTATAAAAGAAAACACATTTAGTATCATCCTAATTTCAGTTCCATAGCATATAATCTAATTACATGTATGTATATATCTTGTTTCGTGGTTAAGTTTTTGGTATACATATTCAAAAGCATTTAAAGTTTTTTCCCCTAAATCAAAACATTATTTAAAGTTAATTAAACATCATTCAGTCAATTATAAAGTAAATTTCTAAATACAGAAGCCTTTAATATTCATTTGAGCCAAAACATCACTTTAGAGTTGAGCTGATGTAGAAAGGATACATATAGGCTTTGTCACCATTTTGAGATGCATCAATGTGTAATGTAGCTTCTTCTTTTCTCATCATCTGGTTATTACTGATAACGCAGGTCAGAATATATGATTGAGATATAAAAATCGGTAGAATACACAAAAATCCTCAATCAAACAGGACACATAAAACAAAGACAAATATTTAAACGAAACACTACTCCAGCTAAATCCATAAGCAATTCATCAAATAGATAATAGAATTTGGAGTTACTTGCCTTTGACTAGCCTAAATACTTATTTCAAAACTTTTGCATGTTCTATTACCCCAACTTTAAAAAACCGCTATAGCTTAGGAGGATCGGTCTAAACTCTCAACTAATATTAATAACTGTAATTAGTCAACAGTCAATCCTGACAAACTTCCAAAGTCAAGTGCCGTATGATTGAAACCATCTCATTTCTAGCGACTAATCTTTGGTTATAACTTTTCAAAAATCAGAACTAAGACCTTAAAGTCATAAAAGTAATACCAAGAAATATATACACAGTCGCCAAACAAAACAACTCCATCTCTCAAGACACAACCAAACTAAGAAAAGAAAGCAAAGTCTCAGATGGCTCAGAACGGTCTGACCAGTACTGTGAAGTTATTAGGGACGTGGGGAAGTCCATTCGCTTTAAGGGCTCAAGTAGCTCTACATCTCAAGTCCGTAGAGTACGAGTACATAGAAGAAGTCCTGAATTCGAAGAGTGGTCTTCTTCTTGAATCCAACCCAATCTACAAGAAAGTCCCTGTCCTAATCCACGGTGATGTCTCTATCTGCGAGTCTCTCAACATCGTCCAGTACATCGATGAATCTTGGCCGTCAGATCCTTCCATCCTCCCCTCACATCCCAGTGATCGCGCCTTTGCTCGTTTCTGGGCTCACTTCGTCGACGGAAAGGTAACAAATAATTTAAGTGATATCAATTCTTCTATTTTTTATATCAAACATAAATTATTTATTTAACTAACTAAATATTGGTGAAATTAGATAATAATTCAAGCACATGTTTTAAGAAAATTTTAAATAGATTTTACATTCAACTAGTCAATTATTTCTAAGACGTCCCGTTATGAAATAGTCTTAAATATAATATCATCATTAAACATGCGTATATATTGACTTGGGCATGGCAATAGTGCTTTGAAACGATCAATGCGGTGGCAGGAGCAAAAGATAATGTTGTGAGAATGGCCATGGCGGGGAATTTGATAGAGTGTCTAGCGTCGCTTGAGGATGCGTTTCAGAAAAGCAGCAAAGGCGGATACTTCTTCGGAGGAGAAAACATTGGGTTCCTAGACATCGCATGTGGGGCTACGGTGGGCCCACTCTCTGTCGTCGAGGTGTTTTCAGGTGTGAAGTTTTTGAATGAAGATACAACACCAGGCCTGCTAAACTGGGCCGAGAAATTCAGGGCCCATGAATCCGTGAAACCTTACTTGCCTTCTGTCGCCGAGTTTCTTGAATTCGCCAAAACGAAGTTCAATGTTCAGTGATGATTTACAATCTCTTAATGATTTTATAAAGATGTGTTGGAATATAATTTATGTTTAGAATAAAGTAAATGATGTCTGTAGATTTGGAGGAGTTACTATTTGTGAGAACTGGAAATGTTATAATTGGCTTGGTTTGCTTACACTTTTTTTTTTTTTCATAATTTGGGGTATATGACGAACTTGAAATCCAATCGACTAATTTTTAAAAGCATGTCCACTGACGCTAAATACACATAGTTGCTCAAAATGGAATTTGATACCATGTTATCTAGCCACATAAACAGGTAAATCTGAGTTTTGTAAGTTTTGAACTCATTGTACTTGAGCACATTTTCAAATCCATCGTACCACTCGACACGCTTGTGTGGTTTTGCTTACACTTTTGTTTGGATTTATTTGTATGACTCAATCTGTTTCTTTCTTATTGTATTATTTTGTCTACAAATGCGTGCTAATATGGAACAAAATTACAGTAGATATTTGGTTACAAAATGAGGGCTCTACTATCTGTATAAAACATATTCAATTTGGTGATCAGCTATCTTATAAACAAACTCCAATCTATAATCTAAAGAACTTAGGAGGTAGAATTAACCATAGATTTGAAGAGGTAGAATTAGGGCTGTTCAATATGGTGATACCGAACCGTAACGAACCAAACCAAAATAGACAATATGGTTTGGATTTGGTATATACCATATAAACCGAATGGATATGATTTTATAAAAACCGTAGGATTTGGATATGGTTAGGTTTATAACCGATTAAACCGAATAAACCGAACCAAACCGATCAAAGAAAAAATATATAAATATATACATTATATAACCATTTATTTTATTGGAATAGTCTTTTTATTTTTATTTTTTTATACCTTGTGAAGATATATCTTAATAATTTTATTTTCTTTTCTTCAACTATTATCTAAATTTGATTTGATTTTACATGTTGTAAGAAATTGTGAAATTAGATTGTATCATGTAATTTATTTGGAAGAACAAAGAGAAAATAAGAAAAGCTATACAAAACTGAATCGTTGATCGTTTTGTTTGTTGTTAATTTCACATTTTTATATTTATGAACACCTAAGATTATTTTAATAAATGATAGTTTTGACAATATGTTTTTTTTTTAAATTCATATAATATGAAACCAAATCAAATAATAATGTTATTTGGTATAAAACCAAATAAACCAAAAATCGGTAGTATAAATACCGAACCAAACCAAATTAAATATGGTTCCAATATGGTAGCTAATTTTTAAAAACCGAAAAAACCGAACCGAAACCGGACCGAACACCAGATTGAACAGGCCTAGGTAGAATATACCATAAATCATATATTTTTTTTTTGTCAACACCATAAATCATATATAGTATCTATATTTATTTTTCGTTAAGGTTACTGATAGAAGTTTCTCTTTAATTTATGCTATTTATGCTATTCATGATATCAAAGGAACAATTCTTCACAAGTTGTTTTTTTTTTGTTTAGCATGAGACTATACACAAGACAATTATCATAAAGTGATCAAATAAAATACATATCATAACTATATCATAAGGCTCTAATCGTTATTCAGACGTTAAATTTTTGTTTCTGAAAACCCACTATCCATGGTATTTTTTTTTGTCGACCTATATCCATGCATGGTATTTATATGTATATTTGTAATTATTTAGATTATAATCTTGGAATAAATTAAAGTTTCACAGGTTTTACATATCTACTAAAGTTTTCATACGTCATGTATAGAAATAATAGTTCTAAATGTTTTTTATAATAAAATAACTTTTGGTTACATTTACAAAATATTATTTTTATAAGCAGTGCATGATTTTTTAATATGTATTCAAGTTCATCCCAACGCCAAAGATCGAGAATGAGGATAATGCCACGAATGATGAGGATTATGAAACGGACGACAAATACTCTTTTGTCGACAGATTGGTGATTAAATCTGAGTTATAAAAGCAGGATTTGATTTGCATATTATATTGAAATGATACCGTCTTTACAAAACATTAAACTGTTGTAATACATATTTTGTCGCTTTTAGTTATTTTATTACTAGTGGTTTGCCAGATTCATATGTGTTATTTGAAAATAAATTTACAAATTATTCTATTGACTTTGTAAAGCTATTATGTTGGAAAATATAATTTTGACAATATGTTAAAGATTATGTTATTCTTCTGATTTTTTTTTTTTTTTTGTAACACATGTTATTCTTCTGATTAGAAGTGGAAAGTATAGGTGGTTGTCATTGATTTTTGGTTTATTTTTCCATATTTTGTATATTTATAATTTTTTCCATTGTCTCATTTGTTTTTTAATTTGTTTGAGTAACACATCTTATATGAACTTGTGTTTATTTTCTTTTGTATTTATTTTGTGAATACTAGGAAATACACATTTATTAAAAAGATGAATAACATATTAAAGCCACGAATGAAACAAACGAACTTGGCATGCATGATCTTGAAATTAACGGAGAAAAATGTCTAATCGTTGATCCAAGAACCAAGTATGTCTATCACGGCCATGAATAATCAAACCTCACACGGTGTGAGTCACACCCCAAAGGGTGAAAAGATAATCAAGACAGTTTTACTTTATCCATTGAGTTGTATGTGTTCCTCTGCCTTTTTGTGCAATAATTGTTTATTTTTTTCATGTTTGATCCAAGACTTTAGCTACCTTTTTGGTGTTCATGCTGGGAGCAAAATAAAATCTTCTCTTAGATTTTAATGTAATCTACTGTTTGAATCTTTTTTGTGTTCATGCTAGGAGCAAAATAAAAACTTCTCTTAGATTTTAATGTAATCTACTGTTTGAATCTTTGTTAATAGTTATAGCCAAAGATTTCTCTTTCCCTACTCTCTTCGGTCAATGTTCTTGCTTAGAAAGTGTATTAATATTTGAAAATTAATTGAGCTGGACATTTTAGTTGAACTGACACTAAATCAAGCTGTATTAATGTGACATGAGCAGCACAAGCTAGCTAGTCAAGCTGATTTTATTACAGATGTAAACCGAGAAGGCAAGAACCAAAACAAACGAACTACTCTTGGAATAAAAATAAATAAATATTATTTCTGATGTTCAAAGAATTTTGAATACGCTACAATGATTTGTGTAGCATCAGAGTGAAGCTCTTGTGGATTCTCGTACAATCTCGTAAATAGATAAAACGTTTTCAATGGTGAGTAAGAAGATAATGCACCATTCCAAAAGATCTGACTTTCGGTTCTGCATTACCTCTTGGAAGAAATGAATGTTGTGCTGCAGATCAAAACAACATAGAACCTCACTTACAAAAATGACTAATTTTCCAAAGATCTAGATTCAAGGTGATTAATCCAGAAACTAGCGTTATGAACAACTTATATGAAAAACAAATTGGAAAATAGGAATTCAAAATCCTCTCTTGGAAGGAGTTCAGATCTCTCTCTTTCTCCACTCTAAGCTCCAGTCTCTCCATATCCAAGTGTGTGTTACGAAACTCTAAAAACCTAAGAAAAATAGTTTAAAACACGATTGGACTTCTTTAGCAATTAAGTGAAACTTCTGGGCCTTCTGCAATTTTTCAAAGTCAGATTTTCTCACGGAACAAGGGGAGTATCAAGCGACACTAACGTGGGTGTCGATAGTTCAGAAATCGTCTCCTACTTGTTCTTTTCATGTTCATGCTTCCTCAGGCCCTATATTGTTCCAAAAGATCCAAAACGTACTTAGACGTGGAATGACTCTAATACAACTCTATATATAGATATATGACTCAGAACATAAATATATCATGGTCCGAAACTGGTAAAAACAATGATATATCAGTAATGAGTGTTGGGAATTTTTGTATGTTACTGTTTATTTATATTATGAGTTTTGATATTCATCTCTTATTTAAGAAATCTGATAATTAATTTCTATGGTATTTAGTTCTGAAAGTTATTAAATGATAATTTTCTCTTTTGTGTTGAATTAATTTGATTAAGTTCGTCGATTCAAAAAACCAATAAATGACTCGAAATCACTGGATTATACGGGTCAGGTTTCTAAAGTTTACTTGAATTTGTAGATTGAGCATAGTTATCAAACTTTATGCTGCGGAAAGTTGGTATCAAGACTGAAATAGCGACAGTTTCAATACCGTTTAAGCAAAAAAAAATTCCAACCCAATGGAGCAGAGATACTTGTGTATCTTAAAGAATAGATGCAATAACTCACATGACATTGCACAGGATCTTGTTATATGTTTGTGTGTGTGTGTGTGTGCAACCTCATCATGTACATGTTGTTGAACACCTTAGTTACGACAAGGATTATAAAGGTATGTCTGTCAAAGTTTTCAACACCAAAAAAGTCTATGATGATGAGACTTATGAAACTGATTTCAGTGTGTTAACATTTTTTCTCAAATCGTGATCATGTGGGTACATGATTATTGCAAGCGAATATGTTTATTCTAAGGTAAAAATATGTTCAAGGATTACATTAAGAAGATATATTTTACTGAGAAACACACATTAAGAAGATATCTTTTAATTGAATGAAACACATAATAAATTTCCTTATGTTAAACAATAGATGGGCGACTTTATAAAATTGTGGGAAGAATTGAGAATGCAACTCTCTAGATAAATTAGTACTCTAAAAAAGTGTTTTAGGCGGTACACTCTCTAAAACCATATCAATTATTTTATAAACCTCCTAGGTAATTATAAAATATTAATAATAAATAATACGCAATTTAGAAATTATAGCAATTAATATATTTAAATATAAAAATTATAAAAATAAACAATATGAGTATTATTATTCCTAATCATGATATTTAACATATTAGAGTATATATATTTATTATATTCTTGTAATTGGTTACCGCCTAGACCGATTAACTACTAATTAAGACGTCCAAATAATCGTTCTACAAGAGATAAGCGTTCAGTCCCCATATGATTAGCGCCTAATGCTTTCTCGAACAATGGATAGATTTATCAATCAACAGATGTTTATTTGAACTGATTAGAAAATTGGTATAACATAATAATACATATATTTAATAGTTCGCCAAACACTGCAAATATGAGAAATTATAGTATAGTCTTTAGTCTTTTTTGTCACAAATATCTGAATATGAATTCACACAGTCTTTTGTCTTCTTCACACCGATCTCTTTTTCTGCTTGTTATACACAACAACAAAAATCACAAAGATATAAAAAGAAATGTTAGCAAAAAATCATAAGCGCTGAATGAATATAAAAAAATTTAAATTTTTTTGATTATCGCTAACCCTTACTCGGATCTTGAGCAGAAACATCGATTTCATATTGGTGCCCACATTGTGCTTCACATTTAGGGAAACATGAGAGTACATTTCGTATTGCACTACTGATACACACGTTATAACAAATCTTGAAACAATCTCCCCAACGTCTGTTTATAACTTCAGATTCAACTAAAAGATTTCCGATCGTCAGCATCATCACCGTAAATACAATCATTCTTTTCATCTCCATGTTTTTAGAATACAAAGATTTTTTTTCTCGGAAAAGGGAGGGGGCAAATTTATCTTTATAATGGACCTAACATTATGTCCTACGTTATGTTATATAGTCCTTATTATTAGAACATAAACTCTTTAATAGGTCTAACATTTAGTCATATGCTGTATTATATAAAAATCACTAATAATTAATGAAAATACTATAACTTCACTAAGACAATTATAGTACTAGATATGTTTCAAAAACTCAATAATTAAATTTAAGTCTAGACAGTATAACATTGAATACTAATTTTTAATAAATCTGCATTAATTTTTTTTTTAAGTTATTGGATAAATCTATCTTATTTAAACGACGCTACAAACAAAAATTTGTAATACATTACTTAAATAGAATCACAAACATAAATGATATTATTTTGAATTATTTATTAGTAAATGATACAAAATATATGTTGTATCATCAGTTGTGATAAATGAGGTGGTTATTAATTTATATGGTATCATTTCAATAAAACTGATACAAATATATATTAATTTACATCATTTTCAGGATTTGATGCAAAATATAAATTTATATAAGTTAAATAATTAATACATTTAATAATTTGTATTAGTATTACTTAGCAAAATGATACAAAAGTAACATCATTTTGATAAAAGATGCAAAGTTGATAACACTAATAAAATTATACTAATTTAAATACTAATATGTACGCAAGTCATTTGTTTGTTGAGTAAATTTAATCCAGAACTTATTTATAAACTAAAATCCTCACTATTCATCATGCTATTTAAATAAATAAAAATCGATATATTTAATTTCTTATAAGATCTTTTACACCTTTGATAAATAATTCACAAAACCTTCGAATTGATTTGAAAAGAAATTTAACTAAATTGATACCTTGAATTGTTAAAATGATAACTAACTACTATTTATTAATAAAAATTATGAAATTTATATTGTTTTAAATAATTATATACTCATAATTATTTCTGTTTTTTTTTTAATTAATATGCTTGGATTTCGTCAGAATTATATAATTGCAGTAATTAAATTTATATTTTTATCATATTTTTTGTGTACATCATTATGACTTTATATATTTGTTTCCAAAAGTATAGTAGTATCCCCTATTTTATCTCACTCAATAGATTTAGCAACACCAAACAAACTGAATATAGGCCACGATCATTTACATATTTTTTCACTAAGTCATCTTCTTCCACACACACAGCTCTTTAAAGGTGTTTTCAACATAGTTCACGACATTTCTTAACTTTTAAGCAGTTTAAACAATAAGTTCTGGACTGTTTGATGTATAAACAAGCAACAAGAATCAATCATTTTTCTTCTGAGTTATAAATGTATTTGTCTTATGCTTGATTTGAAAGAAATCTAAAATTTTCTAATATTATCTAAAGGTAATTAATTCTATTGTTCATCTTCTTCTAGTTCACTTTTTTAGGAAACTGCAATTATTTCTTTATGTTTATGGTTTACGAATCCATTTTTGTTGGAATCCATTATTTTCATAGGAAAATATGAAGAATCTCTTGCAAATTAAAAAGTGTAGAAGTCTACATGGAAAGCGGTTAATGGATACTTTACTGATTCGATTCAGTTTCTCTTCACAATGAAGCTTGAAGATGAAAATAAATAAATAAATTTCGTTTTAACTATTGTACATCCTTTTTCTGCTTATCTTTTTCTTCTTCCAACTTTTTCATTCCTATGTATATTTTTAGTTTTTTTTTCTTGTTCTTCAGACTATATTGTCAATAGAAAATAAATAAGATTTTTTAATCAAAATGTGTTTTAATCCATTTACTATCATTTTAAAATAATTTAAATCGGTAATTATGAATTATATAGCTATTAAAATTATTTTTTAAAATTAAATTAAATTTACTTCAGTTATTAATAAATGATAGTAATAACTAAAATCATATTTTAATCCATACTAAACTAACATCATTTAGAAAACTGTTGTAAATATTAAGGGTTGATTGGTTGGTACTATAGCTTTAGTTTTTTTGCTTTAGTCAAATCTTATATTATATAAAATCTCATTAATAATTAATGAAAACAATATAGCTTCATTAAGATAATTATAGAAACAACAATAGATATGTTTCCATACAAATCATTAATTAAATTCAAGCTTAAATAATATAAATTATGATCTCATTTTTTATTAATTTTCTTTCAAAATTTTTATTAACTAGAACCTCTGTTCTAAATCGCGGGCGCCTAGTCGGTCCAACAACTAATTAATCGAGCCAGTTTTTCCTTTGGGTCAAACTTAAACTTTTAAGATATTTGTTGGGCTTCAAAATAGCCTGATATTTTACTAATCCTGTGCTGTAGAAGACTCTATTATATAGAGTAATTTTTTGCCTCATTTTTTTCTGATTTAGTCAATGTGGGACTTTTAGTGTTCAAGAATATAAAGCGATAATAATAAGTGAACTAAGGGGCGTCGAAGTCAGGTTATGCAACATATTATTAATGCTCTTTACCACTGGGAGACACAAATTCTGTTGGTATAATGCGCATATAATAATATATATACACATGTAAATATAATAAAAATACAATACCTAATTTCCGATTAATCTCCGATTTATTATCTAGGCTCTAGGCCTAACACGAGCGCCCGACTAGCGCCTAGCGAGTTCTTAAACATGGATTAAAACATTAAATAACTTATGAAAAATGTATAACTTTTTTTGCAAGTTATATTACAAAATAATATTAAATTATTTAAATTAATATATGATTTTATTTATACTTTCATAAATACAAAATTTCATTCATTTAAATTAAATAAGTTTTCATATTTAATAAAATAATGTTACTGTTATTTATATTATGAGTTTTGATTGCATCTCTTATTTAAGAAAGCTGATAATTAATTTCTATGGTATTTAGTTCTGAAAGTTATTAAATAATTTTTTTCTCTTTTGTGTTGAGTTAATTTGATTAAATTCGTCGATTCAGAAAACCAATCTCAAATGACTCAAAATCACTGGATTATACGAGTCAGGTTTCTAAAGTAAACTTGAATTTGTAGATTGAGCATAGTTATCAAATTTTATGCTGCGGAAAGTTGGTATTCAAGACTGAACTAACGACAGTTTCAATACCGTTTAAGCAAAAAAAAATTCCAACCCAATGGAGCAGAGATACTTGTGTATCTTAAAGAATAGATGCAATAACTCACATGACATTTCACAGGATCTTGTTATATGTGTGTGTGTGTGTGTGTGTATGTGTGTGTGTGCAACCTCATCCTGTACATGTTGTTGAACACCTTAGTTACGACAAGGATTATAAAGGTATGTCTGTCAAAGTTTTCAACACCAAAAAAGTCTATGATGATGAGACTTATGAAACTGATTTCAGTGTCTTAACATTTTTTTCTCAAATCGTGATCATGTGGGTATATGATTATTGCAAGCGAATATGTTTATTCTAAGAGATCACATTAAGAAGATATCTTTTACTGAGAAACACACATTAAGAAGATATCTTTTAATTGAATGAAACACATAATAAATTTCCTTATGTTAAACAATAGATGGGCGACATTATAAAATTGTGGGAAGAATTGAGAATACAACTCTCTAGATAAATCAGTACTCTAAAAAAGTGTTTTAGGCGGTACACTCTCTAAAACCATAGCAATTATTTTATAAAATCCTAGGTAATTATAAAATATTAATAATAAATAATACACAATTTAGATATTATAGCAATTAATATATTTAAATAAAAAAAATTATAAAAATAAAAAATATGAGTATTATTATTCCTGGTCATGATATTTAACATATTAGAGTATATATATTTATTATATTGTTGTAATTGGTTAACGCCTAGACCGATTAACTAATAATTAAGACGTCCAAATAATTGTTCTACACGATGAGCGTTCAGTCCCCATATGATTAGCTCCTAATGCTTTCTCGAACAATGGATAGATTTATCAATCAACAGATGTTTATTTGAACTGATTAGAAAATTGGTATAACATAATAATACATATATTTAATAGTTCGCCAAACACTGCAAATATGAGAAATTATAGTATAGTCTTTAGTCTTTTTTGTCACAAATATCTGAATATGAATTCACACAGTCTTTTGTCTTCTTCACACCGATCTCTTTTTCTGCTTGTTATACACAACAACAAAAATCACAAAGATATAAAAAAAAAATGTTAGCAAAAAATCATAAGCGCTGAATGAATATAAAAAAATTTAAATTTTTTTGATTATCGCTAACCCTTACTCGGATCTTGAGCAGAAACATCGATTTCATATTGGTGCCCACATTGTGCTTCACATTTAGGGAAACATGAGAGTACATTTCGTATTGCACTACTGATACACACGTTATAACAAATCTTGAAACAATCTCCCCAACGTCTGTTTATAACTTCAGATTCAACTAAAAGATTTCCGATCGTCAGCATCATCACCGTAAATACAATCATTCTTTTCATCTCCATGTTTTTAGAATACAAAGATTTTTTTTTCTCGGAAAAGGGAGGGGGCAAATTTATCTTTATAATGGACCTAACATTTAGTCATATGTTATGTTATATAGTCCTTATTATTAGAACATAAACTATTTAATAGATCTAACATTTAGTCATATGCTGTATTATATAAAAACCACTAATAATTAATGAAAATACTGTAACTTCCCTAAGATAATCATAGTATCTAGATATGTTTCCAAAAAAAAACTCAATAGTTAAATTTAAGTCTAGAAAATATAACATTAAATACCAACTTTTAATTATCTTTTATAATTTTCATTTAAATTATAGGATAAATCTATCTTATTAAAACAACACTACAAAAAAATTGTAATACATCTTATTATTTAAAAAAGACTTTTTATCCCTCCTGTGATGTCACGTCACTAGTTAATACATTCTCAAAGTGACATGTGTCCCATATTCATTATATAATCGAATACTTTTATGGACTTTTCTA